TTAGATGCAGTAGCGTGGTTTCCACGGAGGGCGCAGTGACTTGAAACTGCGTTACATCGGTCACACATCAGATGGCCATCTAGTCCAAGTTGAGAAGGATACCAATCACCCAGTATCACCATCGCTTATCTACTTCTAACACACAGAAGGAGCTGCACAAACAACTTGAGGACCAAAAAAAGCAGACGGACGACAAGCATAACAAAATGGCCAAGGATCTCGCAAACCAGAAAAAAGAGATTGAAGCCCAGCTTGGCCATCTGTTAAGGCTAGTGAATGAAAATGAGACTGCGTGTCTAGTATAGATACGGATCATGTGGGCTTGTTCATACCGACATACTTATTTATGTTATGTTTAAGGTGATCATCATCATGCCCATGAGCATGATAGAGAAACGGAATTCTGTCATGTTATTGCTGAACTTTCGCCGATGATCTTGATGATTGGCACCGTGTCAACAGAGGACGCTTGTGCATAACTTTCGTACTTACATTCCTTTTTGCACCACTAAGCTTCGATACGCGCAAAGCGAACATGGATCAGCGAGGAAACGCACTCAACGACCAAGAGAATAAGCTGAAGGGAGAGCAGGATAGGCTGGCCGCACGAGAAGCTGAGTTGGGGGAGCAGCGGAGTGCTTTGGAAAGCCAAAAAATTTACGCCTCATGGCTCATACTAGAAGAGTATGTTCTTCAGATTATTTAATTGGTAGTAAATGGCTGATATTCTGGGTTTAGGTTCGACGGCATAACACATGCAGATGCAATTTTTTTTTTTGTAGAAATTAATATCCTTCTCGGACGAGAAGGAGCAGACGCAGAGGCAATAGGTTAGCTGTTGACGTTGAAAGCGGAAGGGTGTCGTATGCGACGAGATTGATGACAGCATCTAAAGAGGTGCCGTAGAAAGGGATACTGGTGCACTTCTAGCGAGTCAACTTATGGATGGGTATTGCCAAAAAGACAGCACTGTGATGCTGATGAGTTTCGTCAGCACTGTGATGACGAGTTTGATATTCGTACTATGGTCAGTCTTTGATGTTGTCTTCATGATCTTTCTAAAAAACTTGCAGCCCACAAGCAGCAGCTGGCTGAGCAGGCTAGAAATATGCGAACGTTGGAGGGGCTCCAACAGGAGCTGGACGAGAAGAAACTTAAATTTGCCAAAGAGCACGCAGCGTGGCTGTCGGAGAAGAGAACAGGGGAGCAGGAGATCGAAACTACTACACAGCTAGACTACGGCACTTGTAGTTGTCAACGTCTCAGTATCCCATGTAAAGATCCATCGCAACTTCCGCGATAGAGAATCATTCAGGGCGCATGTTCACATAGTTGTATTGATACATTTTCTCTTCTGTTGTAGACGAGTAGATATTAGATAAGAATCTCCCGACCTCCCACCTCCACAAATGCGTCTTCGTTTAAGATTAAAAGTTCTAGTGCAGGGGTTAGTTAACTTAACGACCTACAATCTAGTCCTCTCATCATCATCATATTAGATAAGAATCTCACAAGAAAGGAAAAGTACTAGCATAGCCATATTAACTCTCGCTAATAGTAGAGTGAATTGCAGAGCATTCGTGGTCAGCTTCAGCTATCGCACGAGGAGAGTCAGGAAAAGGTGAAAGAGCTTACCAAGAGTGCCGAGTCAGAGAGAGCCGGACTCCAGCAACAACTTCATTAAGGCTTATCATGATGATCCATTTGTGATTCCATTACTTAGATCTTTCGACTGCTGGCATTAGCATTTCCTTGTATATTCCTCTTGTTCTCATTTTCTTCTTACTCTGTAACTATGTATAGGAAACTCTGAGAAGGACTCTGTGTTTATTACAAAGTCCACCTTTTCAGAGATAGAAACGCCTCAGATACTACAGACTCGAGAAAAATGCATAAGTCTTCTTCTCAAGACTGCAAAAGTTGTCGCTTAATAGTGGCCTCTAACTTGTGGATGTATTAAGCAAGAAAACCACGACGGACGCACAGCTTACTGCCGTATCTGCAGAGGTACAACACGCAATTACGTTAGGAACAGAGTGATCAGAGAAAGATATTTTTTTTACATGCATGATCCAAATTCATCCAGATCCTCCAAGAGGACATGAACAAGAAAGCTTTCGGTTTTGCTTGTACTAGAAGTAGAAAAATATGAGACTACAGCAACAGTGACTAGCTTCGCGGTAGTACTAGAAGTAGAATATGAGACTCAACATATTAATAAATGGTTAGTTTCAACACGGCTTTAATTTGCGAGAGGGAAGAAGCAGAAACCCAACTCCATGGCTTGGAGGAAGCGATCGCGGAGAAAAGCCAGAGCTTCGAAAAACTGTCGACGGAAAAGTTGCACCTAGAGATAGACAAGATTAAGGCGAATTTTTCCCAATTATAGTTCTATCTCGTACTAACTCCTGTCCGGCCATGGGAGCACTAGTTTGATTGTTTGATTTCCGTGGCCGGACAGGAGTTAGTACGAGATTTTCATGTCAAGCAATTATTTTGATTGTTATTTGACTTCGAGTCGCCCGTACGCGACTAATCTGAAAGAAATATTGAAATATTGAAATTGAAAAGGAACATCCGCATGGAATTATGACGAGCTATTTTTCCTTCTAAGAAGCAAAACGCTGATGAGCTTGCAAAAGCATACTCAGAGCAAAATGAGCTATTGGTTGCGGATTTAAAAAGTGCAAATCAAGCGGCAGCAGGTGCCGGAGAGCAAACTGCGTCTGAAGTATCCGGTCTGCACCGACAATTGGCAGAAATCCAGTTGCGGCTGACTCAAGAGCGAGCCGAGGCAGGGCACAACCTCCAGATGCTGCGTGACGAATCAGAAGAAGCTATTAAGGCTCCGGAAGTAAAAATGTCGAAGAAAACTGCATAACCTAGGACGATTTCATGGAACTGAACTGGAACAGGATATGGTTATCTGAGAGGCCTCACATTTGTTTTATACAGCCGCCAAGCTTGCTCTTGTTGCAGCCCATGGATTAATAGAGTAGTGTCTCTCTCTCACCATACTTCTCTCCCAAACCATACCATACTTCTCTCCCAAACGCAAACCATACACTTACACTTTATCTTTCAGAATAAGTAATTGAATGTCAAATCCACCTTGTCGTTGTCCTTCTCCTTGTCTAAAACGAACAGGGAAAAAGTGGAACTGAGTCGACGGTTAGAGTGTATGACGTCACTCAATCATTGAGAATGTCCCAAGGAGTGGGGAATGTCCTTCCTAAGTAAGAAGACTGAATGGTTCTGGTATTTGGTAACCTTATTAATAATATGGGATCGAATTCAGGCCACCAAATACCAGAACCATACAAAGACCAAGGGGGAACGACACTCCTCCCCTCTAGCTATAGTCTCAATGAGTGGAGGCATTCATAGAGGCGCAAGCTGCGACAGTGAGTGATCTCCAGGATCAGCTGGAGAAGCAGAGGCTGGAACAAGCAGCACAACTGACGAAGCTGCAGGATGGAAACTCCGCTACTGCACAGGAGATGCATGCTGCGAAAGAGGCAGCGATGCAGAAAGCAGCACAACTGACGACGGAGCTTGATTAGGTCACACTTGGGAGAAGTAGAAGTAGAAGACGTAATCGTATCGAGTTAGCGCTTCTTTTCATCTCGCCCTTCATTTGCTATCATGTAGGCAGGAATTTCAACTCGGGTTGACTCCAAGGTGCGCGCTCCTTTACATGATCAACCAGTAAGTGGCTGATAAGCACCATAAGATTAGGGCTCTACTAGTTCTTCTAACTAGAGGCTCAAAAAGCTGAGCACGCGAGGTTGACCAACGCACACAATGACGCTGAGGACCGTGTAAAAAATGGGTGGAAGAGGTGTAAAGCGGCGTCTGCGAGGCTCCTTCAAGTGCTTTCACAGGATGAAGATGGACACTTCGCGTCCTCAACCAAGAAAGAGCACGCGGTATCTTCTAGGAGAGAACGATTGGCGCTCATAGGCCAACTTCTGGACAAAGCGTGCGATGTGAATCATTCAGATGCCGATCAACAAGCCGTCGACGCCCAGAGAAATCTAGATTATGGATGCAGTGTGTTGGTGCCTGGGTTTTTCTCCCAATTTGCTGGTCTAGTACTTTGTGTGGCTGTTTTCGAAGGAAAGTGAGGACCAAAGGATGAATATCTACTCAGGGTCTACTCCTTTACCTTTGACTTTTTCATTCTGCTCAGTTGTGAGTCGATTTGTAAGAGTATCGAGGATCATCTTCATCTTTCATTTCTGCAAGCAAATCCAGGAGTATCTCGTAGGCGACAGGGAATTTCGGGAAAAGAAGCATAAGGAGGAAATGCATGCTGCTCATGAGGCGCAAGTCAGACAAGCGAAAGCTGATCTGGAAAACGCTGAGACGGAGCGAGCATTACGAATGCTGGGATTTTTGTGTTGACAGTTACCAATCATTAATGTACTTAGGCGTTCTTTCAAGAAAGGAGTCGACGAGGAAACTTTTTGGCGCGAACGGTTGCGGGTTTTGTTTCTGACAACCACGGATGTCGACGCTTGGAAATGAGCATCGTGATAAATAGATTATATATAATCTCATCGTCATCCTGGTGAAATTGAAAAGAAACTGGACTGACTAAAAGAACGCGTACTTGAACATGTTCCTTTTCTAATCGAGGCTGCACTGGCTAAGGCCGCTGAAGAGAAGGAGACGCAATTGAACAAACTGAAGGAAGATTTCGAGGCCCAGTGGAAAACCGCTAAGATAGAACGCGATGCTGCGGTAGAAACTGCTAAAGAGCAACTTCAAAAGGCTCAAACACGGCACGCGGAGAGCCAGGAGACGTCAAGGGAACAGTACGCTGCTGAGAAAGCAAAACTCGAGCAGCAAATATATGTTATGTCGTGTGGTGGTGGTGGGCTAGTAGTAGGTATTCACTTGATCTGTGGGACTTTAGATTCTGACAGATTGAAATCTCCTAGTCCCCTCCATTCTTCCCATTTTCTTTCATTCTTGATCTCACTGCGAAGGAACAGGCTCAGGAAGCCAAGGCCTCTGAGGAAGTTGAAGCGCTGCGGAGACACTTGGCAGAAAAAGACACTGAGGCTGCGGAGGCTAGAGAAAGTGCAAAAGCAGAGCTTGCGCGGCAAAACGAAGCGCAGCAGAAAGCGTTGGACGAGCAGGAGCAAAAGCACAAAGCAGAAGAGCAGCGACTGAGGGAGGAACACGACAATGCGAGCAAAGGGCTCAGTAATGACCATGATGCGAAGCACGCAGCCCTCGATGCGGAACTTAAGACTGTACTTTTTCACTACCTAGTACTACTTTTTGTTCGGACGATGAAATAATTCCGCTTAGAGAAGGAGAAGGACTTCTGCATTCTGATGTGCTCGAGTTAGTGTTCAAGCAAAAGATCGATCAGAATCAGAAAGGAAATTCAAGAAAACAAGATGAACGTGAAGTAGATGAATATGAGTACTTGTGGTGCTAGAACAAGTATTTATTCAAGTTCAACATCACCCGTACGGAGAACGGTTAGACAAGCATAGTGAAAAACTCAGCCCGGCTAATCAACGCGGTGCGCAAGTCAACGAATTGCAGAAAAAGTACTTCTAGCTATATGCATCCATGATATAGACATATTTTCTGTCTTGTTCGCCTATGCATCATCCTCAATAATTGAAGTGTAACGATCTTTACTCCTTGCCCGTCTCTTTCGTTATCGTTTTCGTCACGGTCTTGATGTTGATCTTTATTATTCTACTTCGTTAGACGAGAAAAGCCCGATTCCTTGACTCGCTCTCGCATTAGGTTAGCCGCTGCAACACAGAGCCTCGAGGATATTAAGCGAACAACCACCAGTCACGAAACGGACTTCGAAGAGCGACTTCAAGCGGAAAAAGCGAAAGCGAGTTCATTGTACTTTTTGATTTTCTCTTTGGTTTTTCTCTTTGTCTGACTTAATTCTATGTTGTAGTTCTCGATGGTGAAGAACATGAAGTAGAAGTACCTTCATGTCCATCGCTGTTGTCAGTGCTTCTGAGGTACGTTTTTATAAGCAAATTGCTCGCGACCGCGACGGCCAGGACCATTCACCACATCTCCAACACTGGTTTTCGAAAAATTGACCTACTATGCTTTCCACTACGAATCAGGCGAGCTGAAAAGGCTGAGCTCAGTAACGCAGAAAGGAACATGAAGCAGGAGTTGACGACGCTGAAGGGTACGCTGAAAAAAGCGACTGATGACCTGGCTCAAAAATCGAAGGAAGTGGAAGTTACGCTCATATTCTATCAACGAGAGCAACGCGTCATATGGGCTCCCTTCTACTAGTGCCCCCTTCCCCTGCTCGTTCTTGTGTTTTATCTCGACTATCACTTCGGCGTTGTACTTGTGCTGGTGCTTCACACTCTAAACGTACTATTTCTATGGTAATTTGTTCCGTTCTCTATCAATGTCAAAAGGAAAAATCGAAAACTTCCTGTACACAACAGTGTTCGAACAGGGAACTACCTACGACTACAAAAGCAGCCAGTTGCAATGTATCACAAGTACAACACGACATCTCCTAGAAATACCTCACACGAGATCCTAGAAATGAGATATCCTCAAGGACCAAATCCTTTCTAAGACATCTCTCCAAACGGCAGAGGAAGAGAAGGCCAAAAAAGCGGCAGCTGAGATCAAAGCAGCGGAGAGGAAGGCGAAGGAAGCGTATAAGGAGAAGGGAGCAGCGGAGACGAAGGAGCGCGACGCAGCGGCGAAAGCCAACGCAGCGCTCTCCGCAGCGAAAGAGGAGCTGGCCGAAGCGAAGGAAAGGGCGAAGAACGCGGAGGCCGAAGCGGATAAGATGGCGGCGAAGGCAGCCGAAGCGCTTTCCGCAGAGCAGGCGAAGACCAAAGCAGCACTCGATGCATCCACGAAGAGTCGAGCACAAGCAGAAGCAGCAGCCGCAACCCGTCAAAGTTACGAACTTCACTTGCGTATTTTTCCAAAGAAACATCATTCATACAGCACAACGATCTCATGAATGCTGTTTCTGGCAAAACCCTAGAAAGACAAGGACTGAAAAGGAAATGTTTCATCTTCTAAGGAGAAGCACTCGAGAAAGAAGTAGAGGCAAAAACGAAAGCGCTTGCGGACCTGACTGCTGCAGCCGAAGATTCGAAGAAGAAGGAGCAAGACGATCTTCTTGCAGCGGGTCGAGAGCAATTGAGAAAAGCTCGAGTGGAAGAAACTAAGGCTCGTGCGCTTCATATGTAATCTTTGTTGACACAAGAACTCGCAAGAACTGCTTCACCAATCACCAAATAACAGTTCTATTATCCCAATATTTATCGCGTCTAAAAACTCAAAGCTGCGGCAGCAGGTCAAAGAACTACAAAGCAAAGTGAAAGAGCTAGAAGAAGGCGAATGCAAGGCGCCTGCGACAAGTGTTGTTACGTTGAGAAGTTAAAATTTTTCTGCGAACAAGCATATGCATATCGTCTTCTTCACTCGTCCACAACTAACAACTAAGGGACTTACGACCCATACCCACGGAACCCATCTATGCTCAACTCGAGGACTTTATTTGCACTCCTTGTGATGTTATACTACTAACTGTTCGGCTGTCTAGAGTAGGTCTCATTACCTCACAGACACAGGTACAGCATGCTATTACTTCTTGTGCTTAAATTGTACTAGTTTCCGAGTCCGACGCCCAAGCAGGTGCTTACCGAGCAATGTAAATCGAGTAGTCCTCCGTCACAGCTCGATTTGAGTCAGTGCAAGGCAACACGACTGGTATATGTATTTATAATTATCGTCCTTCTGCTCTAAGACTAAGAATATGAACGCGATTGGAACTACACCCGATCCCGGCGTGGACTTGGACGAGGAGTTGGACGATGGAAAAGGTGATGGTATCGACGAAGATACAGCAGATGTAGACGATGAAGAGGAAGATGACGTTAAGTCGTGACTCACCGCTTTTGGTTTTTTCCTTACCCCTAGTTGTAGTTAGTCACTCAGAACAGCACATCAACATGAGACATAGGATATCGCTAACCAACATGTCTTTTGGTGTTGTGGTCCTACCCTTGATAAATTGGCTGAGGACACTCTCGACATTTAAACAGAAGCTTCTTCAAGAACAAAACGGTTTGCTTTTCCAGGAGCAGTAGGGGCTCAAACTATACTGATCGTCGAGGATGATATATTGAAAGAAAGGTCGTACATTATGATGAAGATATTTAGAAGAAGCAGTTTTTCTCTCTTGAAATTTCGACCTCTAGGTGTTGAGTAGTTGTCCGTCTTTTTGCACTGTTCCCTCCGCTTCGAAGCTTATTGCGGATTCTAAATAGAAGGGAGCGGCAACCAAGTTTCCAGAATGCAGCAAAGATTCTGGTAGTGCCTCAGCAGAGCCTTTTGGTAGGATTGATCTTGATTCGCGTGCAAATTAAGGCTGCTTAATGACCTGATATTAACCTATCTTGGAGGTTGTCAGGCTCAGGCATAGATAGTTGTTTCTTATCCTTTAATATCCCTTACCTCGTGAATGGTTGCAGTGCCATTCGTTTGTGACGAAGAACCTGCTCAAGGAGAATTAAAAGTCAGAGGAAGAGGATGTACTATCTGAAGATGGAGGAAGACCAGCATGAGCTCTAAGTAAAGCTGCACGTTCTACAGAAAGGATCTGTGACGAAGACAAGTCTTGGATTATGGTCAGACTTTATCTATTTCCATCTTCTCGCTCAGCATCTCGATACATTTTGTTTGCATAGGAAGGACAAGGGGGGAAAAGGAGCCGAGAGAGAGATGGGAACAAGGCTGAGGTGACTGATGTGAAAGCTGGCTGCTCTAATGCAAAAAAGCACCTGTAACCTGCAGATCCTGCGAGGGGTGGAGGTTGTGGCTCTATACAATTAAGGATACTACACCACTATCTCATGTGGATTCGTGCTAGATTCTCCCTTTGATTCGGGAAAATAGGGGAAGACAGGGCATAAGGGAAGACAGGGCATCTCCCTCAGCACCAGGGAAAGTGAAAAGCGAGCGCTAATACAACGCGTGCACCACAGAGTTGCCCCTCCTGGAGATGACTCCAAATACCAAAAAGAAGGGGGAACCGTATACCATTGTGGATGAGTGCCGCATTGCGACAAGTATGGCCTTGAAGATTCTATCCTCGCTTATCCTATCCTAGAGTCTGGCAGGCTTTGCCTTTGTTCTTCTCGTCAAAGTAAGAATTATACTTCTTATTGTCTTTTACTTTTCTTCTACTTCCTATGACTGTTGCTTTTATTATCAAAACGCACTATAACTAATTAGCACAGGATCGAAGAAGTGTCGAAATCTATACCTAGAGCTAGAATTTTTGACACCCACCCGTTTGTCTTCTAACGTCGAAACCAACGACAAAGGCAAGCCAACGGAATACAGGGGACTAGAGGATTCGTCGGGAAACCTCGCGGCTCCAATGGAGATCGATGTTAGGACTAGTCAGTCACTATCTCGTGTGAGGCGTTGTACTCTTGTGAGTGAGTGAGCGAGTCTTCCTTATTGAAATCCCCTTGATTTTTTAACGGGGAAGCTATGAACTAAAGGAAAGAGAACGAGAAAGAGTCTAACTCACTCTTCAACCACGGATAGTGATCGCCTAGCGCTAACAGCGGATGGCTCAGAGTGAAGAAGACTGAAGGAAAGAGCAAAGCCCTCACCCTTGTATGGATGATGTTTACTCCATCCCCACGAACATCGTTGCTGCCGCTTGCTTCCCTTTGAAAGTGTATAGCTAAAGGGGGACCTCGATGGTCTGGCTAGATGGAAAAAACATCATCCATACCTCGACTTTGGTAGAGTTTTCTTGGCCAGACGTCGCAGTTACGAGTAAGAATTCGCTATAAAAAAAACATTTCGTTTCTGTTACGTGAATTTTTGATTCAGCACTCATTGATTCATCATATTGGACTTTGAGGTATTTTTTCAAATGAGTCGAGTTTCAAGCTTTAAACTACCAGTGCGGGAGAACGCGGAAAAGCGATTGGTTGCTTGCGTCCGCGACCGGTCCCGCAAGATGACAGAGATCTTTGGAGTGTTAGACCATCTCCAGAGTTACGCGTTGTCAGTAACAGAAACGGAAAAACAAAAATCGGTTTGAAAAGCAGCATCATGTAGATATTGTGTACGACCTGCTTTTTAATGAGGAAACGGGAAAGCGCATATGATCGATGGCCTGCTTTTCCATTGTAGGGAAAAAGGTAAAAAGAGCATGGTATGAAAGCGTAACCTTTTTCGCTTTCTATCTTTGCACCACTAGTTTGACTACAAGAACTAAAAACCTCTAATGGAGCAACAGGAAAAGTGCGTAGACCTATCACTGTCAGGCAAAACCGACAGAAAAAATAACAATCCAATCCCACCAGAATTTTGTGTGCCGACGCAAGATTCGGAACCGAAGCCAAAGGATCCCGGTGCTGTTGCTCTTCTATTATGAAAAGAAGCAAGTCGCACTAGCACTCAGATATAGCTACATAAAACTTAGACTTATAATAGTACAAAGAAACATCATTTCGTTGTCCAACGCGTGAAGTCTTATCTTTCGGGATTCCGCTTTCAGAATCAGACACAGACTCTATCGTTCCCAGAACAGCCTCTAAATTGACTGGACCGCATACCATCTCCCGCAGAGGCCGGGCGAGAAAAGGTACTTGCAAAGTACGTACGTAGTGAAAGAAAACTTTGATCTTTGACAGTGATGTGTTAGGGTTTTCGTTTCACCACAACACTTGATCCTGAAAGAGAAAGGAAAACTAAAACTATAAAGTTATGATATAAGATAAGTATTAACTGCCCCTTATAGATCGTTGCTTCACCAGCCACTGGAGCTGGAGCCGGCGAGTTGGGAGGAATACATTTAGGGAACATACGGCCAGTCGACCTGGAAATGGGCAATCTCGTTTTTCCAAGTAGAAGCCCTGTCGTCCAGGCGAGCAAGAAATCAGTGGGCATTTTGTTCCCAATGACACAGGAGAACGCTAAAGCCTTTGGCAGACAGCTCGCGTCACGACTAAGGCTTTTCTTTACGTGTTTTTGTTGGCGTAAATCTAATTTTTTCTTTGGACTATTACTATATAGGGGACGAAAACGATATGAAGAGCAAAAAGAATGGGAGAAGCTAGCACCATCATAGTACAAGAAAGACCTCGCTAGTAAGTAGTACTACCTCGAACATATTCTGCACCACCAGAAATACCACTCTCTTTCGGAACGAGGAACATCGAGGACGATGGAATGACAGCCGCCTACAAGAAAATTTCAGATGCAGACGAGCCTTGTCCTGATGGTCCGGCTCCCTCGCGCAAGCCGCTGCCCACGGGTTTTTTGGTGACAGAAGCAGGAATTAATACAGCTACCGGATTCAAATGCTGCTTGGCGGTAAATGGACAGGATTCAGCTAAGGCTTCCAGCCATACTCTCCTAAATTCTGAGAAGTATCATCATCATCATCATCATCATCATCATCATCAAGATCATGACGCTGGAGCTGCCCTATTCTGATACGGTGGAGAGGAACGAGAAGAATCAGAATCCACATGATGGGGAGTATAATCCAAGTGCTTCTGAGCTCTAATACAGTAATTACCGTCACGTTACCTCCACCGAAGAAAAATGGGGAAAAGGCAACATCGCTTGAGTTCAAATATGGGGAGCTGCCCGCTGGTTTTGGCACGTACGTGAAAAAGTGCCCCGAGATCAGCAAGTTAAGGTCCTTGTTATGTTATCGATCAACTTCTAATACTATAGTCTTCTAATATGCTGCAGCAGGCTGCTTAAAACTTCTAAGTAATTATATCCAGTGTATCTCCATTCTTTCACGTGATTTCTGTAGGGATGAAACTAAGAGATTAAGATACATCATCATCACAAGAATTAAAAGATGAATTCGGCGTGCCGGAAGTCTTGTTCAAGGCAGGGTATTCGCGAGGCTCGGGATATGATTACATTCGGGAGGGAATAGAAATTCTAATTCAAATTTTCAGCATCTGCATCTTTCGATCTTTCTACCAAAAGTGAAAAGTAGTAGTTCGGACATTATAATAAACACGTAGAACCTTGTGAAAATCTGCATCCACGTTCTCTCTCTACTAAGTCAAATGTTCTGAAACTGATTGTAACGCAGCTCTTTTTCTGCGATCTTTCATTCTTTTCCTTTAGAAAGATCTCCGGGGGACGACGATGCAGAAGATCATTCTCATCTACTTCATTGAAAGTAGTACTAACACTGACTAGTTGTGTTAATCTTGTGACAAGTCACGTAAGTTGCATGTAGTACTACTTCTAAGAAGGCCAACGGATCATTGTCAAGACTTGAAGGGGATACTGGATACACACTACAAAAAGCAGGAAGATGACAGAAAAAATACGAAAGGATTCCAACGTTAAGTCAACTCCGAATGCATCCGGAACTACAAAATGAGTCCTCGATTGATTTTTTCATAAGGGGAAAGAAATAAATCTACAAGGACGCACCATCAGAGATGCATCGAGAGTGGCTCTTGCTCCTCTAACAACCTATAGAATTTGGCAGCACTGCTGCGGACGCCGAAGCCGTTTGCCGAGTGACTCCTTAAGATAGAATACTGCTGAAGGCGAAAGCCCGTGTTAAACAAATGCTTGTTAGCCAACCCTTATCCTTGTTACAGTCATCGCAAAATCAGTTAATGACAGAAAGTGCGAAGTCAGTTAATGACAGAGAGTGTATGGTTCTGGTATTTGGTAACCTGAATTTGGTCCTAAGGGTTCTCTTCTTGTTTTCCCTTATGATCAAACTCAGGTTACCAAATACCGGAACCATTCAGAGAGCGAACAAGAAGAGGACACTTAAACCCTAGGATCCTCTTTCTTGATCCTTGTTGCTCTAATCAAGAGACGAAGGAAGCGCCAACAACCAACCACTTTTGCTGAAATTGCCGGATATAATCGCGAGGGATTGTGGGAAGAAGTTGTGCGATTTGGAACTGAACGAGAACAGCAAAGAGGTGACTCTGCCTAAGTGGCCTTTTTGTTACATAGATGAAAAACTCGGTGTACCGCCTTCAGAGGATTAAGACGAGTTCATCTTTTCGTACATAGTCCGACTCAGTTTAAGCACTAGATCCCAGCATCTCGTCGAGAAAAAGAAACTGGTTTGGTTATATTGCATCTTCTACTACCCTTGTCAATATTATGTCTACGACCTAGTTGTAGTTGTATTTATTATTTGGTATTTGTTGCTTGGTTCTTTTTGGAAACAAAGGTGGCACCCCCACTCCCTTTGCTCGTTTCGGTATTGACTCGGTTTGCGTCACTAGAAGAAAAGTGCGTGAAGGTCGCTTTGGCTTTGGGTAGAAAGCACCTCGCCAGGGTGTGGGGCTATCCTGATCTTTCTCAAGTTGGATCATGTAGGAAGCAGCTGACGCACTTGGCCAACCTCTAAAACCGCAAAGGGAAACCCAAGTCCACGGTGGGTACAATTCCATTGACGCCAAGAGCTTTGAATCCCAGTGAAATGGACAAATTGGTCCCAGTAATGCAGTTAAGGTGTAGAGGTGAGTGTGCCGGCCGATGCCTAAAAGTTTTTACTTTGCTTCAACATTATTCTCATATCTTCAGGAAATGTATTATCATGAAATCTGTATTGACTTTGAGGTAGTGATACTGAATGGTTCTGGTTACCAAATACAGGTTACCAAATACCAGAACCATACAGATACATTCATAGAGATGAAAAACTTTTTTATGATTGATCGCATAATAATGTAACTGTTGATGTATGTTGGTGCTGGAGTTGTTAAGAATCACCTTCGCACATCTAAAAACAGACTTTAGGGCGAAGCGAATTAAGGATCCAGAGGCAACAAATACTATCCCAGCGATGCAACAACTTCGAGAAACTTATAAGTGGCCTCCTTCTGGTGGTAATATTAAGGCTCAAGATGATTCATCTTCAAAGGTTCTCTCTCTTACTGCGTGTCGTTTCATTCTTCAAAGATTCTAAGAGTATAACCTTGAAGGATGATTCTGTGTAAGCACCAATTGTAATTATGTCGCCGTGCTTGTCGAGTTCGAGGGGCCACCAGAAAAGGGGGGAAGAGGCACGACAATTAAGGCTACCTCCAGAGACCTCAAGCTTCTAATCAAAATGGGGATCTCTCTGTTTTCAGCTCACGTTTTTACCAGAATAGGGGAAAAACCAGAGGGATGCCCTACACAAAATAGGAGTCGTCTAAGGTAGCACTAAGAAAGAAGCGCCGCGCTTTGTGTACCTGCGACGTGGAGAGTACTCGCTTGATAAGAATACTTCGATTGATGTGTGATGTAGATTATCTTTTCCAGTAGAATTAGTAGTAGTAGAAGAACTCTGGTAAGCAGGAATATCTTTTTTTCCAGCGGAGGAAGTACTAGAACTCTAACTAGAAGAGAGTTGAGAAAATCAAATGAATCCAGTTCTTGCTTGCTACTAACGAAGCCCTGTAGATGTCGTGGCCCTCATTAGTGTCCACCTAAGGCAGGCCGAATCGTTTTGCAAGTACTCGTACGTTTCCTGTGACTTCTGAGCAGTACTCTTACTCTATCATCAACATTGATTATACATCAACATCACAACAACTACCTACCATCAGCATCAGTTGTACTGGTAGAAAGATCCAACCGCGTCTACAACCCCAAAACCAAATCCATGTTGAGTGTGGATTTGGAGTAGAGGCTATGGATAGAAGATCTCCATCGTGTTGGAGTAGATGTCTACTACGACTTCCAAAACCAACAAAGCGGTTGAAACGCCCAAATCCAATCTTGACTTGATTTATCGGAACTCGCTCACACTACAAAAAAAAAGGTGGTTGAAGCGTTTTGAGGAGAAACAGGCGGAGTTCGGAGAAAGGTGCACGAAGAAGCGCCTTCATGCTGGTCTGCATTGGATGCCTGGTAGAGGTCAAGTTATGGATATGCAAGATGTAACTTCGATCAGGAATTTAATCTTCAGGATCAAGAAGCCTTTGCTTCTTCACTTATCATGTGCGTCTTCATCCTGCTTCTAATGAAAGGGATGTGAGGCCGGTGGCGCTTCTCATTTCTTTACGAAGAAAATCTCTATCCGTTACACCGAAACCGAAGGGGACGGGTAATATGGCGGAGTCCCCAAAGACGTTCTCTCTATGGGAAGAGTGCCTCGATGCGACCGGACGAAGTGAGACAAAGCTGATAGAGGGTATTTCCGATGGGCATGAAGAAGTTCAGAGGTACATGGAGGCGTGGGAAATCGACCTGTTTTGGCGGGATTTTTGCGACTGGATCAAAATCAAGGCAAGGATCATCCAGAAAGGCTACGAGATGACCCAGGATTTTAAGTGGTGCGCACCAATCTTTTAAGATGAACAGAAACAGAAACAGTGATGGAAAATAATACAATGATAGATACGCGATGCTGGCAGTCGTGCAAGTAGAAGACACTACATCCCCACTCAAAAAAATTGCGGGTAATTCAAGCACAAACTAGTCGTGCAAGGAAGTATAACTCTACTCATACATGAAGTCCGTGTAGTCGTGCAAGGACGACTCGACCCATAAACTGGTAATGATGTTGTTCAACTTATTTCATACATCCATGGGTGAACAATTCACGAGCTTTGGGTGGGCTGACGTGTCGGAAAGGGTCGCCAAAATGGATCGCCCCTCATCAGCGCCTGCAGGTGGACGTGGAGGAGGTATGACGAAAATGCACATACACACACTGCTCATAACACATTGATTCTGGGTGACTAAGAGTCACTTATGATTTAAGATGTCCTTCTCTGTTTCTGTTTTTCTCCTTGGTGAAGTTGAAAATCTACGAAATAATGATACAGCAGGTACGAATAGAATAACCGAATTCTTTACTAGCGTAATGGGGAACTTTGCGCCAACGAGAACTAAATATTTCTGAGGAGTGTTGTGACGAGTATACTTCTGGTTCTGCTTTGCTCCTTCATGTTCATAGGGGCTCGTGGAGGTGGTAAGGGTGCGGATGTCTTAGGGGGAGAAACAAAGCACAATCCGAGGCCAGCTTCGGCACCTGCTGGGTTCAGATCCAGCAGCAGACTGCGTCCCGGCTCAGCCTTCTTGGGAATGCAATCTTCTTTAAGAACAAGTGGCTTTTTCTCATTAGACTTGTTGGCGAGTGATGATGCGCTTAGTACCTACCAGAGAAAATCTTGTGTCTTCAATATTCTTCTAATGACAGCACCGACAGCCGCTCTACCATATTCTTCAGCTATCCAGGAACAACAGACGCTACATCAGCTGCATCAGAGTAGTACATCAAGTATAGCATCCGACGTACTACTAGGGGATGCTCTTCTACCGTCTTCGACCCTTGAGCAAGGATCAGCCGTTGCACAGCATTTAAGGCTCCCCACAGGAATTCACTTCCACACTTCATGCATGAATGTTTGTGTTTCCTCCTCAGCAAACTTCCACACTTCGTGTGATCTCTCTGTTTGTGTTTCCTCCTCGAACAGGTTATAATTAGAAGTTTAGAAGCGCTAAGTGATGCTTCCACTGGTGGCACTGCCACAACCTTCCGCATGACCGATGAAATGGCAAGTATTTTGGCCTCACCGACGGGACTGCGTGTGATAGAGGTTCTTCCTGATGGTGAAAACGTGCGGGTTGGCGTGTATCGTGACAATCGACCGGATGCGCCGCCTTCAGCGACAGTAGTACTCTCAACATCCATGATCGTGCCCTACAACCTACCAGACACGTGGGATGATCAGAAAGATGCTCCTGCGGAAGAGGGAGAAGAGGACATCAGGGAGGACAGGATGAAGAGCAAAGAAGGTCATCAACATGTCCTGTCGGGTGAGGAGAAGAATCAAGATGGAGTTCTTCTTGTTGACGCAAATGAGGAGTCTGAAGAAGACCAACAACGAGAAAAAGAGCTCGATGAAGCAGTTGTTATGAACTGAAGCGATGTCGTAGTGCCATTGTCTCAAGTTCCTGCCGTAGCCTGTCATCAATTTTCCGGAAGTTGAAGTTAAAATTGAAATATACAACCTAGAAGTAAAATCAAACTTGAAATATAGAACATCAACCTCGTACTAACTTCTTCCTCTCCGTCTCGTCCCCTTCTAATGTCCCAAAGGCAAAAGAGCTTGCACAGCAGAAGCAGTGTGCGCACTGGTTCCGCCAAGCTCCGCACATCACAGCATATACCCGCAGTCAGATCTACCGTAAAGCACGCGAGTCGATCTTGGAGAAGGGCAGACACGTCTTCATCATGCAAGGAGATGCGAAAGAACCCCTTAAGTTATGTGATGGGAAAGAGCCCCTTATTTAAGTTAAGTAGAAGCAACGGACCACCCTCACAGCTTCAACATCCGGGAAATTCGTAGCTATAGATACTTCAGCTTCCGGCCCGTATCGTGTTTTCATGAGTACCGAGTTGGTACACTTTAATAAAGCTAGACTGCACACACTCACACAGTCAGAGACAGAGTGAATACAACTTCTTACTAGCGTCAGATGGTCAACTCCTTTTCCTGACATGCTGAAAGCATATTTCCTTCATAGAACGGCACGATTATAGCACGAAAGAGCATGCCAATGACCGGTGGTAGCATCTCAAAGCCAGGGGGCGGGCATGTGGAAGATACCTACGATGTCGCAATCACCCAAGATGAAGAGCAAATTGGGACTGGTGCTGTGCAGCAATTTGATGAGCCAAGTCCAGTTGCTATTTACAGACGCGGCGATTTGAGACCGGTTGACCTCTACGGCATTGAAGATGCGGACTCCCCTATTGACGGTGCCGCTCTGAGAGACAGCGCGGTCACAACTGCTAGTGGAAAGTTCGTTGGAACATTACGGCTCCTTAGATGCCGAGGCACTTGCTTTTTAACCTAACCTCACACTTTTCCTCAAGTACTAGTCCTCCAAATTAAGTGGAAATCCGAGTAAAGCATCACGTCGTGCACAACCACATAAGTAATTTGAAATCCTGCTCTTCTACTCTAAACATCCGCGAGCATGTGGTAGGAATTTCAGTAGAGCCAAGAGATGTCATGTCTGAGGACGATACCTTCCGCATCTTTGCCGCGAACCCTGATTTGGAACTAAGGGCATTTCGTGACGATCCGGATCCAGTCTTACCACGCTTTCGTCGGTTGCTGTTCCCATCACTTCATTATGTAGTTGACTGCAAATGATAATGATTCTGATTCAAGAATGCATCAGGGCATCAGGCTTAGAAGGAAAAGGAAGTAGATATTGCAACTAAGTAGACTTCTGGAGGCTTAGGCTTAGGAAAAGGAAGTAGATATTACAACTAGACTTCTGGTGAAGGTCGTATTCATCTTGAGTTGCTTTTTGACAACAGCGAGCAATGGGAAACTTAGCTAAGTACTCCTCTTCGTCCTATTCTAGCTTTCTCGAATCCTTGTTGAACTGCACTTTTTTACCCCCTCCTCCTCGTGTACCTGGTCGCTCACGCGAGACCTTTCTGCGCATGGAATCTCTCCTCCTCCCCTTCATATCCGAGGGTCTCCTGAGTTATCTACAGCAACTGCAAGAGTGGAGCAGTGCGAGGTCTTCCATTGGCTGGAGAAAATGCGTCTCAAAGGGGATCTGCCGATCGAATACGAAACTACAAATTTGGTTATGGCTGCTACAATGAATTCAAGAATTGGCGTGTGTGTGTATGGTTCTGGTATTCTTGGTATAGCCTGAATTTGATCCGAAGGGTTCTCTTCTTGTTTTCCCTTAGGATCAAACTCAGGTTCCCAAATACCGGAACCATTCAGTGTGTGACTGAACTAGTGATAAGTACCGCAACACCATAGTACCTACTTGCCACATCGACCTCCATGAAAGATGGCTGCTGTGCAAAAAATGCAACATTTATTCTCCCTCGAATTATAATTATACAGTTTCTGTCCCATTGTCCTGTCAAGCTTCTAATGCACCCAGCAAAAAACAAGACATGATAACGAAAAGAGTTCCCTACTTTGCCAGCTGCACCAGCAACAACCACAAATTCTGTCGCATCTCTGGGAATGAGAACGACCATGCGTTGTACAACAAACAAGAAATCGATGCATTGATGTTATGGCTACTCTGTTTGACGTCCATGACCACTTTGATGAATGGTTCCGGTCTTTGGTAACCTGAATTTGATCATAAGGGAAAACAAGAAGAGAACCCTTGTGATCAAATTCAGGCTATACCAAAGACCAGAGCCATACAGTTGATCATCATGGGGAGTTGCTCACTTGTGTTGTACTAAATGAGGTTGAGCTGGGTTCCTTATCGACGTTATCCAAATATTTAAGCTCATTTTATGAATTAGTCCACTCGCCTTTGCCCGGATACAACATAATTGACCTCCTCTCTAGATGAACTAGACTAGTTCCCTCCGTCCCCTTCTTCTTCTAATTGCACGATTCTTAGAAAGCTTGAGCTCGAAAACCCCATGGGAAATCCCAGATTACTCGGATGAGGATGAGGACGGTGCAGATGCTTATGCTTCGGACGGCGACGAGGACGATGAAGCTATGGATGGTTTCTTTATCTTCTTTTTTGTGTAATTTCAATTTTCCGATAGTGATGGATCAACATTATCCTCCTATCTGATGAAGAAGAACTCTCGTAATATTAAGCTCCCGTAATATTAAGATTAGCTCTACTCGAGCTCTTTGTAGATTTCAAGTCGAGCAATCAGTTGAACTCAACCAATGGGGGATGAAAAAAGTGAACATATTTATTATGAACTAAATTCAAATTGACTTTGACTTTGGTCACTTCTAACATCAATGAAGACGAGACTATTCTTGCTGCGCCGATCGCGGCGGTGATGAATGACCTAGAAACTCTCGATGCTGAGGATTTCGTCGATATCAAGGATGACTACTTTTATGGCCGCTTTGGAGAAAAAATCCTATTCCTAACTTTTTCTACCGCTAACTACTACCAGTATTAAGGGCCTAACTACTTCTACCAGATAGAAGGGTAGGGTAAAGGTGCTTTTGTTCCCGCTTTTTATGCCTTTCCTAAGGGAGAAAGACAGAAAAAGCGGGGTCCACGAGCACCAAGACCCTACCTCTAACAGTAACCAGATAGAATTATAAATTGCTAGATCAATGACGATGACTGAGGCACGAAAACGAATATATGTCCACCTTCGCCGTCATATTCATCTACTGTAGGAGTACAGCTCATTCTCATTGTCGAGGAACTTCTAGAAGATAGATGTCTACTGATGTAGAAGCACAACTCCTTCTCATCTATCATCTTGAATGGTTCCGGTCTTTGGTATAGCCTGAATTTGATCACAAGGGTTCTCTCCTTGTTTTCCCTTATGGTCCAACTTCTTCGGTTACACCAAGTAGTACCGGAAGCATACACATGGAAACAACGCATCCTCGTCAACCTCATCTAAACTCCAGACCGTGAAGTCAGAGTAGGTCCACCCAGGTCTTCCGGGTTCGTGCAGTTTAGGTGGCCTGGGGAATCGCCACTCACCGGACACATAGACTGGTGGGATAAAGCGTGGCTCCAGCATCTGTTGACTTTATGATCGGAGTCGGTTACTCTGACTAAGTAATGCATGAGTATCTATATGTTGAGTACTAATTAGTACTATGTGCTAAGGGGCGATGTCGATGAGGTCTTATGATGTCGATGAGGTTTTATGATGTACTTGTGAGTACTAAAAATAGTATTAGGGTTAGGGTTTACGGTTGATTACTAGTCTTTAAGCGAGTCGATTAAGAAGTTGTAGCGTGGTATACTCGCTGGTTTAGACGGGTTACTCTTCTAAGCTTGTTCGTAAACGCAGATTCTGTAACTGATAGTGGAGCAGCAAACTATGACTACGTTGTAGCTCGTTTACGAGGAGAGAGACTTCCGGTTTTGCGTCTGGTGGATCGTGGTGATGGTGTCTTTTTGTTTGCTAAAGCACCTAAGATCGTGCCTGCATCAAGACATCTCCAAGGTGCTGCTCAACATGCTGTTAAGGGCAAGTTTAGCGAGGAGACGGAAAAGCTTTGCTTTGATGTATAAATGAGTAGGAAATTGAAAAAAGGATCAACGAAGAAGTAGATCATTCTCACAAATCTCCTGGATGTTGTTCCATCTCGATCATTTTTGCAGCTGGAAAACGATGAACATGAAGTATTATAGCAAGCGAGAACATGAAGTAGTTTTAGAGGACACCCTCCACCTTTTCTAAAACTACTTCACCTAGTACCTCGACCTCGCCAGCGGACGACGCTGAGCAGAAGAAAGAAGGAGCTGAAGAAGAGGAGAAAGAGGCTCACGAGTTCAAGGAACGAGTCAATAGGATGACGCCACGTGAATTCGAAAGGTCGATTAAATTCAGCGAGGAGGAAGTCAAGCTCATAAATGAGTACAGCAAAGAGCTGGAGAGGCGCGTCTACGAAAGAAGCCATCGGCGACGCAACGCAGCACTCATTGCAGCAGACAAACGCAAGCAGAGACGCCATCAGTTAAGATTTGAACAAAGTCAACAACGGACTACATGTCCCATAGTGAAGATAAAGAATAAGAGAGTAGAGGACTTGTTCTGCACACATACTTGTAGAGGTAGTTGGCGCTTGCTCTAAACCAGGCCCAAGGCCATGATACAACAGAAGAGGATGAATATCCTGTCTCGAATTGCGCTGAGCGATATAATGGAAACAATCATGGTGGAGGGGAAGGAGGAGGAAATGCAGGACAAGTTAGTGACAACGGAGGTGAACAAGGACCACCGCCTTCAACATCCTTTGCAGAACAAGAAGTAGTAGGTAGTACTCGTTTAAAGAACTGGACGCCAGCCTATTCGCCGTCAATGATGCCCTTGAAGCGGATCACGGTGATGGACCAGTGGTCCCTGAGTGCTGGAGAGCAAGCAATAAGCGCACGCGCAACAATTGTGACTATTTAAGGGGAGGAATTTCTTTGTTACTTTCACCGTGGGGCTCGTTGAGAAGGATCGACAACCTAACCTAACCTAACCACCGATGATGTAATGTTGTTGGAATACGTTTTTACTAGGAAGCGCAGTGGCAATCTAAGTAAACACACTTGCATGTAGGTGAAGTTGACGCTCAGGTTGCTTGGTGATGGCAATATTCTGCTTTCCTTTTGACTGTTACTGAAGCTGAAGTTCGAGTACTATCCGTTTCCTTTTTTATTATCTCTAAGCCAGCAACCGCCATACCGGGGAAGAAGTGGCAGCGCGAAAGCCAGCCGACTGGCACTATTTCCGACCGAAAGTTGCGACGGTTTATCAAGTAAGACCAAAAAGATCTGCTGCTCGAGGAAGGGATGCAGATGGTCCTAGTACTTACGGCTCCAAGGCAGCTTGTTAATATTCTAGTATTTTTAGCCTTAGCTTGAGGATTTCTTTTTCTAGAAGCCGATTAGCAATTGCTCAAGGCTTAACCTTGTTCGTAATCGTTGAATATGAGATAGAGGTTTCGAATTCGTTCGCGTCTAAGAATAGCCCCGAGGCAGAGTTGCCCTTGCTGCAGAACTGAATGACGGTGAATACGGTGCAAATCAGGACGACAATCGTGACGGTCCAACTACTGCGCAGCAGGAACCCCAAACTCATGCTCTTTACTCCAATAACGGAGCAGCACTGGAGCCGGGCGAAGAATTAGATCATAATCTTCCTGGTGACGACCACGATGAAGCACGAATAGCAGCACTAGCACCCACTTTGGCTGCTCACCCACCACCTTCAACTATGCCAACAACAGAACTCTACCGCCCATCCACGGTACTGCCAGGAGCATCAGGTGGGTCTTCTCTAGCCCAGACGAAGCGTTATCTCGTCAAATTACCTGCCCATTTCTCCTCAAAGGACCTTGCTCCGGAGTTTCAACAAGGATTGCCATTTTATCGAGAACCACACATGGAGAGGGGGTTGCAATTGCTCAACCGTGGAGGGATTAGTTTGAAAGGAGACATCCTGTGGGGTCGAGTAGTGCCTGGAGAACCAGACGAAGATCCAGCTTTGCGCCATCACACGGGAACGCATGAAGCACTGAATACGGATTCGAAGTTATGAGCGGAGATATTTCCTTCTGGTTCTAAAGATACTAACAGAAGAGCTAACTCTGTCCTACTCCCAGTGTACATAGAAATAGCTAATGATTCTGTTCATTCTGATTCTAATCTCAGCAGCCTCTCGCCGTCGCCATTTCCTCAAGATGCCCATTGCTCCCAACGTCTATCGCTATGTCCCGCTTGCAGTCCTGAGGCCCCTCCTGCCCCTCTCCGCGATGGAGGCTTCGATGACACAACACTACAGTGAGGAGGATCTGAAGATGAATCATCCACTACAAGGAGACTCCACCCCAGCTGGCGCGCGGTTAGCGCATGAGCCCTTGATGGGTCCTGGTCAGAGGGACGACTACGGTCTAAACGATTTGATCCATGATGTGGATGTGACCTTGCCAAAACTAGGCAACGACATGGAAAAGAACCTGCAAGGCGTGCTACGGCAAGCGCCAGAGTACAGAGATCTAGTCGAGAATGCACAGGCAAGGGCAAGGAGACTGAGGAGCTTGATTTATGAAGATGAATTTCGTTCACGTAGTCGTGATTCAGTTTTTCGGAACAAGCGTTAATGTTATAGTGTGCGTCACCGTCAATCTATTTCGTCCCTTTCCAGAACCCACCTTCACGATATGCACAATAGTTGTATCAAGTACGTGTACGGTTTCGGTTACTGACATAGACATATAATTATGATTCCCTCCTCGTCTTCTAAAAACCGCAAGACTACCAAGAAAGCTATGCCAAAGATGCAGCGGACGCCATTGCTTTGGCTCTATCAGAATTCTCCTGCGCGGAGAGGAATGAGCAGATTCAGGATGAGCTCAACGAGCACTTCTCCCATGGTTGGCACGAGGAGGATATGTTGAGTGGGAATGAAGAGGCAGAATCCTTTTCTCAGTTGGAGGAGGAAAGACGCGGAGGTATGCTTGGAAATCATAATGATGACGAGGGGCGGAAGGAGGAGAAGGAGGAGGATGGCCATGCGGTTGCATCCTCCAGCAGTTCTAGTACTACCACGTCGTCATCACCATCATCGTCAACATCTTCTGCCCCTCATGACTACGACTATGACGCGAGTGGCGAACTTGGGGCCGCAGCACCAGTCGCCGCCGAGAGTCCCCTAATACCCAGCGCTACCTCCTTCTTACAGGCTGAGCAAAAGGACAAAGAGCAAGATGCAACTTCCAGCAGAACAAAAACCACATCATCAGAGTCTCCCTCTACTCCCTTCACATCCCTGTTCGCAAATGTGCCAAAATTGCTGACGACACTCAAAGATTACCCTGAACTGGTCAATGTGCTTCTTGGCCGTGCAACGGTCACCGTGCCAGGTAATGTACAGAGTCTAGGGTTAGACCTGTTTGGAGCCTTGTCGAACAGTGACCACTCTAGTGAGGATGATGATCAAGATGTGGGACCCATCTCAAGTAGTCTTATCGAAGAACGCAGGGAAAAACGTAGACAGCGATTTGGAGCTCGAAACAGTGGAAGAAGGAGAAGATCTAGTAGAATTAAGGCTCAACTTTCATTGGTCATAAGTCAGCTTGGTCACTGAGATCGAAGAGGAGACCCCGCCTGGAGAGAACGGGGGAAAATTAAGGGGAAACTTTTCCAACCTTGTGTGATAAAAGTGAGCAAATTAAGGGGAGACCTTTGAACTTGAAGGTGGTCCTCTCTTCCGTTCAGAATCAGTGACCACTGACTGCTGACCTTTAATAGAAGGAGTCGACAAAAAGTAAAACGACGCGACTCTTCGACTTCTACTACTGCGTCTGACCTGAGTAGTGCAACGTCCTCTAGCGGGGGATCTAGTTCTGATAGTGCTGACGAGGATGAAATAACGAAGTTGGAGGGGCTGGACAATGGAGTTCAGAGCTCCAGCAGTGTCCTCGAAGTTGGAAACAGACATAAACATCAAACTCAACACAGGTCTACCAAAAAAGCATCTTCTTCAACCTCCACAACGCCTACAACTCAACACAGGTCGACCGCTACTTCAGCCGCCTCCAGTACAACTAGTACTATAGATGCTAAAGGAGCGTCTCCAGCCAAAGCCTCTCTCAGAAAACTCTACGATCAGTGGGGCCGACTCTGTGTCGCAGATAATGAACGGCACAACCGACACCATCATGATCATCATAGGCACAGTAAGACTAAGCGAAACCCCAGTTCTTGTCTCTACCTTCCTCCAGTCGGCTTCCGTCGTGTGCCACAATGCGTCTCAAACACCGTGTCGGACCCTGAGGTCTTCCAACTAGACAAGGTCTGGAATCTTAGACTTTTGTCCAATCACCAAACGTATTCCCAAGAGCGGGCATTGGATGATCTAGGGACGCAAAAAAGCCTGTTGGAGACGGATTTGCGAAGACTGCTGGTTATTATGAAAGGACTAAGTTTTTTATAAGTATAAGTACTAGAGCAACTGGTGGAACTGCACCAACAAGTACAAGAGAATTTGGACTTGGTCTACTAGAATTTTTGGTTTGTGTTTGACACGATCATCGAGTATGAGATACTAGAATATAAGGAAAAGTATCTACATGGTGTAAGAATAAAAGCTCTAACATCTGAATCAAAAAGTCCTCAGCAACGAATTCCGACAAGCAGGAGAAGGGACGCCCCGTTTGGTCTGACCTCTTTGAGGACAGGTTGAGAGAGGCATACATGTCGCTTCGTCGAAAAGGATGGCAAGATTAAGGCTCAACTTTCATTGGTCACCATTTAGGTTGGAATCACTGAGATCGAAGAGGGGCCCCCTTGAGAGAACACCAGGGGAAAACGAAGGGAAATCAAAGGGAGAGGCGTGAGGCCCTTCATTTCACTCAGAATCAGTGACCACTGACTGCTGACCTTTAACAAGAGTTGCAGGAAGAGGCTAAAATGGAACTAGAGGAACAGGCAGCCACAGGAGAATCTTCCTCCTCCTCTTCGTCCATACTTGATGTCTCAACATCATCAAAGAGAAAGTCTACTGGTTCTGCTCGTCTTCGTCGTAGGTCTCCTCATTCTGCTCCCTCGGCTTTGATCCACAATGTTCTCAGTGCAATCGAATCTGAGTATACAACTTCTAGCACTGCTGGTTCTCCTGGAGAGCACGATCAGCATGGTGGACAACACGACCAAAAATCCCACGTAGACCTCAACCGCTATCTATACCAGCAAGGTTCTTTCCTAGTGAAGCACGCGGAACAGTCGTGGGAAGGCTACGTGTGTCGCTTGCGCGGGTCTCTGTCGAGAAGTGTTCTAGACCATTTCAAACAGTTTTTGGTGGAACAGCAAGCCAACCAGGAGAAGTTTCGTTTCAATTGCCCCACTACTATCGAAGTGCAAGTGAGGACAGCAGCAGGAGGAAGAGGAGGAGGAGGAACAACTTCTACAGACAGCTCAGTTATGGTCAGCATTTAGTGTCCATCTTTCTCGGCATCTTGGTCCCCTTTTTCCTTGTATTCTCATGAAATACAAGGAAACGGGGGTCGAGATGAGGGGACCAAGATGCAAGCTAGCAGACTCCAACTCAGGGTCCTCAATTACATCCTCATCTAAGCCAAGATCAACATCATCTTTCACCATGAACGTGTTTGATTCCATGTCAATGCCAGCGATGAAAGGAGCTGTTTATTCCGAGTTTCTTCACAGGAGCAAGAATGAGGATCTGCGAGGTGATCGACGTAGCGGAGGACCTCGACACTTCAGATTGCTTCAATATCGCTCACAGGAGAACAAGGGGCATGTAGTAGGACATTCTAGTGCTTCAAGTCCTAAGAGAGATGAAGATGAAGAGGAGCTTGTAGAGATAGAGGATCATGAGGACGACGAGGACGAAAATACTGCATCAGAATCGTCACACAAGCGTGGCCCTCCAAGTCCAAGAACAGTCGGGAGTCTTTCTCTCCCACCTCACTCCTCTCTCGTCTTAGATATCAGCTACGACGCAGGTGCTAGCTCTTATCGAAGCGCCACATCTAGCTCCCAAGAAGATGTGAACTCTTTCACACCAGGCGATCTAGTAGTATTCCCCGATCTGCCAGACAAATCCGGCTTACGCGGAGTTCCTGTGGAATTCCTGGCTGTGCACGATGATGAGACAGAAGGGAGGGTCTATACAGTGCGACAACGGGGAAAAATGGACGCAGTTGGCGGGAACCTTCAGGACTACGTCGAGATACGCACATCGTCTCGAGTGATTCCAGCAAGTGGAGCACCATCTACGCATGTGCGACGAGGGAATGGAAGAGGGGCGAGGGACCATGAAGATGTTATGATGGGTTCACAAGGCATAGGCACAAGTGAAGCGACAGCAGACAAGATCTGTGGTTGCATATCCTCACTCTTTATTACTCGGTTTTGTAGCTCTCCTATGGAGGAGGTACTACTTAACTGACTGGCCTCACGCAAAGACTTATATTGCTTTATACGAGGCGCCATGATGACATAGGCATGATTTAAGAAATTTCCATTTGTAATTTATCGGAGTGGTCAGAGCTTTTCTTCATTCAACCGAACGCAGACTTGGAAAAGACCTATGACCGTACGCGAGCTGGCGGCGATGATCATAGGGATGGAGGCGGTAGTGGAGGGTCGAGCTGAATTTACTCACGAGGTGTGATAGATGAAATTGAAATTGAGTCAGTGGTGGTGAAATTAAGTAACTCAATCTAGAGCTGCTTCCTTTGCTCTGACACTGACGAGGTAGGTTGAAATTAAATCTAATGTTGAACCTAAACCTAATAAGGATTCGGGAAAGTTAATGTAAATGTTCTTTGACGAAAATTACTACTTTTGTACAAACTAAAAGTAAAAGATTTGTAAATGTAATCTAACTCAATGTCAGTTCAATTATCCTGGTAGACGATGTATCGTAGGAACTTCATTAATCAGCACTTCTTTGAATACCTCCTTAAAAACGACGACAGTAACTGTACACATTAACGTCAATTGAGTTAAACTTATGGAGTTCAAGTGTTGACGATCACGATGACCTTGAATTGGATGAAAACAACCAAAACAACTCTGTGATTCAAAAAATGATCAACGATTAAATTGAATTTTGTCCAAGAAGATGCACAAACGTAAACAAGTGCTGAGGGAATAAGGAGTCTTATCGTGAAAAGCAAAGAGGGTCTTTTTTTGCTGGTGATACCATCAAGCTACTTATGTTGTCGTGAAATAAAGCAAAGAGGGTCTTTTTTTGCTGGTGATACCAACTACTTATGTCTTGAACTACGCAACACTTAGGCCTTGATCGCAGAACAATGTTTGCACTATGGTTTGAGATTCTTGTGTTCACTTCGCAACTGTGACTTCATTGAGTTTGTTCTTTTCGTGTTGAAAAGCAAGAGGGATAATATGAAGACGAGAGTATTAAACAACGGCCGCGAGCGTTTCTTTTAACGGCGTTTGGTTCGTCGTGTGTCGACAATTGAACACACCAGTGCAAATCGAAAATCACTACTTTCATGTCGAGAAGAACGGCTAAGCATATTCAAAATTGATTGATACCTTTACAGACTTGCAGGTTTGGATACCCGAGATTTTTTAGTACGAGGCCCACCCCTTAGCACAGTCGCTTTTCTTCATCCACATCGTTCTGACGTGTACTAGTTCATTGTGATCGTAGAGCCTTCGCTACTAACATTCGTTATCGTTCGTGTTCGAGACCAGTAGATTTAGCTATATCCCGATCTCGTAATAGAGGTAGAAGGAGAACAAGAAGGTACTCAAGCAAGATCCATTGTACGGAAATAAAAGAGGCATCGAGGTGAAGTTATTTCCTTGTTTTGAAACGAAAATTTCAATTCCAATTTTAGACGCGTTTTTATTTGTATTTGAGAGGAGACGACGCTCGAACCTGAAGGTTCTCTTAGTATATTTTTTCTTGTAGAAGGAACTAGAAGATAACGAGAAAGATAGAAATACGTGATCAGAAGTGACAGTTAGAAGTTCTACTGGAGTTATTGATTGTAACAACAAGCGATTTACATCATTTTCACATTGGTCTTTGTAATTGTGTTTGAAAGTATAATATTGAACATCGCAAAAATAACAAAAAAAAGATTTATTCGTCATCATCATACTTGACAAGTAAAATAATTTTTCTAATAACTATTGGTATTGCTATTTGGAGTCGGGGGGACCACAAGGTAGAAATAGCAGTGCTCAGATTTTCTGGCGTACACGAAGGGCGCGTATTTTATGCTCAATCAAACGGCAAAATACGAAAATTTTAAACTCTCGCAAGAGTAGCAGTTCTTGTTTAGTCGCCCATACTTCGAACACTTTGAAGTTCGCCTTTCTATAGGAGATTCCGAGACCACGACTACCTCATTTCGTAAGTCGGTCTAGGTCTGTTCTACAGAAAAGAAAAAGATAGATTCCCAATTTTTTCTTCTTTAAAGACTTGGTTGTTTTCTTGCTTTGATTCGCTTGTTTTTGAAATTGAATTTCTAACTTGTTGTTGTTCCACTATTGTACTATGTATTGTCGATATTTTGTAATGGATCATCAACCAATTTCAAATTGAGTGACCTACTTTGTACTCTATGTAGAACCTTCTGACCGAAATTTTTTAGCAAGAAGATGCTGAATTATAGGAATCAACGCCGGAGAAGATCCCTTGAGAATTCTTGACAGAGTGAGATCCATCTGAGTATGAAAGAACAAAAATTGTGACAGCATAAAGATCTCTTGAAATTCTTCTGAAAGATCTTGATCCTCAATCCATTCCAAAATCAAGCACCAAGACTATACGAATAGTGTGACTGTAATAAGCTCAATATCCTTGATATTCTCACAACGTGGTCAGGACGTGCATTTACCAACATCAACCTTCCCTATTGCCACAAATTCAAATGCAGTTCGCAGGAACCTTCTTGTTTTTATATTGATCGTTGTTTGAGATTGAGTTAGTTACTAGAGTGTGTCTCATTTGTGGTATTACTTTGTATTGTTTTCAAAGGCTTTCAAGTCTATTATAAAAAAGGGAGGAGCATACGACTTACTTAGCATTTGTTGCCTTTTCAAAAATTATAGATTGGAGGTCGTCTTGGTTGTATATTTTTGACCTTGATGTCATCTTTTGAGGATTTGTTTGTTCTAAGAAAAAAATGAGAAGTTATCTTCCATCAAAAAAAGCAAAAAAATATATTTGTAATTCATCAAAAGTCTATGAATATCTATTCAACATAATCCAAACTCCACCGAATAGTACACTTATCAAGCACAAAGGTAGAGGATCATTTGTATTGAAGATTGAGACGGACTCGGACGACACACCGTTGTTTGAAAGAAACTTCGTTTGACACTGATTGTTTTACTTAACATCAAGTCATTAGTCTAGAACGAAAAGAAGAGCATGCTGGTGACCACTCGTATGTTGCGTATCTGACGAAGGGAGAAGATGCGTCGCGGAAACAACTTAATGCAGGACAACTACATCATCTTCGTACCAACATCTTCGTATGAACAAATAGACGGAGCAAAGGAACAAGAAAAACTTGAGGAATAGCACGACTTGAAGTGATTGTGGTGCACTAGTACACATCACATCACTCGGCGCTCTTTCAAGTCAACATAGCTAGAGAAGAAAAACGAGATTTTCCTACGACGACTACATCAGACGAGAAAGGAATAAGCAGCAGCAGGCTAGCAGCATTATAATCCTACACGACGACACGCGGAGAAGCGAAGTTTACTTACGACAACAAAAAAATAAGTATACCTGTACAACGTCAAGCACGTCCTCGAGGATTCGACAACAAAAGGCGACAGCAACAGTAACAACATTTGCTAAAAAAATAAACTTCGCTACAGAAGTGCAACTACAAGAAGAACTTTTTCTTCTTGAGCCAACAAGATGGCAGCACCGGCAGCAGCGGAACCACCAACAGCAAATGGTGGGCCGTCAAGAGACGGAGAAGTTTACCTTCAAGGTGTCGTAAAAACCTACTCGACCAGAAAAGGGTTCGGGTTCATTACCAGCGAACACCTGCAGCAAATATGCGGAGATATCTTCGTATTCTCACTTTGTCTTGCTCGAAGTTCACTCGTTATGCTTGTTGAAGAAACAATATCAAGATACCTCCAGAACAGGTAAATGAATGAATGAATCAGTGTAGCTAGTACTAGTAGATCTGTAAATTGAAATATCATTGTAGCTAGTTCTAGTAGATCATCTAGCTGGAGCATTTTGATACGTTGTACTTGTACTAGGGAATACCAACACCAAGTGTGTGAAGAAATAGAAGTCATTTGTTTCAACAATATCCTTACATTTAAATCTCGTCTTTTTAACACATCCATATGATAAGTGAAAAACCCACTCAGGTTTACAACACCCACTTGGTGGGTCGTATCGGGTTGATTGCTGGGGAGAAGGTTGAGTTTGTTTTATTCTATGATCCGGGAACGCTGCGTCCGCAGGCAAGGAACGTACGAGTAGTGGAGCCCGCTCCAGTGGCGGGAGAAGGAGCGTCTGCCATAGTAGTGGAAAAACCGGAGAAGGACACAGCATCAGGAGACGAAGAGGCGGAGATAGACCGTCTTAAGAAAATCAAAGACGCAGCGTGGAAAAAGGCACAAGAAAAACCAGGAGCACAAAATGCGGCGGGAACCGGAGGTACAAATTTTGGTTGCAATGCAGGACCATTTTATCGACAAGCGTTGATCTTCTGCACGTAAAACAGTCTCTCTCCTTAGTATTTTTGACAACCATGACCATCCGAATATACGATCCAAGAACTTCTCGTCCCTTACGTCATACTAACACAATTTACGTTTTCTTTTCCTTATATTCTAGATTCCGGCTCGGACTTTAAGCTGCCTTCTCCGACAGCAGCTGCGAATGGGGGAGCTAGTAAAGGTGCCACTACTCCTGGTGGCGGTGCTGATATGAACGAAACTATCCGAAGAGCTCAGGAGGACGCTCAGAAGAAGGTCATGCAAGAAGCGGCATTGTTACAAGAACTAGAATGGCATAAGGATGATTACATGTATTATCCTCCGAACTATGCAGCACAACCGGAAAGACCTGGTACTAAATAATTTTTTTTCTTACTTGATGAAAAATGCCCTCCTACCTACTTGATGAAAAATACCCTTCCTTACTTGATGAAATAATTTTTTTCCTCACGCTTCTCTCGATGAAAAATACCCTCCTACCTAGTACATCCAATAATCCAATCGATCCTAATGAAAAAAATCGCTATCGCCACGTCCACTTCCACAAAACGACAGTCCTAGTAATGATAAAAAAAAAATCGCTATCTCCACGTCCACTTCCACAAAACGACAGTTCCTCCGAAGACGTTGATACCAGTTGGGAGTGAGGTGACGATTATCGATTTTCCGATTAGGGAGCTTAATGGAGCGAAAGGAGTGGTGAAGTCTTTCCATGAACAGAGTTGCAGATATAAAGTCGAAGTTCAAGACGCGAAGAAGAGACCACAGGAATTTTTGATGCCGAAGGAAAAACTGCGCATCGATACACTTACATTGCCGGTAATGAATATGAAAAAACTTTTGAGACTCTACTACAACTACAACAGTTCCATGACTTCATCCAAGATTTCCTCTCATGATGACTGTTCATCAAAAACTCAACACTCTACCTGCACCTCAGGCTACAGCTGAACATGAGAGGCAGATGAAAGAGAAACAAGCGGCAGCGAAGGAGATTTTAACAGCAGCAATAAACGGAGGAGGAAGTCAGGGGTATCATCTATCTATGATCATGATGTGTCGTGATTTGTAGTTTTCTTTCGCTTCTAGTTCTGGTTTTGCAACATTGAAATAGCGACATTATCCGCGACCTCAAGCTGGTAAAGGGGAATTTCCAATATCTTTCATGATCTCCTTCATCTCCGTAACCATGCTAGTATTCATCCTATGATAGATTACTTTCACAACATTTTTTCATTCAGTCGCGCCACGACCCCTGGTGGGCAGGGAGCCGCAGCCCCACCTTTGAAAGGACAAGTTCCTACACCACAGACGGGCGTCCCTGGACAGGCGGGAGTGCAGCAACAGGCTGCCTTAATGCAGATGATGATGGCAAAGGGCTTGAACAAGAATTTGGCTTTGGCGCAGATTTATGCGGCAAATCCAGCCAAGGGAAAGGCCTTGATGGCCGCGACCGCGCCTTACTTGCTGACGGGACAGCCTGGAGCTCCTGGCACAGCAGGTGTTCCGGGTGCTGCTCCTGGTCAACCAGGAGGTCAGCCACAAGGAGGGCTTCCAGGTCAGTCACAAGGAGGAGGAGGAGTTCCTGCAGTCTCGCCAGGCGGCGTTCCAGGACCTTTGGTGGGAGGCGCACCGGGTGCGGTGCCAGGTGCGAAGGGCATGGACCAGAATATGGCTGCGATGATGCAAATGTACCTGCAGCAGAAGGGTCTCAAGTCGGCAGATGCATCCACGGCTGCGTTAGCCGTCGCCATGAAGGGAGGCAAGATTCCTCCGCAGCTGCAACAACAGGCGACGCAGCAATTGCAACAGGCTCAGCAGTTGCAGCAAGCCCAACAGCAACAACTTGCACAGCAAGCCCAACTTGCAATGGCGCAACAGGCGCAAATGCAGCAACAGCAACGTCTGCAGAAAGAAGCTGCGGACAGGGCAAAAGGGGCGATGGAACAGCAGCAATTGGTGCAACAACAAATGGCAGCTGCTGCTCAACAACAAGGTCAACAACCAGGAGTCCCTCCTCCTGGGTCTCAAGCAGGTGTTCCAGGAGGTGTTCCACAACCTCCTCAACCGCCACAGCCAGGAATGCCTCAACAACAACTTCCTCCTCAAAAAGGTGGAGCTTCTTATCCTCCTGGTGCCGCTCAACAACAACTTGCCCCCCCTCCACAGATGAACATCAACAAGATTCCCGGAGGACAAGGTGCGTCTGCTATGCCGCAAGGAACGACCCCAGGAGCTACTACATCCACTACAGCAGGAGGAAACAACATGCCTCCCCTCGACAAGAACAACATTCATCAGAGCAGAAGTCCCCACGACCAACAAAGCCCACGCAGCATCCCAGGACCCCCAACCAGCAGTCCTACGAGTTCGAATCCTGCCCACAGCAACCACAGTGGAAATATGGCACACGATCCAAGCAGAGTGGCCGGCGACCCATCCTTGGAGGAACTCAACGGAGCACCAGGAAAACACTGGCGCGTCCGTCTCGGATGCAAAGACTTCACGGAGTCAATCGTACTACTTCCATATTGATGTGGTCGCTATGAATGTGTCTATTCGTTATCGTTTCTTCATTGCTTTTTCCATAATATCTTCTCATTCTCTGATCATTATGAATTACTTTTACAGGAGCTTTTTTACATCAAAAAATTATGATCCTATCACAATGAAAAAGAAAATGATCCAAAAATCTTTCAACATCTTCAACATCCTCAAGAACATCTTCAACGTCCAGGTTCGAGAAAAAGCTGATATGTCATCGCAAGAAGTGCGACGTTTGCTACCTGGCGATCGCATGATTCAAGCTGGAGGAACTATTCGTGTTGAGCCAGGCGTCGTGCGTATGCCTATCCAACCATCTGGTTGGGTCACGGTTCATGCTAGACCGATTGGAGGTACTTCTTTTCTTAATTAATAAATTTAAATGTTGCTTCAAATTCAAATGGATACAAATAACAAATTCTAAGTTGATGTTGTCCATGTAGTACATGAAGAATCATGTTGTAGTTCTAACATGCTGGATTGCAATCTTGTTCTAACTTCTACTTCTCAAAACAGGTCCAACCTTCATCGAGCTTGTTGCTGACGACGTTAATAAGGCAAGAGCCGTAGTCCCTGTGCCTCCAAAGAGAGAAGAAGCACCACGACAGCCAGCCACCACTACGACAACCACGACGAAACCACACGACGAGGCACCGGTGGACTATGGAGATGTGCCGGGACTCAATGTGGCTGATAACGTGTATCCGTTGCCGTTCTTGCTGCGCTTTAAACTGGTGGCGTCGGTATTGGAGGATAGCCATCCGGTGAAAGGTCTCCAGGTAGCGAAACTCGCAGAATCAAGACTCGGACATCAGAGGCAAAAAGACAAAGAGTACTAATTAGGTTTCTGTTCTTTCACTTAACATTAACTTTAACAACATATTCTTATTCAACGGCAATAAATGTAGTCGTATCATCAGCACTATCTCTACTGTGGACGTAGAAATACCACGATCTCAACCTGAAAAATGGTTTTCATCTAATAACCTTCATCATGGACTATCATAATCGACCTATTCACCTTCAACCTCCAAATCTAATTCGCATTCCTACAACTACAACCCTCAACATTCCTATTTTGAACAGGAGCCGCGGTAAGGGCCGTGATGGCGAGAAAGGTGGACGCAAGAAACGGGAGAACAGAGATGACGGGGAAGGAGCCGAGCAAGGTGGTGAACAAGGTGACCACGACAATCGTGACCCTATGAGCACCTACAAAGAGAATCAACGACCGAACCACTACTCATCTATGAATCAAGCTGGAGGCCATCATAACAAATACCACAACAACGACGAACGCGATCATCGCGGCAGCAACGAGGGTTGGTACAACAGTCAAGGAGAGCGTCCTCCACGAAGAGACCGTGAATACAACCCCCCAGAGCGTGGTGATCGAGCAGGTGACCGGGTATATGGTGAATCTGGAAGAGGTAGTTACAACAACGGAAGCTCCTCTGGAAATCGAGACAGCAACAGTTCGTCTTACAATCGTGGCGAGAAATACGGAGGGGGCGACAAATACGACAAGTACAACGGAGGTGACAAGTATCACAGCTCATCTGGTGGAGGCGAGAAGTACGACAAATACAGCGACAAGTACGACAAGTACAGCGACAAGTACGACAAATACAACTCGGGAGAACAAGCGACGACCTCCAAGTATGAGAAATACAACTCAGGCGACAAGTACAGTTCCGAAAAATACGACAAGTACAACAAAAAGCAGCACGACGAGTGGTGGGATCCGAACTGGAATAAATCATGGAAAGCATCAGACAAAAGTTCATCAAAGGTACTTCATCAAGACGATCTTGTTTTTCTTCATCTCATGTAGGAGTTAGATATTTAGATTTTGAAGTTAGGCCTGCTACTGTTGACTGGTGGTTTTGAGCATGTTTCTCTATGATCATGACCATCTCCGTCAACAGGATCTTATGAAGGATACCTACTTCAAGAACATAAGATGATGTAGTTGACGTCAACAGGATCTTATGGAGGATAGCTACTTTCGTCTTAATTCCTTCTCACATCAGGAGCACGGATCTACTTACAGGGAAGACGGGACAAAGAGTAAGGGTAAGGGTTCCAAGGGCGATGGCAAAGGCTCCCGCAGCAAGGGCGAGAACAACAAAGATACAACTAGAGAAAAACAAGGATCAGATGTTGGAGGAGGTGCTTCGTCAGCCTCTACTGGCAAGGAGCAGGACAACACTCCCGGAAGCGGCTCGAAAGCACATAAGAACCCAACTTCTGCAAGCAAAGCGAGAAAGGACGACTATGGAGCCGAAGAACATCAAAAAACAGAAACGAGTAAGACATCCACTGCACCGGAAAGTAAAAGCACTGTGGCGCCAGCAGAACGAACCGGGAAAACCCCATCACAACAGTCCACGTCCGCTGCTTCGAGTGCACCAGCGGTTGACGAGGCTGCGGCGGTCGGCGTAGATGAAAAAACTGGGCAGTGCAATCAGCAATAATGTATCTTGTTCGACGATGAAAGTGAAACCAGATTCAGGGTGGTACTTTCCTAATTCACAGATGTTGTCGATCTTCTAGAAGAACAGACGATGTTGTAGTCCGTCTCCGCCAACCAACTAGAAGATGGTTGTAGCCAACTACAAGATCATGGTTGTAGCCAAAGTCTCTCTACTTAACGAGACGTCATCGTCTCTCGAACTAGATTGGCACTACTTCTAATGTATGTTAAATGTTGTAGAAAATGGAGTTGAGGAGCTCTACTTGTACCGACTGCAGCTTCTTCCAGACGGAACAGCTTCTTCCAGACGTGTATAAGAATTCATTTTTTGGAAAATCGATGTACTACTGGAGGAAGATAATTAGTGAATGTAATGTTGTTGTACTCCTACTCGGAAGATAGGGTTAAGTCGTCGTAATGCTACTGATTCTTCAAGGACGATTTGTCAAAAAACAGTTTCTTATCAATCTCCAACGAGCAGCATCATAGATGAAGAGATGAACATCTACCACGTGCGTCGTTGAGGTCTACTACTCCTGCTACATCAGATAGATTAGAGGTAAAAAATTCAAAAATTCGTGAAGATGATCTATTCATCCTGATCCACCTAAAAGACGAGTAAAAAACTGTATCCAACATACAAGATTATTTACATTGACGAAGATGATGATGAAGATGCCACCTATTACTATTAGATATTAACTAGAATGGAGTGATAAAAAAAACGAAAAAAACGTTGCTCCGTGACCTGAGAAATTCATCTAGTAGGAGGCTGATTTTTTAGCGAGCTGGGTGACACCAAAAAAAATATTTTATAAAATCTACTAAATCAAAAAAATATGATTTCATTACATTTACATCACATTGTCAGACAGTCCTATTTTTTTCTTCTAAATCGAAACCGATTTGATGTATTCAGCCTAAAAAAAACTACAATTTATTACAACTACAAAACTGACGAAGAAGAAGTTACTAATATTGTAGTCGGAGATTGTTGTACTTGTATTCTTCATGATGTACTATTATTATCACTATCAGAAGTTGTATCTTCAGTTATTGTTTCGAGGTCGTACTAGAACTAGATGTTGTCTTCGTTGGAAGACACTATGTATTCATTGGAGATTTAGATAGATTGTTTGCAATTACAGCATGATCTACGGCAAGAAAACTAGAGCCGTTGTTTGAGTAAAGAGTTGTTGTACTAAGTTTTCTTTTTATTCAGCATTACAGTAAAAATGATGTAAGTAATTTACTACTTTATCATGATGATCGCCGTGGTCGCCGTGGAGGGCGATTGCATTGTTTGAATGATTGGTCAATGAAAAAGAGAAAAATAGCTGTATTAAGTGGATCAAAAAAGCAAGCAGTCTTCTAGAATGCTGTGAAACCTAGACTCGATCATCATGTGTAGGCAACTCACAGCATGACTCATAGTTAGTAGTACAGTAGGACGAATTGTCATGTTTCAAAAATGTCGGAAAATATTAAGGTCATAATGAAGAGTAACACCTCCACTACTAGTTATAAATATAACTACTTGTAGGTGGTCCTGCATGGTGGATGAGTTGTTGTGATTTCTGATTCACTTTCGTCCTACTATAATCTCATCACTCGTCTTCAGGTCGACGTCACCTCCTCCTTACCCTTAATACAGTAAGTACATTCATAAAAATAAGTGAGCATGTGAGAAGCGTTGACTCAGGTCGTCGACGTCACCTCCTTACTAGTACATAGGCCACCCATGTGAGGAGCGTTGACAGTGAGTAGATTCATGTGCCTCTATCCTCTTGTCGTGAAGTAGGATAGAAGCGGAGGTGAGAAACTAGAAGTAGATTGAAGAGCTCTAGGTCTAGACTGTGTTGGGGAAATCCTCTAGATAACACCAGATTTTGTGTTGAAGATTTTTTCCTTAAGCTTCCGAATATATAACAGGAAACGACGAGAGCTCTAATATCAATCTTAGTACACATAATGAGTTGATCTTCATAGAAAAAGTACTTTTCCTTGTTGTACTAGAAATGGAGGTCCTCGCTCCACACTGCTCTGACATCACCAAGGACTAGATCATAGGGCCACCAAGTGCCACCACGATAACGATGGGTCAGACGATATTAAGTCGAGTTCGATACTACAAAAATAGAGGGGTTTTTTAAACTAGAATTGGTGATGCTTCAGCTACAGCTGCTACTAGTCTGTTGTACTACTAAGACGAGTAGGGTGGTGGATGGAACAATGAAATGATACATGGTGGAGGAGGAACTACACAACTCAGATAATACAAGAAAGACAGGGAGGCTCTAGGACACGTCTACGAGGCTATTCTCTTTTTTTGAGAGAAGACTGACCTTTGCGATCTAAGACTAGCTAACTGGCGAGACTATGAAGAGACTTTTTCTATGAAGACGTGGTCAACAAGATAGCGATTTTTATTGTATTCAAACGGTTAGGTCTGCTAGGCTCGGGCTACCGCGCGTCGCCACTTGATTGATTGATATCTTCTTACTCTTATATAGCGGCTTTCCTAGTGCTAGTATAAGAAGATGATAATTCTCTGTAGTTTATGTTATCATCCTCGTTTATCCTCGTCCTCATTATGTCATTTATTTTGGGTCCCATCTACAGTTGATGTTTTGATTTTGAACGCTTACGATGTGTCTGTTGCCCTCTTCCCTCACTGGTTGCAATCACATCGTGTCGGAAGGATCTTCTAGGCGCCTATTAGGAAAACAAGACAAGTGAACTTTCTTTAAATCTAGACTGCTAGAAGTAGGTGTAGGAAATAACTCCAGAACATCGCACTAACAAACTGCGCATTTAGTCAATAATGTCTTCATATTTATTGAAAGATAGGAAGTCGAGTTGAAGTCGTTTTTGAGTTGTGATATCTCGCTCACAACGAAGATCATGAATGTGCCTTCTCTTTGAAGTAGGTCGTCGTGATCGTGATCGGCAAGAACAACTACTTAACGGAAATCGAGATGTGTACTACATGGCGACCTCGACCACTTTGGAAAAATGGAACTAGATGAAGGATGTGTGGTCGCCAACGCCATATTGAGGGCGGAAGCGTTGTACATCATCTGCAAAAAAGACTAAGACATTGACCTTATGATTATCATTGTCGTCATTGAGTGACGATGATATCCACCTCCGAAGTCCTCCTTATACAGTCCTTACAGTCCTCTTTTGTCAAGAACTTCCTTTTCACCAACTTTCGCTATATTTACCACACCAGGAACCCCTCAGTAGGAGGGAGTCTTGTAATGGGCTCTCCTCCACCTTCCGCGGTGGTCATGTTCGTCGTGAATTTCCGAATATTCTTCACAGTAGGTCTGAGAAGAAGTAACTGTGCTGTAGTCTATATTAATCTTATTGTCGGTCACGGTCACGGTCCTCACGCGAAAACTATAATATTACAGTGATCATCATGATCATGTTGTCGTGTGAGCGAGAAGAGCTGCAGAGATGAAGTTCTAAATCTGTGAGACCTGCCGTAGTAGTTGTCACTCTGTTTCCCCGATGAGAGGAACGCGAGTCAGAGTTGCCCCCGCAATCAGACTAAAACATGCAACAAAAAAAGGAAGAATAATGCAACTGCACCAGCTTTTACTTTTTCCTACTTACTTGTTCTTTATCTTTTCCCCAGCACCAAGTTCAGGATGATTCTCTTGTCTCTTTCCGAGAACATGATCTTTCCAAAACTTTATCTTTTTTCTAATAGATACTGACTTATTCGTCTCCTCCTTGACAACAAGAACTACTCACCAGAAGAACTATAATTACATTCACTTTCACATTCTACTAGTTTTTACATTCACATTCACAAGTATCTATATAATTACATTCACATTTTTCTACTAGTACTAGTTAGACTACCACTTGTACTTACAAAAGAGAATTGAAATAAGGTGGATGATTGAGAACATATAGGAAGAAATGTCAGCAGCACATCCTACTTCAGCTGGCTCGCCTGGATCGGAGCAGCAGGTTTCGAGTCCTCGACAACCTTCTAGATTGCCACAACGGGCCATCAATCCCGCGTGGTATCCGTATTTTATGAGAGGCGTTGGCCTGTTCACTTATCAAGGTGACTCCTGGCTGTAGTAGCTTGATTCTTGAGAAGTGGCCTCCTTTCTAGTCAAACTTTCATTCTAGTGAAATACATGAAAGAAGTTTTTCGCCGTTGTACCGATCAACTCATAAGCTAAATTATTGACGACCCCATCCGCATCCGCTGCATCTCCATCCGCTGCATCTCCATCTCATCTTCGTAAGTGAGGAAGTGCAAAGGATAGAAAAGAATTAGTAGTACAACACCTGCTCTAGAGTACGTAGGTACAATCGTCATCATCATCTCCCTCATCATCTCCCTCATCATCTCCCTCATCATCTCCCTCCTCATCTCCCTCATCATCTCCCTCCTCATCTCCCTCCTCATCTAACAACCCCGTGGCAACTGGTGTCCTTCCTGCTTCGGATGGGCGTGTTTACCATGTCCGCGCAAAAGGACCTCCGATTGAGGTCGTTGATCACGCTCCAGAGAATAGTGGTCCTAGAGCATTAGAAGGTGGCCCAGAAGGAGAAGGTCAACCTCCGGCTTATTCTATGAACATGAAGATGAACTCAACATGATGAACAAAGGCTTGAAGATGGAGGTCGTGATAGCGATAGATCATCCAGATCGTCCACGATCTGGATTGAAGAGGGATAGCAAAGACCACATGAGCGTGAACGACCTGATCATAAGTGAAATTTGTCCTACTTAATGTAATCCTTTTTGTTCAGTCTTTTATCTTGTTCGAGGCCGCCGCTTGTTGGGTTCCTTTTCATCTAATCCCCCTCCCATCTTGTTCGAGCGTGGCCCTCTCGAAAAACTCGATTCGACAACGCGGAATTTCATTCTCAACAGACCCGTCTTAGCAGAGTTCGATTGGACACCGCCATTAAGGCTTGAACAACTCCACCATCTTAGCCAGCATCTTGCTGTACATTCCAGTGTGTTCGTGAAGGAACAACATGCTCTTCACAAGGATGCTCCACAACTAGCACGCACAATGGATAGTAGATGGACTTCTTGGTGTAGCCAGCATCTTGGTGTAACTGTCTGTTCATGAAGCATCTAACTCCAGATGCTATGCAAAGAGGAGCTCAGTGGGCAGCAGATCAGGAGGATCTATTCAACGGTATCGTTCCTGCATATCCTGCAGATCCTGCGCCAAAAGCCCCTCCACCTACCGGTGGAGTGTCGGATGTTCTGGAGTTATGAAGAAGCGGATCCGTAGTAGGCTAACGACCCTAACCTCCTCCGTAGTAGAACCAAGAACATCAGGAGACCACTTTCTCCAGAAGCTATCAGTAAACTAGTAGTGTAGAAGCTATGGTGTGGAACTAGTAGTATTGAATGAATATGAAAGGATTTCTGTTCAGTACAGATCATGATGGAGTTTGTACTGTGTTATAGGCTTTCCAATCTATGTTGTCAAATCCAATTCAAATTGATGCTAAAAAGTAACCTAGTAAACGTTTTTCGTCTAATCTTCGATGTTTCCGAGACGTATGGAATTACGAATGACGTGCAGGACATGCGGCTCACCGATGCGCACAAGAACGTTTATCAAGTGAAGCCGATAGTGGTTAAGGCAATAACGATCAGGATTGAACTATCTAGGGTCCTAACTGTTGAATGTGTTCCACTGTTGAATGTGTCTACTATCGACGGCACAAGAAATAGTAACACGAACTGGAATTTGTTATGACTTTATTTTCAAAAGAGGATATTAGAGACGGTCACGACGATACCTCTGGAGGAGTATTTACAACCGATCCCTCCATGAGTATCCTCGTGACAACTACAACAACCGTATACTCTAATATGCCCGGCGAAGTCTGGTGTTTAGCGTGGACGCCAGGTCAATTGGACACGATAGCGACGACTACCATGCGCGTCTACGGAGGAACGATACCAGGCAAAGACACCCTGAACCGAGGGTCGGGCAAGATGTCCGTGGCAGTAAAGAAAACGTTGAAGAAAGGAGACTTTGAGATTGTACTTTCTCCTACTTCTAAAAAGAATTCTTGTACTAGTAGTACGACTGTTACTCTGTGAAATGAAAATAGTGATAAATAAGATGAACAAGAAGTTGATGTGGTTGTCGGGTGACGTGAGTGAAGGTGCGGTGAAGGGAGGCGGGAGAGCTTTGGTTATGGAGGAAATGAATGGTTCAGGTTCTGGCATTTGGTAACCTGAATTTGATCATAAGGGAAAACAAGAAGAGAACCCTTAGGATCAAACTCAGGCTATACCAAAGACCAGAGCCATACTTTAGCACAACAACAACTGTTACTCTGTGAAATGAAAATAGTGATAAATACGATGAACAAGAAGTTGATGTGGTTGTTCCCCTGAACAAGGTATTCCGCGTTTAAAAAAGAAAAGAAAGAGCAAAAAAGCAAAGCTGAAAGTTGAATGACAAGTGATGGGGGTGAAAAAAGCTCCAACAGGAAGAATAATTAAAGGAAACAAACGCAAAAGCATTTTGATCTAGCACAAGGTCAAAAGATACCTCAAGACCAGGTAAATGAATGAATGAGTGACCTTATCAACGAACTAGAACTACAGCTTCATGATCAATTATCCACGACCCCTACTATTTCTCCCCGTTTATCTTTATCAGGTCCGCCACGCTTTTGCGCAGTGCCTCGGGACTGCTGTCGATCGCAGGAATGAGGTCGAGGCTGGCACAGACGTGCCCTGCGGCAAGGTGCGGATAAGTGTCGTGGAAACTGACAAAACCATACTAGGAAAAAGCTACGCAGATAAAACAATCATGCTCGATGAGAAATCACAAGATGCTTCGAAAATGCTGGCTCTACTACATAAGATGATGCAGGCATCACCGTTGTTGAGAACCTAACATCATTGACGAAGGGGAAACCTTCTACATCATCCCCATATTAACATTGCCTATTTCTCCCTCATTCCAAGAAACGTGGACTCAAGTGCACAGAAGACTGAATAGTCGACATCCGCCTAGCTTTGCCCATGTACTGCATGTGGTCTGTATTTCTGTAGCTAGTTCTTGCTGGCTTTCATCATCATTTAGACAATGTCTACCGACCTATGCATAACCATAACCATAAGCTGTTTCTTGAACCTGAACGTCCGATACTAGTAAAGTTGACAATACAGCTACATAATGACTGCCGGAGATGAGAAACTTCAAATAGGCTTGAATGAAAGCGTTTGTTTCCCGTCGAATGCCTCCATTTCAATTTAAGAGTCAGACGTGACTGCGTCATCGACAAGGCGACTCTTGCATGTTGCAGGAAGCCTGCGGATTCGTGTTTGTTAAAGGAAGCCTGCTGTCTTATTTGGAGTTTTGTGAGACGAGTCTCTCATACTTTGCTTATTCCAAGAACTTTTGCTGCTCTCCTGTCCAAATAAAACACACTTTTTGTCCTACTGGGAAAAATTTCTAACCGTGTATGTCAATGTCTAACTAGCACGACGAAATGAAGCATCTTCCTCCTTTCCACACAGAGAGCCTATGTCCACCTCGTTCTACTTCCACACCATAAACAACCCCAACAAGAACCTCCACGATCATGGGTCAAGGTATCGCGGGAAGTTTCCTCTTCCCAAAAGTGAACAGCGGAAGGCGGCCAGTCGACTTGACCTATACACCTGAAGGCACACCTATTTTGTACATCGACTACGAGCAGCGCTTCCTACCAGAATGCGACAGGAGAGCGATATTGAAAGCACGGCTTGGGATATCAGGGGGCGATGGTGGAGATGGAATGGAGGAAGGTACTGATGAGGAGGTTGTGACTTCGTTCGAGATCGAGACCAACTCGTCTCTTCCTTCAAAGGAACAGAGTTGGTCTCGATCTCGAACGGACAGCCATTAGCACTTTGTTTTTTCACACATTACATATAGATGTACAAGTCTACATGATAAAGATTTCTTGATTCTTTGTCTGGTGGGGTCTTCAGCCTATCATCAATGTCAAATCTAAATCTTTCACATCGGATGATCCCCAACTCGCTTCCCAACCCAGACCAGCCCCCAGTCGTTTTTCCACCTGGCTGTGTCTTTCAGTGGGTTCCGTATCGGCGACGGTGCATGCTCTACTTCCATGGAAACGGGGAAGATTTAGGGCAACTCGAACCCGTGGCACATCGGATTGCCCATCGTCTAGGAATGTCAGTGTTGATGGTGGAGTATCCCGCGTACGGCGTTTTTCAGCACGGTTGGACAAGGAGAGCCAGGAATGCAGCAGTTGGATCATCCGATGTATCAGCTGCGATTACCCCTTCATCTCCTGGTAGAATTATACATGTTTAAGGCTCATCAATATATTTATCATTTCTACAAGTCAGCTCTCCCTATTTCCTTCCTAGGATTGCGAGAACAAATGTAGGCAAGAAATGAATTCGAATTGTTTTGAGCTCTAACATGGAGACGAACATCAAGAAGAAGATCATGGTCGAATAAAAACAAGAGACAATATTCTTGACGAGACAGCATCTGCTACTTCCCATAGCACAACCAGTAGTTCCGTAGTCTTTACATCAGCGAATGCTGTTCATGATGCTGGTCGACGAGGTGCACCAGGTACACATGATGGTCGCGAGATGATAAGGTCAACATTTATAGTGTCCATCTTTCTCGGCATCTCGATCCCCTTGTTTTGCCTTGTATTATTCCTATGAAATGATACAAGGGTAGTAAAGCTAAAGGGGTCAAGATGAGGGGGCGGAGATGATGCAATCTAGCAGACTCTAACTCAACAACAAGCATCGTCCGCTTTGAATGTGGTGGTTGAGCCGGAAGAAGATCCTAACAGGAGCTCAAGCAGCACAACGTCACCGCCACCCTGTACTTGTGTTACAGTGGATCAAGTTGCCAGAATAGCACTCAACTACCTCCTTCATGAAAAAGGCTTTGTGGAAGAAGATGTCATCTTGTTTGGGCGTAGTATAGGGACTGGACCAGCCTCACGACTCGCTGGTCGGAGCAAGAAAGCGTTTCATGCGGTATCATTTTAGGAGTCTGGAGTCACATTTATAAATAAATATTTTCTATGGTAGCTTTATGTTTATATGTATGGACCAGAACTGGGAGGGTACCGGTACTAGAAGGGGTGGGAAAATAAGTGTTTCGACAAAAAAGGTAGAATTATCGATAAAAAAGGTAGAAGTAGAAGAAACGCAAAAGGTAGAAATCGAGAAAAGTAGGAGCCTTAGAGAACCAAAAAAGGTGGAAAAAAGGTAGAAAAAGACGCAAAAGTGGCTTGGCAGGAGGTCGCAGCAAAAGGACGAAGGGCAACTTCTACAGAAAGAAAGGCTTGTCCATCTTACTTGCATATACACGCACACTGGGGGGGGCGGGGGGATCGCAAAGGGAGGGGGCGCGCCGCTAAGCTCCTGCTNTCATCTCCTGTTGAGACAGTAGTTTTTCATCTCCCTCCATAGACAGTAGTTTTTCATCTCCCTCCATAGACAGTAGTTTTTCATCTCCTGTTGAGACAGGAGTTTTTCATCTCCCTCCATAGACAGTAGTTTTTCATCTCCTGTTGAGACAGTAGTTTTTCATCTCCCTCCATAGACAGTAGTTTTTCATCTCCCTCCATAGACAGTAGTTTTTCATCTCCTGTGGTCATCTTGGTCTCTTCAGTCGACAGATGAAAGCACACGAAGATGAAAGGTAGCTGGCTAGTTATCCCTTGACCTTGATGTCTGCGGCTATTTCCTTCGACCAAAGTACTGCGTTGCGCATCCTGTCTCTAAAGAAACACGGATCAGCCGGAGCAGATGTGTCGGGTCGTGTTTGATCGTGTCAATGGACCTGGGGTTGTGTACCCTGTAGACATTCCCGACCCCAAGCATAACTGGATGTGGGTCCCGAGAGAGGGAGAGTCGCTCAAGTGGCGCGTAACCGGTTGGACGGACATGCGGCAGTTTGAATGTACTATGGATGAATAATTGATTCTAGTACGTTTCTATGTCGTATTCGTATTCAAGATTTGTATTTTTTTACACAAATCCTGCAGCACTGTCGAACGCCGACGGGGCGTCCTCTGTGACCGGTGTTGTGGTGAATTCGCCCGAAACACCCTTTGCCGCGAAGCTTCGCGAAGGCGATGTACTGTTCACACGTGAACCAAGCAAAAGTGTATGGATTGTTCTGTAATATGGATGACTAGGTAAAGGTAGTACTACGTGGATCACACTGAGCCTGCTTAATCTGTTATGCAGGTCAAGTATGTTATGTTAGTAGCCTGAATAGACATAATTTGATATAAACATGAAGGTATAGTAGAAGTACTAGATGCACTGTTCACGGGTGATGAAAAGGCGATGTACTGTTCACGCGTGAACCAATTGTATGGACTGTTCTCTAGTAGACTGTTCTGTGTGCCCTCCCAGATGCCCTCCCAGTAGTACATAAGAGAAGGAACTAGTAAAGTCGGGTGAGTGTCCCCTTTATTTTGCTACTAGTACGAATGTTATCTATGTAGTCATTCACGCGTGAACCAAAGGAAACTGGATGGATTACAATCTTCAAGTTAAATTTAGGATAGAGTTATCGGCTGTACAGGAGTGAATCTACTCATATTTTCTGTGGAGGCATTGGAATAAGTATCAGGTTAGTTTTCCCTCTATCCTTAGGCTTATCCCGTCATGCAATAAGTGCCAGGACTGTGTTGAGAATGAAAATGTGTCTAATTTTTGCTGGATGTTGGGGACTGGCGATTGAGAAGAACGACCAGGGAAATTTGGTGGGAAAGCAGTGCTGGGTCAATTAAGGCTATACTGGTGTAAGAATGCACTTTTTTCCTACCAAGAACTGAACTCAGTTCTTGGTCACGTCTTTTTTATCTCGTCTTACAGTAATTATTCTTGAAGTTAATTTCGGCACACTGTTTTTGTAAAAGACACGATACCAAGAAAAAATGTATCCCTTTCCGCTGCTCGTACAAGACGGAAAAATGTATTATGGATGGACCAGAACTGGGAGGGGGGGATCGCAAAAGGAGGAAGCGCGCCGCAAAGCTCCTGCTGCGGGGGGGGGCGGGGGGATCGCAAATGGAGGAAGCGCGCCGCGAAGCTCCTGCTGCCTGGCAGTTGCCCGCGCGCCTGCCTCTGGCGGGTGCGAGGTACTGCGGCAAGAGCGGGAGAACATAGAGAAACGGAAGGCGCAGCAAGATGCGCCAAGCCTGAGGGACCGGCCGCAGCTTGGTGGCAATCCTGCCAGGACACTGCGCGGCCAAGCGCGCGCGGCTCCCCAACGGGACCGGGCGCGCATTGCACAGGCCACCGGGACGCTGCGTTGGCAGTGGGGTGGAAGGAGCAGCCTACAAGAAGGGCCAAGGCCAGGCCCCCTATTTTCCGGGCCCCTTCTGATACCGCGGCCCCAGTTTTTCCCGGGGCCATGTTGGCCCCAGTATTTCCGGGGACCCCGCCAGAACTATAAGGAACCCCGCGGGAAAATAAGGACCCGGGATTTTTGCGGCCCCGGTCCGATTAAAGGGGGAAAAGCACCGGGGCCCTTATAATACAGGGGGCCCAGTTTTTCCGGTCCATGTATTTTCCTTTTCTTATTCATTATTTAAATACCTTCGAGAACGAATTCATTCCTGCATCTAGATGTGAAGCCTGGATATAAGATCTGGAGTACTTCAACCCCCTGCATTCCATGTGGCCCAGGTAATCCTTCAATCGCCGTACTGCTCCATTGAGTCTATAGCGGCGGAATTTCCCTTTGGAAATCTGATATCCTTCGATTCTACGCACTGGGATAACGCAGCTGAACTAGAAAAAGCCTTGAGGATTGGGAGACCTCCCACTGTTGAAGGGGTAGAAGTAGTTTTACCTAGTAACGAAATTTTAGGAGCACATGCAGGACAAGGTAATGGGAATGCTAATACTAGTGCTGGCGCAAATGCAGAACAAGGTAATGGGAATTCTAATGGAAGTGGTAGTGCAAATGCAGAACAAGGTAATGGGAATGCTAATGGTAGTGGTAGTGCAAATGCAGAACACGGTAATGGGAATTCTAATGGAAGTGGAAGTGGCACGAATCACGGTGTTTCTCGACTACAACTAGGGCAAGGAGGTAGTGAAGTCACGAGAGGAAACTCGACGCCACCAGTTGTTTTAGGCTCTATTGCGAGTGGCGGAAGTAGTGGCTCCACCAGAAGGCGAGCGGATGCGACACTAGGAAAGACTGTGGTATGCTTGATTCATGGACGCGACGACTCAGTCATTCCAGTCCCTGAATTTATGATATCAAGAGGGGACTATGACTCTGACTAAGACTAGTAAAGTCTAAAGTTGTCTAAGAGTAAGACAAAAAGAAAGCATAGAGACTAGAAGTACTTGAATACAAGAACGCTAAGGCTAAAGAAGTTACTCACAGGAACAGCACCACACTTCCAGAAGCACGTCACCCACAAATTGCAGAATTCAGAGAGCTTTAGCTTATACTTCCTCTAATCCCCGCAGCAAACTGTATACCCATTTACGCAAGCTTGCTCCTGAATGCGTTTCCTGCAAGGTTCTGGATGAGAAGAACCACAACGACCTCGAATGGAGCATGGATGTGCAACCAATGGTAGAACGGTTTTTGAGACGGAAGCGGCCTTTGATTATGGAACAGGAATGAATTGTTCTGGTGGTGTGAAGATGTGAGTTGTTATTCGTTGTCGTTCAATTTGAACAAGTGACAGGGATACATCATCTGAGCCCCAACTACGATTCACTGATGTTGGAAGGAAGACAAACCACAAGAGACTCTAATCTAGACTACGAAAAAATTCGGTCTTTTTCCTCCTGTTCTATGGGACCTCGAATATCCAGTGATGGGAGCAGAAGACTGTCCTCAACAATCACGTCTGGTAGTAGAGGTGCTAGGCATTCATATCTGGGACCACATGGAGGAGGTCATGGTCTTCGCAGCGGACTTCTCGACAACGACTATGGAGGAGGAAGAGCTTCATCGAGTAGAAGTAAAGAGGGAGGTACTGATGCAGATGAGAACTACCATGACTCGACTTCCCCGAAGAAGTTTTTGAATTACCGCCTTCCAGGAAAAGTAAAACGTACGTCGTCATCCGTAAACAGTGTGGAAGCTTTGGATTATGGGCATTTATATATTGAGAATGTTAAAACAAAAACAGATGAAACTCAAACTGCTGAACCTGAAGCTGAATTCTATATTATTTTCATGTCAAGAAGAAGATTATCATTAAATGACCGTCAATCTCCCCTTTTTTTCTGATAGTAAATGATGGCTTGCGCTGCTGCTCAGGTATGTTACATCTAGGTGGCTAATATCTCACTTCTAGCACTGTTCTCTCCGCTGCAAAGCTTATTTTCATGTGCAGCTTTCAACTCTGGATCTAGCAGAGCTGAAAAGTTTGGTTGAATGCATTATCTACTTCTCTTGTTTTTCAACTACTGTGTCTACGACAAATCTTGTTCAACAGCCAGACTACAAACCTCAGAACCGACTGAGTACATCTTTCTAATCACCAGAAAGTCTAGGTGGAGCGTCCTTTATATTCACCGCGTCGCCGCCAATGGGGCTGCAGAGGCCCTTATCCTCCGCTTCCCCACTTCGACCTAGCTTAGGCGACGCAGGTCCGCCAGTTTCTGAGCCCAGGAGAGCAAGTCTGCCTAGTAGCAGTGGGTTTTCGACAGTTAGGAAGCAAGACGGTTCTTGCGGTTTGATACCGACACCAACATCTCCTGGAGGACCTACTGCACAACTCCACCAACGACCACCACTACATGATGTACATCTTCTACATCGAGAACTCCTTCATGAACTAGAAGATGACCGAGAACAACTTGAAGATGAAACATCAATACTAGAGGTAGGAGTTTTTCAACATCAACAGCGACACCATCCGACTGTGGCTCATGGTGGGGCACTTTCTCCTCTTCAACCGCGTGGGCTCATTCCTGAGCTTCACGAAGTCGAAGAACATGATGAGGGAGTTGAGGAAGAGCAGACTGCTGGAACTGCTAGGGGAATAAATGCAGGCATGTTACAGTTATGTGGTCTCTATCCTATTCCTAGTAGTTTTACCGCAAGAACATCTTGATGGACCATGTCAGAGTAGGGGGAACGAATTCGCTTCACTCACGATGAGTTCGTTTCATTCATAAAGATGTTTCCTTTTACTTTCTGCACGCGCGAGCAGATACTCAACATTTTACTTGTTCAATCCATAAATTCGGAAGCTGTACTAGCATCGAGGTGAGATGAAGACTATAATATGCACAAGTGCGTCTAAGGCAATCCATCCCAGGACATCTGCAACAAGAGAGTTTATCCCACAGAATATCGATGAGACGAGCAGACGCAGCAAGGATGAATAGCTTCAATTTCTCTAGTCTCACATTGCAGGTGGGGTCAGCTGGCGGAGCTGACCGGTCTTCCACAAACAACACCAGTAGTACTAGCACAGCAGCACCAGCAGCTCCAATGGTCGTTGGAGAAGCTACCATCGCTACAACTGCTGCTGCACGCAACCATCAAGTGCTGAGTTCCGACGAACAACTTCTAGCAGAAAGAGTTCAGCCATCTTCATTTTCCACAGTCTTGCCTCCAGGTGGTACAGGTAGTACAACTCCTGCAACTACTGAACCTCTCATCGTCTCTCCGTCACTAGCACGACAACCTCGAGCACCTCGTCGTAGTCCCACACAGTTCGTTCCATATTACCAGGGAACAGCTCTACTTCCACCCGCTTCTACGACAAACTCCACTTCTTCTTCTGTTGGTCAGCCTCACCAGCCAAGGTTGCTTTCATATTCTCCTGAGCGTCGTATTGGAAGTAGTGGCAGGGGGACGAGTATACAGCTTCTACCAGCTACGAACGCAAATCTATCGCTGATGGGAGGAGCAGAAAGCCCTACAAATAGCACCGCTCCTCCGATACCTTCCGCGGCGTTGTCGCCTTCGCAAATGAGAGCAGACACTGGAGGAAGAGGGAGAGACTCGCACGATCAGCAGTGAACGTGTGGAAGAGGGCAGGGACGAAAACTAGTTCGACCGCATAGAAGGTGAAGTTGAAGGAGTACAACTGATCGTTTAAGAATACAGCTCTAGCTCTTCGTTTTTATTGTCATGTCAGTACTTCTACTTCAGCAACCAAAATTACATTTCATGTTGCTTCATGTTCATGTCATACTAGACATTGAATTTGATACACAGGAGGCGGACCAGATGAGTTTTCGTGAAATTCTTGATCTTGCACAGATTGAAGTAAGAATCAAGGCTCAAAGTCGGGTGGATTCCCGCTAGCACTGTAGGCACAGTCATTACCTGCTTTTCTGGCTTCGGCTGGTTAGGCGGTAGTAGTGTCTGATTAATTCCTAACCAGCATGATTCGACCTGTGCTGTTAGCGTCTTGGCTTCGGTGATGTTCATTATTAGAACTTATCTCTACGGTGCTAGGCACAGCTACAGCATCATCCGAGATACACACATGATGGCATGAAGTAAGGCATACCATGGCCATGCTCTGTATGACGCCTCCACTGGTCGTCTTCAAATTCAATGTCATCGTCCTGCTCCTGCAGTGAGGGAAGTTCCCTCTTCTCAAAAATGTTAATGATTCTGTACGAGCTAGAGCTTCTAGCCCTATACTTTTTACTCTCTGTTAACGTTAGTTTCCGTTTCGTTTTCCATTTTGGATTTGCTCCCTTGAATATTGTTTGACTTAGGTAGCATGTGAATATGGTTCTACTTCTACTTCTAGTTCTTCGTTGTACAGAAGAAGTAATACTAGCCGTCAGAGCAGGGTAGTTTAATCCTGTCGTAGAGGTAGACGTAGTAGTAAGTAGTACTTTTTTTGATTGTAAAATAAAATATTCCGATATCGGCCTCAACAAGAACATGGTCAACCACGACTGTCCAACTACAAGAACATCTTGTTGTCAATGAAGAAACATAACGAACAACGATAAGATTCGAGCCAAGAACTAGAAGAGTCGTCGACGCCTGACACGGTTCAGATGTCTGAGACGGAAAGTGCTGAAACGCCTATGCATGTTGAGAATGAGAGAAATAGCTTTGTTGGAAGGCAGTAGGAGAGGCTGTCGTTGAGGTTGAGATGCCAAAAGACTATTACGCCACATTCTAATTCTTAGAAATTGAATTTATTCTATGATATGATCGACTCCATGAGCGTGAAAAAGAACATTCCTTGGTGCTGGTGCTGAAATGGGATGCTTGTACGCGAGGGTATCAGGTCAAAAACAAATTGAAAGTTTTACTTCCAGTTTGAGCCTTATTTATTACCAAAGAATGATCCTCTCCTCCCAGCACCAAAGGGTAATAAACGCAAGAAGTAGAAGCACGAGGTCATCGTAATAAACGCAAGTAGCACGACGATGCCCACCCGAGTGATCTTCGCAGTTCTTATTCATCACATTCATGTTGTAGTTGTTAATGCAGTTGAGCGTCTCTTGTGGCAATTAGTGAACGAGCGTGGGAATTTCGGCGATTCAGAAAATGGGCCCTTCCTTCCTTTGATTTTGCACAAGGATAAAAGCAAGGATGTTGTGGAGAACTTCTATCGTGATGTCGCGAAGGCGAACGCACGTGCAATACGAGGCCGAGAGGCCTCGTCCAACAAGACGGCGAATGGATACGTCGAAGATGAAGCAGAGGAGCAGGCGGAGCATATTTCTCTCAATACTTCTACAGAGGCGAATAAAACAAGTGACTACCGTCCTGGTCATGATAGACAAAGGCTAGCAGGAGCTTTTTCTGCGCGAGCGCTTGGAAGGATGTCCATGCCCCAGAACTTCTTTAACATCAAAGAGCGTCGTGACAACGACGTCAGATCGACAAAACCACAAGAGAGAGAACAAGATGGTCCATCTACATCTCGTCTAGGAGGTTGCCAATTCGATTGGTCCCCTGAAAATTGGCCCTTACCACCTCTCAAAACTTTTGACAAAGCGGGAAAAGTTTGGGTTTGGAATCAGAAGCTTCTATCCCAAGTCGACGCTTGTCTTAAGACTTGCCGTAATTCATCTTAAGAGGCATCCCTGACACGTTTTCAAGGGGAAAATACGTCAAAGATGACGTCCAAGATGAATTGTTGTAAGCTCTAATTGTCTCTACGTCGCAGGATCGCCTTTTGCGTATGGGAAAAGTGCCTGGCGAAGAATTGTTCCTCGATTCCACCATCTTCATCCTCATGCAGCCTTTGGAGCGATTATGGCGAACAACAGTCTTGGGGAGTGGGAGCTTGGACTTGGAACTGACTATTCGCCAAAGGAGATGAAAGGGCATGGTGCACTAGGATTAGGAAAACCAGATGACGGCTACTCTACAAGGAAAACGCCAACTTCTACACGACAAGCGCTACATGAAGAACCAGCACGTCCACCATCACAATCAATGTCCTTCAGTACTTTCGTCCTACACGCATCAGGGACTACTTTATCTAGTACAACTGATGAGCGAGAAAAGCAACGTAGGGAAAAAGCGGTTTTGTCTGGTAAGTTTGGGTTTAGTGAGTGTCGCACAGTCCTCATTGACTCGCTTCTATACAGCAAAGATGCGAGCTTGGTGCGGTTGCGTTGGTTACGTCCGGAACGAAGTATCCCCGGAGAACAAGCAAAAGTCCAGGTTGAGGTTGATGCTAGCAGGAAAAATATAACGATTGCCGAGTCGCAAAAGCCTTTCAGACAAAACCGCTTTTATCCACATCCCGAGACCGATCCTGCAGTATTCAAGGCAGACAACCAAGTTTTCGATTGGTACTTGTGCAAAAGGCTATTACGAACTTTTGGGTTATTGGAGTACTACAGAAAGAGTGAAGAAAAGACTGAAGCGAATACGAGAAACACCACTCCTGGTTATCGTGCACGGCTGGGTTATCTGGGAGTGGTTGGAAGAGGGACGAGTCATGCCAGGTCATTTGCGAAGAACGTAGCTAGTGGTACCTCCGCTCCTGGTGAAAAGAATGATGCTTATCTACATGGCAAATTCTTGCATGAAGGCGGACGCGGCTTTGTTGTTGGCAACGACCGGCTTGCAAGTCTGAAAACACTCGCCCAGAGGGTAGTCGAAATGAAGATGTTGGCTGAAGATAATCGACATGGAGGTGAAGAAGAACAAGTAGGAGAGCCTTCTTCTGAATATGCATCCTCTAACGATGAATCTGTCGAAGATCCCTCGTCAGACTTCACAGTAGACTGGCGCAGTGACCAGCTTGTTTCCTATGTTCCCGTGCTGAAGAAAACCGCTCAGGGAGGACAAAGAAGCTTGTTGTTGGAGGAAAAAGAGAAATGCGATGCGGATGGACTACTTGATCGAGCATCAGCAGCACGATCTGCACAAAGAACTCAAACTCTAGCAACTGGAACCGCAAAGCCAAAGCCAACTACACCACCTCAGATTACTACTGGGGAAAAGCGAAAGGGACGCATTCGTATTGAGAGGACCAGAACGGTTGATCATACACATTTGGTTTTCACAACGAAATTGCAGACCATTGAGGCACTCCGGGAACTCCTTCTCGAATTAATCGCGCTACGCTTACTATGGGAGCATGAAGCAGGAGCAGAACAAAAGGGTAGAAGAAAAAGAGGCAGTGCGATCGTCTCATATTTGGCAAGAAAACATAAGGTGAAAGTGAAGAGTTCTGATCCTGTTGAAATGTCAGATGACAGGAGTCACGAAGACCAGAACCGTGAAGACAGCACATCTCCATTCGCGCCAGAGGCTACTAGATCTACAAAAACCCACCTGAATCTAAGTATCTACTTCATCACAACTGCAACGTTTGTGACGCAGTACGGGAAAGAGGAGGAAATTGAAGACCTATTTCGAGATTTAGACCTCTTAACATTTGGAAATCCTTCGTCCGGTGTATCAAATGAGCATGAGGGAGAGCACGGCGTGGGCTGCCAGTATGCAACTGGATCAACTGACGACGATACGAACGACGATGTTGACGACGATTCTCCTTCTTCGACGCAATTTCATCCGTGTCCCAATAGCGTAGTTCTTGATCATCGTGGTCCTGCCTCTGCCAGCACAGGTAGGACTAGGATCGTAGTCCCTCAGCCTCGTCTACGGGTCATCATGAGTCGCGCGGATCCTATTGAGCACAACTTGTTGGCCAACCATCTGAAACTTCGGACCGGGCCAGGACAGCTGTATCACTTAAGGGATGATGTACTAGACCTTATATCTAGCTCGATTTCGGGAAAAATGTTCTTAAGTTTTTACAGCGTCCATTCAGAAGCAAAACTAAAGCGATGAAGGGAAGGAATGTAGTGTGTGGATCGGGACTACTTCTATCAAGAAAGTTTAGAAGAGAGTTTCCCAAGGAAACGCACTGTCTAGAGTTTCGAAACGTACCGTAGGTTTTCCCAAGGAAACGCACTGTAGCGTTTCCCAAGGAAACGCACTGTCTAGAGTTTCGAAACGTACCGTAGATTTTCCCAAGGAAACGCTACTTCTTTTCGTCCAAAAACCCTCTGCTCTAACACAAGGAAACGTGAATGATTATCGTATGCTGCTAGCTGCTGAGCCATGTCTGGATCATGTGTATTACGCAGATATTTGGATGCCACCTCGTTACAAGACGTTTGCCCTGACACCGAAACTGGTGGACCACAGGGATTCTGCAGTCCAGACTCTGGGGCGGAGGAGTGCCGAGGTATGTTGATTCTTGTGAGTCACGTCTAGTATAGTCGGATAGGTGGCACCTTAGTGCGCCGTACAATTTGTTCCAGTAACCAAGGTAGTACCAAGACGAGGACAAAGTAGATGATGTAGTACCAGGACGAGGACAAAGTAGATGATTCTGCTTGGTGACTTGTAAGTTTTGTTTCTGTTGTAGTTATACTGTATGATTCTCGTAGTTCTCAGTTTCAGTTGTAGTACAGGGTTCCACCTCCAGATTTTCTCGTCGTAGTCGGACCTGCACGATTCAACTTCCCCTGATCATCATGTTCGTACCAAATAGAAGAAGACGATTGCAACTGTTGAACAGCACCCTGAACGAACGTAGCAACCATTTTGATGCTTTCATCACCACTGCCTGCAAATACAAGGAGGTCCTCATCTACTAGCCGCGGCGCAACAAGGAGGTCATCTACTAGAACAGCACTGCCTGCAAATACAAGTACGTCTCGCTATTGTCCGAGTATGCGCGAAAATTCTGCGACCGCTGGTGGCCTCCTTGAAGTCCAGAACTTCCTAGCAGAGAAGACGTCAGCAACATCTGCTTCAATAGTACAGGTAAAGAACTACGAGACCAAGAACAGCCAGGATGACGAACTAAGGCTGAAAATAGCAACCGACGAAACTTTTTTTAAGGCTCAACTTTCATTGGTCATTGGGGTTGGTCACTGAAGAGATCGCAGAGGGGCTCTCCTTAGAGAACAGGGGAAAATGAAGGGAAAAGGGAAGAGCTTTGAAGATGGTCTCTTCCTTTCAGAATCAGTGGCCACTGACTGCTGGCCTTTAATGTTTACCGCAAGAGTGATTGCAGTATTCCGAAGTTTCAATTGTCTTTCTACGGAAGTTGCCGTCTAGGCTGGGCTGCATCCTCCACTTATGACGAGACAGGAAAAAGTTTACTGCCCATGCAATTCCTTGTTCTTAAGTTAGAGTAGATGATCCATGGTCCTCGTCGAAGAAACCACATTCCTTGGCTACTAGGGCTCGACCATCATCAATCTATCGAAAGAAAACGGTGGGATTCACATTGTGGGATGAACACGTCGAAGATTTCTAGACTCACATTTTCAGTATACTAAGTACTTACGGTTTTTCGTGTCAACTTCATCCTACTGCGCGAGAAGACATGCTGCTGACATTAAGCCGCCTATCGGTAGGGCAGGGAAACCTGAAAGCGGACCTGTTTGATGATCGTGTTGCTGGGGAAGATCTGAGGAGTCATCTGACTGCTGGAAATGGACAAAAAGTCGGAAACGTGAACCCGAAGACATCTTGGGCCTTTTCCTGGGTTCGTCCAGGTTGGGGACTCTTAAACTGCAAAAAACAGCCGAAACACGTAGCCCCTGAAGCAGATGGACACTTGAAGTTATGCTATTCTTAGTGAGAGAGTGGTGGCTGTGTGTAGTTGGAGGGCCTTGGGATTGGGTGCGATTCATGATTGCACAGAAACAGATATACAACCAATATACTTATGCTGTTTCATGATCATGTTCCTACTGCTACAAGACACACGAGCAGCATATTCGCACTCTCCTGTAGACCACATCACCACTGAAGCAACGTCTAACAAGAGAAGCCTCAAAAGCGGACATCCATACCCGCTTGCATGTGGAATTGATGCAAAATTGGTATCGGATTCTCTCGAACACCACCTTTGTTATGGCGAAGTAAGACTAAGACTAAGAGCGGTGTGAGACTAGGTGAAGATTTCTTATAGCGCACGGACTTCTTATTTGTGGCACCGACCCGACGTTGTACTTGTAGTAACAGAACAGCTTACAACCTGTTGTTCTGTCCCGTTAGAGGTACAAGAACGCAACATCGCCTTCTATTTTCTGCAGAAGATGTACAAGTAGACTTCGCCTTCTAGTACTCAAGATCTCGCGGCGACCTGCTAATCTCGCGACCTTCTTCTTTCATTCTGTAGACGTAGTCGTACTTAGTTGACTTGAACTTGATGGAGGGTCTTCTACTTCTAAGATTCCCCTTCTTCCACGGGGTGATCTTGAACTTGATGGAGGGTCTTCTACTTCTAAAATTTCCCTTCTTCCACGGGGTGACGGCAGGGCCATGTATCGGATACAGGAGGCTTTGGCAGCTGGCGCCATTCCTGTGCTGATTTCTGATGGCGTCTCCCTACCCTACGAGGATCTACTCGGTATGCCCTCAGGAGGACAAGGAAGCGTAGAGGAACACGAAGAAGTAGGAAGCACCTACCAGTACCACCGAGCATACTCTTTTAAGAAAGTGATATAATTTATTACAAGTAGATCTAGTATTTGTGGAGGTATAAGAAGAAGTAGATCTATACGTGGAGGAAGACGCCAACAGCTGTCTAAGCCTGCGGGTTGGACAGCTGTTGGCGCTCACCTTTTGCGAGGTACATATTGGCTGGTCACCCAATCGCATGACGCCCCTTCGGCCTTTCCGCGCCTCGGTTCACGCCCGTCCGGTTGTCTTCCACCTTGGTGGGATTCTCCCGCCTCAGCTCGGAGACGTCGCGACGATCTTGGCTGCGGATGGCGGACACCTGCCGGGGGCTCCCTATGCATGGCGCGCGCGCTGCTCTCATTCTCGGCCGCGGGGTTCCCTCTACCGGTCAGGTCTCGGCGCTCCCTTCTGAGCTTGCTTGCGTCGCCGTAGACAATGGCGCGCCCAGTGCTTGGCGCATGGAAATAGCTGCTGCTGCGCGTGGTTTCCGCCAGGCTCTCCTGGCTGCTTCCCGTGATTCTGCTGACCCGTTGGCCCTCGGGCCGCGCTCGCTGATCTGGGTCTTTGACTGCTTGGGAACGGAATCGGGCAACTCTTGGCCTGCCGGAACCTTGGGCACGACCGAGCTTGCGCGTTTGAACGTGAGCTGCTGGACCTCTTCGCGCGTTGCTGTGCGGTGTATGACGCCGCTGCTGTCCACTGGACTCCGTCGCACATCGGGAACCTGGTCAACGATCTGGCTGACGCTGCTGCTGGGGTCCTCCTCAAGTACGCGCCTGCGGCTGGACGCACTGCGCCGCCCCTCTCCTCTGTGAACGTCAGAGGGGCGGCAAGGGTCTCGCTCGCCGCCGAGGAGCGCCGACTGCTTGCCACGTTAGACAACGAGCACAACAGTGCTAGCGGCGACGTTCTTGCTGCGCTGCAGCTCTCACGCTCGTCTGCGCGGGCGTTGTTTCTACGGCTCTGCCGCGATCCCTCTGAAGTCTCTCCGGATGCATGGGGCTGGGGCGCTCGCGCCGTTGGAGGATCGCTGCCCCCGAGAGGTGCAGACCTTTGCCGCCAAGTTGCTGCCTGGGTCGCGCTTCAAACACGCTGGCCCCTTTGGTCTGGGGCTTCCCTGTGGCCTGCTACTGTGGTGAACAGGATACGCCGCGCCACTTCTTCGAGAAGTTCTGCGCGGATGTCACGCAGTTACGTTCGACGAAGGCGCTCGCGGGCCTCGTTCGGTGCGCGCATGTCGTTGAGCGCGCTGCATGGGTGGAGTACTACCTTACGGCGACCTTTTCGGCGACGGTCTTGCTGGCGTCTAGGTTTTCCGGCCCTTTGGTGGTGCTTCGCTGGCGCCTTGCCATCGCTGGCCTGCCTCTTCTTTTTGGCGGTTTTACCTCTCTGCTATTTCTACGGGACTGTGGGCTGCGGTCAGTGATGCGCTGGCTTTTCGGAAACAATACGAGCGAGCGGCGGCACTGTGCAGGAAGGCCGCTGCTCCCTTCCCGCGCACCTAGTCGGTGCTGGCTTGCTGCTGTCGTTGAGCTCTCGCCCCGTACTGCGGCGCGGCTCGCCGCGGGGAGGTCTGGCGCTTTGGGGCTGCCTTGGCGCGGCGCGCCGGCTTTCGACTAAATGCCCCCGGCGGTGTTTCCTTGCTGTTTTCACAGCTGCGCCTGCTTACCTTTTTTCGGTGTCGGTTCGAGGTCTCAGGCTTCTTCTTACTTACCATGACGACACCGGCAAACGCACCCGGACCGCGGCGCCTCTTGTTAGGACTCTCTTGCATTTGCTTAGCGCGTCGCTGTGCTTCAGATTCCGCCCCCTGGCTGTCTGTAGCTCTGTGGGTAACCGTCTATCCTTCTCCTAATAATAATACCATTATCACTTACAGCTACTATTAGATGCAGGAAAAACAAAGAGTAGGAGTACTCGTCGAAATTATAACTAAAAGTAACAGTAAGTAAGTAGATCATACTATTTCTAAGCAACGGTGGGATGACATCATAATACGTATCCCCGAACGCATTTGGAAGACTCGGGATGCGAATTTGATGCTGGAGCGACTCCTAAGCATGCCACCAGAGGAGATCCTGCGACGACGGAAACTAGCAGCTTTCGTTTATGGTGATACAAGAGACATTAGAACTACAGTCTGACTATGAACGTGTAGAAGACTCACTATTTTTGTCCCAGCAGCACTTCTTAGCGGATGAAAGAGCTGAAATTTACTTAAACAAATCCAGAATGTTGAAGGGGAAGAAGTACCGACGTTTAGATGAAATAAGCTTCAATGTGCATATATCTCCAATGTGCTTACGACTACATGCTACGGACAGCAGAGCAAAGGGTGTGGATGAAGATGGCCAATATTCTGCAGATCGTGAGGAAAGACGTTGGAGAGGCATTCTCGTGGTCTTGATGAAAAATATGTTTTAGTACATTGAAACTCTAGGAATATTTTTAGGCTCTCGTCCATCCTCTGCCTCTGACCCGTGTCCTCTGCATCTGCAGATCAAGATCATGGACTTGTGATCCTCTGCAGATGAACTCATCGTGAAACTGATGAAGCCGATGGACTCAGTCAAAAGGCCTCGACTTACTACAGGTACGGGATAGGATCTGGATAGCTCTTGACATGATGAATTTGACAGCTGAAGGCTGTGAAGCTGAAGGCTGTGGTGAACACGGAGATGAGACGATAACGTGAATCTAGAAATCTAATCAGTCAAGAATAAGGGAGAGCCAAGAGAACCCTGACATGATCCTCGGTCTGGTAAAAAGATCGAAGAAGAGGATGAAACTACGACAGTCGGTGAGTGCACGTTCAACAGAAGCAGGTCGATTTGTGGACAAACAGAGTTCACCAAAGTTATCGGTTACCACCGAAAAAAGAAATCTGTACGGAAACGGAATCGTTCGGCTGTAACCACTGTCGGACCAAGGCACGCATGTTGTTGTTGAGATGAGTCGTATGAATTTCGCCCACAACAAGCGCCCGACTCGCGCTCAGCACCCCCAGCCAAAATGTCGCTTCCTATCTCTTTGACTACGATGCATAAGTATTCCTCTCCAAGAAACTTGTATACAAATACATAGTATTATAGTACAAGAAACAGAAAAGGAAAACGAAAAACAGAAGTTCCCAGCCTCCGCTCCACCAAAGTTGTAATGAAAACCAGAAAGAGAAACAAGTCTTAAGAAAAAAATCCTAAGTTGCAGTTTTCAACACAAAAAAAACCACACGCCTTCAAAAAGTAAGACTCAAAGGATGTTGATACTCTCTTCGAGACAATGGCCGAGATGGATAGCAATGGTCCTGTACCTAGGAGCTCACCTTCTGGTGGAACAAGCATGCTTTTTCGCAGCTGCTTTGGAGCAACCTCATGGGCTGGAGAATCATGCGCCAGCCATTCAATCTTCTGTTATGAATTTGGATGGAGTACGAGTAGAATCTCATTTGTTATTGCGTTTAACATCCCTTGGACTTGATAGTATGTACCCCTGACTTCTATTTAGTTAATATATTGTCAACATAGGTGGAGGTGGAAGATATGGATAACAATATCGATATTCTTGTTACTGAGTTGTAACTTGAAAGAATATGAATAACATGGCAATGTGATCATCAGAATGAACGATATGTACTGCTCAGACCTAAGCGCCCACATCTTGCACATATGTTGTCTCAACATGCTGCTTTGAAGTGGTTATGCCGTGACTGGTTCACGATGGTCGCGCTTTTTAGTGCGGAGTTGGAGCCCCGCTTCAATTCATTCGGACTGCTCGGCCATTGTGTCGGGCCTCCGCTGATAATAAGCACCAATATCCCTTTTGGAGTTTGTCCTGCTTATTTTCATTGGAAAGTATATTAGCGCTGCGCGTGCGCTTCGTGACTTCATATTATTTGAGGCTGCAGGGTGTCGCCGTGTAGTCTATGTCTAGGGGTTGGCATGCTAGCCAATGATAGACTTCATGGAATAGAATAACATGGCTGCAAGACCAAACGCGAAGTATGCCGGAGAAAAAGATGCTCCTACCTTCTTGATAGAGCAGTCCCTCGGTTGTACCTTGAAACCCTCTGATTAGGATAATCTTGATAGTAGAGTCACTTATGAGAGTCCAACTGCTCTCAATTACAAGTAAAACTTGTTGCATTTTTGTGCCTGGAGTTCCAGAGAGACGACCAGCACTACGTTTTTAACTACTTCCATTACAATTACAACTTACTAGGGTCCTTCTGCGAAGGAGTCGTCCCACAGCACTCTCCCTTCTAAGAATAGCAGCAACGGTTATTCTTACAATGAACATGAAGGAGGCGAGGCAGAATTTTTGCAGTCGTCTGCCTTTTTCGGAGAGCCTTGGCAATATTTGATCGACGATTATGCACCAGGTATTATTGATGTTTCTAACTAATGCATTTCTATTTCATTCACTCTCAGATATCTTCGTTCTTTCAGAAGTTGCTTTTCTGACCTGTACTAACAGGGAACCTGCAGTCCTCTCGGTAACAACTCTGCATAATTCATTGTCACGGTGATGTTGAAGATGATAAGTTCCCATGATTTGTTGTTTCACTGAAAGTAATACTTCAACAAAAGTAAGAACCTACTGCTCTGCAAGAGATTATTTATCTCAGACACTGATCACGAATGCAAATTCATCTAGTTCTTGTTTTCATCTTTGTCTTTCCGCCTTATTTTAACATCAACAATTTTACAACAAGTCCAATCGTCTCCAAATTTCATCAGGTTCGCGACGTAGTTTTTATTACAATATTATGATAGAGTAAGTAAAATATCGGGTTTCGAGTTACTCGAGTTGCAACGAGTTGCTCGAGTTGCCGAAGCGAAGGGTTTCAATTCTGGAACGAGTTGCCACGAGTTGCCGCAAGATATCCGCTTCACCGGAATGCGGCGCAGCGGGGCGGTATGGCCACGGTTTTGGCTGCGTGGAGTGACGAAGTGGCTGCTTTTGTTGTTGCTCTCTCACGAAGGGGGCAATCGGTTGCGAAGGGCTCCCCAGCGAGCCCCCCCGGCTTTTTCTCTTGTAGCGTGTGGGCGCGCGTTTGAAGCGCCGGCATTGAGGGGCCGACGGCTTCGCCTCGTTGTGGTTTTTGTTTGAGGGAGGAGAGTGTCGCTGTGGCTTGTCGTTGGGTCGGTGCCAATCTCTCCCTTTTTTCTTCGGATGTGTGCGCGGCCAATGAGTCCCTTTTGGGGCTGGGAGTGGCAGTGAGTTCCCGTCTGCTCTGGAGAGCGGCCCACTCAGCCTAGGACGAAGTAAGTAGACTAGAGCACGCGGCGGATGCCTTGCGTGTTTGATCAAGTGGCTGGGAGGAGTTCCCGAGCTGAAGGTGGTTACTCACTCTCGTCTCTGGTGCGCATTAAGAAGAAAACCAGGGATCGGAGGCATGGCGTCGAGTGTCGTACGCTCCTGCTAAGGTATCTCGGAGCCTCATAAAGCTGCGCCCGAAGGGCGCCGCGCAAAAAATTACGGTGAGCAACTCGAGCAACCCGAGCAACCCAAGAAACTCGACCCGTGACGGGCCAAAAAATTCCTAATTCTATTATGAATCTCCAAAGAAACAACGTCATGACCCCACCAAGAACAAGAAACCTTTGTAAATAGATGTTGATATTGTACTACAGGTTCATGCTCTTGCTCATTTTCATTATGCAGAAGCCATAACCTAAACTAACCCTTCATACTGTGCTCCTTGTTCTCGTTCTCCAATGTTCATGATTTTGACGCACATGATCACATTGCAGGAGGCGCAACTTCGTTTCTTGGTATCACGAACTCCGAGTATGACTTTTCCTCGAACGTTATGGCGTATGGTGGCTTCGATTTTACACAGCTGAAGCCGGGTGACAAACTCAAGAACATTCCCGCGGCTACATTCGATTGGACCACGGACAAGGAATATATCCAGGATAAAGTGCACCGGCGGAAGGCCGAGGCGAAGTGTATTCTTCCGCCTCCGGGAACACTGATCATGCAGTTACGACCACCAAGGCACATCTTGCCTTTTCCTTTTGATACAGAAGATGCTAGACGAACATACTTGTTACTTCTGGTCATCAATGCTAGGAGATCCTTTTACTTCTAGCTCTAATCTTTACCTACTCCTTGACTCGCAAGCACTTCGCGCGCGATCATGACAAGACGGGCATAACGCGGGATGATGCGGACGAGGCCAGATCATTGCTCGTGGTGGGCAAAGCCGACGCATCGTCCGATCAGGGCTTTACGCTGTTCAAGGTCAAGGAAGTCATAGTCTCTGCTGTACCGATAGAACCGACAACCAACGGGAGAAAGGTATAACGCTAGCCATTTCCACGCGGGGCGTGCTTCAAGGTCCTGGCTTGTTCTTTGCTTGGGGTTGGGCTTCGGCCCGGAGTCCGACTAATGCTGCCTGGCGGCTCCGCCAGTATGTCACAAGTAAGAAAATTGTTCAAGGGGTCTGCCGTCATCCCCAAGCTTGGGCGCTTCTTCGCCTTTTGGTGGAGGTTTTTCCGCTTTCTCCACTCTGTTCGTGCCATCTTTTTGGGTTTTTTTTATCATGGTATAACGACGTACACCCTCCAGGGAAGTCCGGCGCATGTGGTCGCGCTTTGCGCCTTGTCCTTTCTTCCCTTGCGTAGTCTTCAACACCCGCCGCACTCACTGACTAGACAGAGGGGGCTACGAGGCTAAGACTGCCCAAACCCAACACAAAGCGACGGACAGACGCAGGGGCTAGCGTTTTCTTTGTCCCCAAGAAGTCCCACGTCAACGACACTGGGCCAGTCGCTAGACGGGAGGACCCTTCTTGAGGATCTGCTCCCCCTTGTTCCTCGTCGAAAGTTGCAGGCATTACCGGGGCGCGTTTTGCTACTGACACTGGGGGGCGCGCTGGCTTTTCGTCATGTCGAAACTCAAGCGGCGACTTTCCCCTGAGGGCTTTCTTCGGGGTAGATTCGATTCAATAGAAACGCCGCGGCTTCGATGGCATAAGCCCAACGCGAAGCATCTAGCCCAGCCGGCATCTTGTAGGAAACACCTGGCCACGGTCAGCAACTATTTGCGCGGGGTCGTTTTCTTCTGGGTTGAATGATGCAGAGGCTTCTAAAATAGTGCCTCTATCAATGCACTCGCCCACGAATGCCCCGCGGAGCTCTTTACTGTCATCAATTCGCACGCCTTCAGCTTTCCTCTAGTTTGGGCCTAGTTCTTCATAGCTTTACAAGAAGGCCCAACGAGCGTTCGCTTTAACTAACTTAGTCGGCTGGGGCCTGGGCTCAGCTTGTTCCGCCGTTGGCCATGGTGTTAAAGGGCTTTACTTGAGGCCAGCCTTCTTTTTGCTACACCTCTCAGCAGATTAGAAAACACTCAAACAGAAGCGCAGGCGCTCTCCTTGTTAATGCTTTGCGCCTGTTCGCTTCTCTCACTTCTCAACAGAATCGGAACACGCTCAAACAGGTACCAACAGTCTCCCAGTCTGGTAACCAGGACAGGATCTCGATCGAAGTCGTCGATAATTCCCGTTCGGGCTGGAAGTATAGCGTTGAGTATTACGGACAAGAAAGTGAAAGGAGCATGCTTCGCATAATATACCAGGGACACAGATTCAGACTCAGATGTAATTAATAACAAGAACCGCCCTCGAGTTATCATGAAACTACTTATGTAAATATCATTAGCAAAGTCAAATTATAATTTGGATATTATGCAATATGGAATGGGGATTTTGCACTTGGGGAGAGCCAGAACCTGGTCCGAAAAAAAATTTGAAGTTCGGATGATGTTAAGGTGTCCTAGCTAGGTTCATATTACTAGTTAGTTAAGTAGCTAGTTAAGAGGCAAGTGGTCAGGATCGCGGATGCTGTAGCGCTGCAGGCAGCGAGAGGCCCGTGGGCTGTGCGACAGACAGCTGACGCAAAGTGCTGACACACATGAGATCCTTCTGTTGCTGTGCTTGATGTCCCGGGTCAAAACGCTGAACCCTCAGCAGAGAGCTGCATAACGATATCTTGTGCTGTCGGTGTTGTTTTTTGCGATGTAGAAGTCAAAGAAATGGTTGATTCTTGATGGTGAAGACGAAGAAGATCGTGTTCTACAAGGTCGCGTCGTTTTTTTTGCAGAGGAACTGTTTTTTCGAAGAAGCCGAGAGATGCTGACGAGAGGCGAGTTGTTTTATTCGTTCGGATCCTTCGACTGATGGCACAACGGTTCAAATTTCTTTCCCTGGTCGCTGGTCGTTTGTTTGCTCGATCTGAGTGTCGAAATCAGTGGTTATATTGGACTTTACTTCTCATCTTCTTCTTCAATATCCTCAAAGCCTCCACTTCTCACAGCAAGTCACTTCCTCCACCCTTTTGCACCTTGTTCGACCATCGAGGCAAGAAACTAGAAAAATGAAGGCCTTTCAGGGAGAGATGCCAGACTTCTCGAAGGAAGAAGATAACGTTGTGACCCATGAAGATCGCAACTTGGTGCAGCGCCTGATGGGTCGCCTTCCCGCTCTATCTCGACGCATGCTTTGGGAGTTTGCGAAGGCTTGCCATACCCAGTACGCTTTGAAGAACAGCCAGAAGGCCAACTACGTGCGCAAGGAGGCGCTGAATGCTACCAAACTGAAGAAGGACGCAAACCCCAGTACTTCACGTTTTCAATGTAGGTCCAATGAGTCTTATGCTCCCAAATCTAAATGTATGGCGAATGATGTCGGCAGGGTGCTCCTCTAGACGAGTCCGTTCTTTATTGTCCAACCATCTCCATATAAACGAATATCCTTAACACCTTGCAGCTTGGCGTGCTATGGAATCGGTCAACCGTGTTGCCCTCTTGGCGTTCCTATTGCAATGCAATGAGGGAGAAGTTGATGGCGCGAAGGACAACCATTTTGCGGAGTTCGTTCATTGGCTTGGATACGAACCGGATAAGGCGGTATTAGTTTTCTCTTGCTATCAACCTGTCTCCTTCTTCATAATAAGAGCTTCAAGAAATTGCGGACACTTTCGCTCATATGAGAGCCGGAGTTTCATTTGTCTGGCTTGAGCAAACTGAAATAGCTAACCTTTCACTTTTTAGAGCATACAAACATCATCAACCCTCACTACAAGCACTCAACTGAATCTCTTAACATGCAGCTGCCGACGAACCAGAAGAAGATGCTGTCTCTGCGCGAACTCGCGACGCGAGTCGAGACGGCTTGTGTGACTCGTGGAGTGAGTCCGGAGATGCGCCGCACAGCACTCTTCAACATTATGGACGGCGTGTCCCTTCCTCCGATGAAGAGTATGGCGACTGTACTGGAGGAGGCGAAGACCAGCGAGAATAAGACAGGTGTGCAGGCTTCGTCTTCTGCATCTTCCTCTATATCCAAGCATGCTGCCGAGCTGAGTGCGGCTGTTGCTGCAGAGCGTGCTAAGAAAAGCCAGGAGGCGCTTGCCCTCATGGACAAGGCCACTTCCGTTGAGAAGGATGCTGAGCCGGACTGCATTGTCCTGGCGAATCCGCCGATGCCTCAAGCCGCAGGGCACGGCTTCTACAATCCAGCCGGCCTCATGCCGCAGGCAGCAAACAACACAATGCTCCCGATGATGCACATGGGTGCGATGAATCCAGCACTGATGATGAACAACATGGGAGGCATGGGCATGACTGGCGGAATGGGTCCTGGGTAATATATTTGGACTATTTAGGTTTTTGCTAGGATCCCGAGTAGTGTCATCTGGACTTCAATACAGGTTGTTCATGCAGATTTCTGAGAAGCTATAACCTCTTCTTCTACGTCTATGAAAATTCAACTCCTTCCACCTTCCCTACTAAAACCCAAGAGAAATACACAACGAATCACATAAATCCTCCTCTTCAGTTCTCCGACCGCTTCGTCGACTGAGAGTCAAGCCGCACAAATGCAGAACTACATGATCCAGTTGCAACAGCAGCAAAATGCTACCCGGATGCAGCAGCAGGCCATGATGTCCCAGATGGGTGCAAACTTGGGAGCGATGTCTCCACTGGGATCTATGGCCATGCCGCAGCCAAACACGACCTCGAACGCGGCTTTTCAAGCGGCTGGATCGCAGCTGGCGGCACCCACTACTGCAGGCTCGCCGGCTATGGGTGGTCACCATGTTCCGGCTCCGATGGCTATGCCTCCGGCAGATACCAGTCTACGCAGTCGCGCTGCTGCTGCAGCTGGTAACGTTTGTCTACAGGTTGTTTTAGATGTTGTGCGAACAGATTTCATTTGAGAAAATTCACGCTCCATCTTCATATCTACTTTTTCCGATTTTTCAACAAACTTCCTAGAGTGAAGATCTGGCGACCATGTAGTTTAGATGGATGTGCATACTCAAAAGAAATCATCTTTCACCAACTAAGTACCCCCTTCATAACGCTTTCACTACTATAGATCTCATATCTGTCACCTCTACCAACAGGCTCCAAAAACGCCGATCGCGAGCGCACTGACCGCCGTTCCACTGTTGCAGCGATTGCTGACTTTGATGCAGCCGCAGCCCTGTTCGCACAGATCGACGATGCCCCAGAAGAGAAGGGCGCTGCTGCCATAATGACCAAGGAGGAAAGTGACAACCTCTTTGATGAGGCAATGGCCAGCTTAGGCCTCGAGAGGCAGGAGTGAACTTGTCTGGTCAGTACATGATATGAGACTTACAGAATTTAGAATTATGAAGGAGTTTGAAGGTCTACGACGTGGCCGCAAAGTTGCCACGTTCTCTTTTGATGTAGGTAAATGCCGGCCATTTTCAATCACAGCATCGACGGGAAGTCTATCCTTGATTTAAGAAGTTTGAAGAAATGATGAAAGAAGCAGTTCAGAAAAGTTCATATTTAGAAGTAAGAAGAGCCAACGGATACAGGTCGAACAGCATGCAAGTAATTACTACAAGATTGAAAACATGAAGAAGAAGATAGTGGGATGAAGTACGACGACAACAAATTCAGCACTTTGGGAAGCAAGTACATATCGAACAAAAACTATTTCTGAACAATGAGGAAACACGATGAAGATGTGACAGTGACATAATACTAACTGCTTCTCCATTTGTCGGGGCTAGCCGCCTCGCATCGTTTCGCGCTTGTTTATCGTCGTATGAGAGACTCCGCTGTCGCTGAGAGATGAGGGGAGGCTTGAGGGAGTCGTGGCTTGAACTCGAAGCTGTCGATTGAGTCACCAAAAACGAGAAAAGGCTAAATTATGCTGGTGAATCGATCTAAGAAGTTGGCTCTTGTTATGCTTGGAAAAAGAAACGAAAAGAAGTTAGAACTCTGTTTGCGTGTCAAAGTGCTTCAGCTAAATAGTCATATCTCAAGAGACACCGTAAACATGTCTGATTATCGACGCCCTATCGCTTTCTTGAGGCGCCTGAACGTTCGCGATGTTCTCGCCAGTCGCAGCCTCGTCGCTAACTGGGACACACGAGTTTCCCCAGCTTGGGACGCTTTTCGACAGCCCATGGATCTTGATGAGGCTTCCATTATCGCTTCTGCAGATGGAAAAACGCTTACGCCTTTCGGCTTGGTACCTTCCAAGAAGCTTAGAAAGGAGGCACTGGCATATAGCCTTCCCTACTTGAACCAAGACGCATGCTAGGCATCTCCGTGCTGTTGGCAGCCATTGAGCAACTAGGCGCAAGAATCTAGTGAAGAATGTCCACCAAGTATGTCGCACTACACTGCGTTTTATGAAGATGAAGCAAACAATCCAAATCAAGAATCATTTACCTAATTGTCTGCTCATAACCACCTCCACCACAGGCATTATATCTCATCTTCGTGAAGACTCGCCTTGGGTTTGACGCGCTTCGGCCCCTTCCTTTTACCAAGATAGTCGAGTTTGACGTCGCAAATATCAACGAAATCCAATCGCAGATTGAGTTATGCTATAAGCCATGGGACTTGACTAAACAGCAGCAGAGGGAGCGTATATCGGTACTGGAGTATGACAGTTTAGGTTTTTAGATTCCACGCTTACGCGTCTTATGCACTTGGGGTAGAATCTAGCGCAGAAACATCAGTACAAAGCGAAGGCTTTGACTTCTAGGCTTGAACTTCATAAGCAGCATGAGGCCGAAGTCTTACGGTCACACTTTCTTTATCTCAGATCTGGCTGTCATCTCCACACCTTCAGGTTCAGGCAGCAGGATGCGCGGCAGCAGCGCGATTTGGTCTCCGGCACATCATAAACCCCAGCTTGATTTTGCCGGTTTCGGAGTCCGTCATTCGTTTTAAGTGGGGTGGAGGTATTACCCTCGGGATGGACGAGTCCAGCAAGTTCCGAACCAAGTGGCGATCTTGCAACGTATCGACCTAGACTCTAAACCTTTCAGCTTCGTTTGCAGTAGTTGTTCTTGTATGCATGACGTCGCACTTTTCTACTTCCCTCATCTCAAGACGGATCTACGTTGCGTGTTGTTCTTAGTCAAGTCAGCCTGATCCACGTCTGCTCATGACGGTAAGAGGCTTCACACTCTCCGACTGGAAAACTGACAGGTCATCTTGCACGATGGTCAGCAACAGAAGTTCGCGTCGCCAAACTTGATTGCGCTGCCTTATGTGGAAGTTCCTGAGCATAGCAAGGGCTTTTTATCCGCACACAAAAAGGAACTACAGGGGCACTTCTTGCTGCTTGAGAGGAATGCGCCAGAACTAGTGGGGTTGATCTATGGAGCACCTGAGGATAATCTTGTCGGTCAACCAGCAGCGCCAGCAAGTGGCGTCATCTGCAATCTCTTGGTGGATCAGTGTGAAACGGAGATGAGAATATGCCAGTGCTTGTCACGAGTGGGGCGGACGAGATTGAGGTTCGGCGTCCATCATCGTCTGAGCAATCATTGCAATAAGACGAAGGCGATCACTGATATGCGGCTTGCTGCGCGATCTTTCCGCCGTGGGCCTATGAGTTCGGAGACTCTTGTTCCTGCGTTCAAGCGTGCGCAAAAGCGCGTCCAAGACCAGCTTGAGGCTGGTGTGATGCCATCGAACCATGAAGCAATTACCAGAGAGACGAATCTGGAGCTGCGGGACGCTGTCAAATTGAGTACTACACCTTCTTGCTCTGGTTTTCTGGTAGACGTTTTTACTCGTCTGGTCACCTTTTACATTTGATGCATTTAGTTCTGGACTTCTCTTGTTGTTGCTCTGCAGATGAAGGTCCGTCAAGATGTGGGGAGCGCGGCACTTGCCGCAGCCGCTCTGTTGGCCTGGCCATGGGCTGCCGTAGTTGGCATTGAAACTGCCTGGATGTAGTCAGCTTCAATGCGCGACCAGTATCAGACAGTGGCCAGCTTGCACCAACACAGCGTGGCGACCTCAGAGCTGGACCAGCGTCACCGAACTCGCCTGAAGCCGACGTGAGCGGGGTCGACAGGCTTCTCAGGTTGGTGCTTCAGGGTTTGCCGGGGCTTCGGCAGTCTGAGTCCAGCAACCTGGCGTCCCGCAGCTCTGGCTTCGTACTGGAGCGGAACCTGTTTCCAGGGTTCTTGCCGCTCAATTCGCCTTGATAAATGCAATCTGCGTTGCCGTCGTCACGGGAACAGCGGTCGAGCAGGGTGGGTTGCTGCCAGACCGTTTGTGGGTCGTTGGGATAGGGTATCTGGCTCTCGCGATGCGGCAAGATCGAAGCGTCTCAGAGAGCCTTTGTTGGTGGGTCAGATGCGGCTGACCAGACCTGACCTTCAGAGGCATCATCTCTGGTTCTTCGATCCTGTTCGTCAGGATCCATGGTCGGCTGCCAGTTCAGCTCGGCCAAAGGGGCGTCATGTAGTGCGGCTTGGCTTCTCGATTCGTGGCCAGATTAGTGGGTCCTTCCAGTCCTCTGGAAAGGACGGCTCTGACCGTCTCAACTTTCTGGTGACTTTTGAGGGTCGCCAGAAATTTGATGGAAAAAATCGAGTGCTTGTGCAAAATCCCCAAATGGACCATACAGTGGGGATAAAAATTGGGGAGAGCCATTTGGGGATTTTGCACAAGCTCCGAAAATCAGGAGGCGAACCAAAAACTTTCGGGTGCTTGTGCAAAATCCCCATTTGGCCACTTTGAGAGGGATATCCGTGCGGGATAGGTCCCACTAATCGACCATTTCCCTTTAGGCGGTCCTTTTCGAGGCCTCGCCGATGGCTTCTGAGGTGGCCAAGGAGCGCATTAGAGTAGGCAGCTTTCGGACTCAGTTTGGCGTCATTTTGATCTCCAAATCACACCAGACGTGCCTCTGTGGGAAGAGCTGGAGTCGAGATGGTTTGGCAATCGGTCAGCCGCTGCTTGGAGACAGAAGTTTGGGTCACTCTGTTGGGCGATTCTTGAGGAGCTCAAGCGCGGTCCACAGGAGGACATAGAGCTGGAGATCCGGTTAGTCCTGGAGGCGCGTGCGAACCCACAGGAGAGCTCCGATAGCTCGGCGAACGACGACATTGTTGCTCCCGAGAATGGCCTCTTCGAGCGGCTCGATGGAGACGAGCTGGCGGGTCTGGATCGCGAGAGTATCGAGGTCAATTTCGTCCCTTGGGGAACCACCGCAACAGCTGGTGGCGATGGCGTACCAATCGTGACCTCAGTTGTTGACTTACCAGAAGCGGACGTGAACGGCCACACACACCGACTGCAGAAGGCGATTGAGGAGGTGTCTGTGGACAGCGCGACAGCACACTTACGAGCAACGCGAGTTCTGTACGAGTACCACTGTCTTGTTCTGGCAATAGTGCAGCAGAAGAATGAGCTGAGGCCGGGAGAGGTGGAGGTCATCTTCGAGTCTGACTTGGCAAAGCTGTTGAACGTACAACGTGGATGCCCTATCGTTCGTTGGAATTTCATACACGAAGTGAAGCTGGGCACCATCTTCAAGTACTTGTTCTGCGATCTCCTCTCCGGTTGTCGAAACATCGAGGATTGGAATGAGATCCGCCTCATCCTTCCCCAGCTTTCGGTGCACTACATGTGGGAGCTGTGGGATCCGTGTTGGAACTTGTGGTCGTCAAAAACGTTTAAGCGAGTCGAGCTCCACGACTTCACCCGACAAGAGTACGAGACTGCTGCTGCAGCAATCGATAGGCCTGCGTCTTCTTTCGCTCGTCTCGAGACTGAGTACTTGAACAACATCGATTCTCCAGGTGGTCCCGCGAAAACAGCCACTTCCATCGCGTGTTCGTTGTATGGCTTTCCTGGATCCGAGTTGCACAATGAGCTGCATTGGGCCACAGCAAATGCACCAGCGAAGAAGCGAACCAACCCATCGTATCTCATCATGAATCGACACGAGTGGAGCCTTGGCCAGAGCTTGCCATGTCCGATCATGGACGCTGGCCAAACGGATGACTCGCTTCATCCTTGGGACCCAGAAGCCGTCGTGCAGGTCTCAGAAAGTCTTCCAGATGCAACCGACAGAGAAGCTGGCTTGCAGCACATCAAGAAAGCTTGCTATCCATACCGCGACCGCAAGAAAGCAGACCCCATCGTGAAGAAGGCGACCCGAACGGCAGCGGTTGGTGGCGCGGCAAACCTGAGCACGTTAGCTTTGCAGAAACTCACAAAGGCCATCGACTTATTGGAGGATGAAGATGTGAAGAGTGGAACGATCTGGTCGAACTACGGATCACGCGCATTGCGGACCCGTTGGGCTTTGCAGCGCGCCAGAGACGGACACTCGGTGCAGCAGATCAAAGATAGAAAGTGGATCGCCAACTTGCTGCATGAGGCTCTACTCTTACCACGCCAGGGCTACAAAGGAGTGATTACGCTCAAGCGTGGCGACTCCTGCAGTCTCATAGCGTGGCCAGTGGCAGGCCTCGTTGTTGCGTTTGCGATGGAACCCTGCCGACAAACGCCTGGGAAGTGGTTGCTTCGTTCTGGCTCTGCTGATGCATCACGATGGGAGCCTGTGGTCACGGATCTCGTCAATGCGGAGCTGAACCGTGGACCCTTCGACCTCGAGTTCAGCGAGGAAGGCGTCTGGTTCACCGAGAAGGGCGCAGACTTTGACACCAAAGACATGTTGCTTGAGCGGTGCCGTGGGATGAGTGCCGAGCAGCAGCAGCGCCTGTTGCTGACGATTAGTCCATCATTCCAACATCTAGCATTAGATCTTCCGCTTGCCGCATACAGGGTACTCGTCCGGTACTTCATAGTAGACGCTCCGCCGGAAGGTCGAACCATCAGCGCAGCAGGTGTGAGGCTGGTCAACAAGCGGTCCAGGAGAAATGGCGCTTTTGCGAATTTGGAGGAGGTCATGTGGGAAGTGCCGAAATCCAGTGGACCTAATCCAAAACGAGCTCGTCAAGACGATGCTGGAGCGGCAAATGCGCAAGCAGCTGCTGCGGCAGACATTTTCGCAGAGGAAGATGCAGCAGAAGCAGAGCTCGAGGAGATCAGGGCCAGGACTGAACTTGGTCGACAAGCTGCTGCGTATGTTGGTGCCATATCATGCAAGGGCTGCGGAGCCTCTCTTGCTACCTACCGCAGCCACCTCAGACGCACTAAAGGTGTCGAATGCACAAAAGTGAAGCTAATCTACGACGACTCGGTGGAGCGACCTCTCAAGAATGGCGTAAATCCAGTGCGGACGATGAGCGGCCAGGCAATCGAGCCTTTCATTCGTGAGCAATTCATGGAGCATAATCTCAAGGAAAACCATACATGTGACGTAAATCCATTTGACATCGATATTTGCCCAGAAGTGGCAGGGGTCCGCGACCTCTAGTTAGCATGAGCATAAACCCTCCCCAGCATAGTACATCTTGAAACAAGAGCCCCTACATGTAATCCGTGCTTTCTGTATATTTATCATCATAGTACTCACGTAATTCCATAACCTATGTAGTCATCGTCTTGCACTGGCATCCCACTAGGTGCATGCCTCAAATATGTCACAGCTATAGCATAGCTTGAGCTGATCCCCCAGGTTATTGTCATTGATATCAGCACTCGCGTACTCTGCAAAGATATGTAAAGTTGCTACCATAAAAATTAGTTTCAGTCCAGTTCGGCAGTGCCCGAGTGTATAATCGCCCAAGTCTATGGCGTATGAAATTATCTATTGCTGAAAAATTTAACTGCTAAATCTATGCCCAAGTTTCTGTCTAGTACCAAGTAGAAAGTATACAAAGAGTTCAAGAGCAATTTCACAGAATGAAAGTTTCCGAAGTCGATAGCAAGATCTTTCGTCCATTCCAATGAGCTGATCTGATCAACATAGAAGTCCCTGAATGTGTACGCAATCGAAAGAAGGTCCGCCTGGAATGTCATGAGCTAAAAGCACAGCCCACTGCAACAGATTCCCTCGCCACTACGTCACTTGGCTCGATCCCCAATGCTTCACATTTGTCGTTAGAAAAAGGTGATCATGCTGAAGGGTTTCCATAGTTAGCAAGGAAGCAGCGCCATTTCTCTGCAGCTCTCACTGTACACACTCAGGCAAGAAAGTCGAAGGGCGTGCTACTTATATTCTGACGCTCGTTTGGTTCATCGTAGAGTAGAGAAGCCTGGGGGCCCAGCTAAGTAGAGCACTTCGACAGGGTCTCGGCTCTGGCTCTGATGTCAATTATGGGACCCAGACTCTCCCTCTCTAGGTAAAGCTAGAAGTGCAAAAGGTGGTCGTGAACTTTGTGTGAGGTTGTCCAACGAATTCCATAGTTAGAAGAGATGGAAATCCATAATGCAAAAGAATGGCAGCATGGTCGCAGAGCTTGTCCTCCTCTCCTTCTCACCGGACGGCGCTATCGCAATTGGCCTAAGGCTTTGGAGCCATGCTTCGCAGGAGTAAGCCGAAGCTTTTTCCTACTGGAGCGAAATATTTCGAAGCCCAGTCGGCAACGTGACGGCCCGGGAAAAGAGGCGACGGATAAAGGTATATGCAGCTTCTTCCAGGCTTGTTTCTGTAGTGGTGATTGGGAGTAGATTGATTATCTCTGTGTGAAGCGGAGAATGAAGATTCTTAAGGATAGAAGTTAGCCAATTCATCTAGGGAGAAGCGTGGTGCTCGATTAGGGTCGGCTACTTTCGTAATGGGCTGCAAAGTAAGAAGATGTGCAAGGTAGAGAATTGGTCTAGTCTGGTGCGAAAATTGACGAAGTACTTCACACATGAACGACTAGGTACCCTGCACGCAAGTAGCCTCTTGCGGCGAGTTCGGCAGTCGGGAGGAGGTATGATCCGGCTATGTCTTCGCCTCGAGCGTCTGTCCCATTGCGTAGGTGGAGCAACAAGGTATCGAAGTCCTTGGTCGTGTATCCCTGCCCACTTGCCCTGTTGATGGTAAGGGAATCAGATGGATGCCGTTATGTATGTGGTATGATAGACTTTGCTAGTTTCTCAAGTTTTTGCCTTTCTTTTGGCACCCAGTAGGCCAGTGTGGCTGACGAGATGGCCATCCTTGGTCTCGAAAGTTATTCTTGTTCCACAAGTAGTTCAAAAGCATTCAACTTAAGAGCTTCCCTGCTATTTCTATTCTGATTCGTCATGTTTTGAAGTAAGTATATAGATCTTATTAACCTCAACAAGTTCGCCTTCACGGACTGCAGATTGCCGCTTCGCCCTTTGTGTTGTTTGTGGACCTTCTCTTGGACTCGAAGGGCAGACGCCTGGCCACTTAGGTAGAGCAACCCGTCCACGGTTGTGAATTCGTGGTCTCCTGGTGCAGTGTAGGTTCCCGCTTTGCCCAATGCCTTTCGAAAGGCCGATCTTGCCGTTTCTTCAACGAGGCGAGAGGAGGCGGCGATGCTCCCATAAAGGCACTCACTGCGACTTGTTCCTCCTTGGCTTCTGTGTGTCTCCGTGACCAGATTGCGTGCAGCTTCATAGCCATGCCAGAGCGACTTGGCTCCGAAGTCAATGGTAGAGTAATCTCTCGCTCGATGAATATTGAGCACGAAGATGGACCTGGGCTTCATTTTGCTCACACCGAGCAGGAGCATGCGGTGATACTTGTTGCGGCTGTGAGTGGCGCAGTGCTTCAACGCCCGACGAAATGCAGCAAAGTCATTGCTCATATTCGTTTTCAGCTGTGCCGACAAGTAGCCACCGGCCCGCGCCTGACGTGGTCGGATGGCTGCGTCTGCACTTGCTTCTGACAGCCAAGACACTTCGATGGAGGGTCCTAGTGCATTCTCGAGACGCCTTCTTCCCCATGCCTCCACCTTGCGTGTAGTGGTCTGTCGAGCCTTGCCCATCGTCTTCTTCGTGGCTTTTTTCAATGCTGCCATCGTCTCTATTCTTGTGTCCAATGTGGACAGCTGATGGCCCCGGTCTACTTGCTTCTTCTGTACTCTCCAGAGAGACGCGGATCCGCATGCGCCTGCTTGCGACGGTCAATCAAGGCGTCGCCGTGAACATTATAGGAAGCTTCTACTGTGATTATGATGTCCTTCCTAGGAGTTATGGACTTGAATTCTCGTGACTATATATCAACTGACTAAACTCTTACTCCTACAGGTGGAACCAGTGCAATGGCATTCGGGTGAAAGGTGGTTTTCCTGCTTTAAGTTGCGATGGTTGGTAGAGCGATATATTCGAGCATGAGCGAAATGCGTTGACGATGTTAGCCGATTCATAATGATGCTCGATTGCCGACGACTCTGGGACAAGTTTGGTTCTCGTGAGAGCTACTTGCAAGCAGGTAGTCCCCATATCTCTCGTCGGTTATCCTCGTGGCTCTACCATACAGCCTCATAGTGGCTCCATCGACGCGATTAGAAAGATCTGCTCACTCGTTCTCTCATTCTTCTGAACAACATTGCAATTGATTGGCTACGGGCTCGGATCTTGTTTCTCTTTCCTACATCATCAGATACCAAGCTGCATCAGAACTCTCACCACAGGTCTTAACGTGCGGTGGCTTGCACCATCCGAGTATCGCCTGGCCACGCTGGTGCTTTCTGCTTGCCTCCTTAAGGTGTCGCCACCGTTTTGACCCGGGACATCAAGCACAGCAACAGAAGGATCTCATGTGTGTCAGCACTTTGCGTCAGCTGTCTGTCGCACAGCCCACGGGCCTCTCGCTGCCTGCAGCGCTACAGCATCCGCGATCCTGACCACTTGCCTCTTAACTAGCTACTTAACTAACTAGTAATATGAACCTAGCTAGGACACCTTAACATCATCCGAACTTCAAATTTTTTTTCGGACCAGGTTCTGGCTCTCCCCAAGTGCAAAATCCCCATTCCATAATCCTCGTCGTTCGGGATCAACAGTATTAGCCGAGGGACAAGGAGGGCATCAGCTTCAAGCAGGAGCACGAGGAGCTATGATAGGACCTTCAGGAGGACCTCCAGGAGTCGGGATAGAGTCTGCGTCACAAGATCCTCCTATTAAGGCTCAACTTTCATTGGTCACCATTTAGATTGGTCACCGAGATCGAAGAGGAGACCCCTGGAGAGAACAGGGGACGAAAGCTAAGGGAAAACAATGGGAGAGGTGTGCTGTAGGAGCTCTTGTTCCTTCAGAATGATCAGTGACTGCTGACCTTTAATCCTAGCTATGCCTTTTTTCCTTCCTTTTGGTCGGGCAACAGTGGCCAACAGGTGGAGTCGAACGAGGCGTCTACTGACACCTTGCCTGCTCAAGACCGATCCTTGTATCGTCGAGGCGGCGCCGCTCCTGGAGGTGCACGTCGTCGCGGACATGAACGACGTGACGACACGAGGATTAAGGCTTTGCCGAATCCATCTTCTTAGGCATTCTCGAGAGGCTTTTCACGGGAGAAGACGCCGAGGATGCAACATCAGAAGATGGACATTAAGAGGCTGAGCTCTAAAACGCCCACAGGGACGAGCGGATCTCTCTTTCTGTCCGCCACGATGTCGTCGCTCGCTAGTAGTCTGGGCTCCATGTTCCACCAAAATTTTCGACTAGGGAATCCACATCCGGAACACCAGGTACTAGACGACCCGGATTAAGGCTACAAGAAATCCATCTTCACCGTCATCCTGGTCCCGTTTTTAAAGAGAAAAGGAGACCCAAAATGTTACTGAAGATGGATTTCTCTTAGTTCTAACCGGAGATGAACGGAGGAGGTGGAACTACTTCGCAAGGTCTCGCATCTTCGTCAAATGCTTTGCTCGGAACGTCCACACGGGAACTGAGAATGAGTAATCATCTGGTCCAAAGACAGGCGTCAGGAAATCCCAGTAACTTCTCGGATCCGCCTGATGACGAAGATCAAGGCCTCCAAGTCGTGGGTCCCGCCACATCAAACCAAGAAGATCTGAGTGCGTCAAGGCAAAGCACTCGTTCGGAACCCACAGCTTGCGCCATCTGCCTCAGTGCAGATCAGAACCGCCTCACGGGACCAAAAGTTCGGGTTCAAGCGTGTGGCCACCAAACGCTACACCTGCTCTGCCTCAACGACTGGGTGCAGCGTGGAAACAGTCGCCGCTGTCCCATCTGTCGCGCGTATATGGGGGCGCATTGGGTAAACTCCAATATCATCCAACGAGTGCAAAGGGAAGGCGATTTGTACGGTGCGGAGGCGATTGAGCGCATTATGCGTGAAGAAGAGGCTGCGAGGTTGGTTGCACAGCAAGCAGGAGAACCTTCTAGTACTACTTCTGGCGTTGATAATGTTACGGGTTACATGTTACATTGCATCCCCTACCACAATTCCCTGACTCTACTTTTTGAAGTACCTAAAAAAATTCAAGGGTGTTCTTAGAAGTGCAAAAATTTTGCAGTCTCTAATAATGATCAGCTGCCAGGGGTCGATATCAACGACGCTGCTGCGATCGCGACGAGTGAGCATGAAATCATCCATCTTGGCATACCTCCAGGTCCCGTTGGATCTCGTGACACGTCTGGCGATGCCCATGCTGCAACATCAAGAGGGGCATTGCTTTCTTCGTCTAGAGGTGTTGGCTTTTCCTCTGGCACCACTCGTGGAGGAGGTCCGACCTACGTAGCTCCTTCCGCAACGACATCGGCCTCTCCTGGCGACGACGAAACCGGTCTGAATGGAACGCCATATGGTACTATTCGACGCCAATTTCGTCGTCTTGGAGCACTACGCATGCAACGACGCAATCGGGACAACATTAGCACAATGTTATGAATGTTCTGATAGATCTCGATCTGTTTTTTTTAGGCACTCGAATGTTGATGTTTTTTGTCTACTTATTAAAACGGACCCTAAGAAGATAAAGATCTTCAATGGCCGCAAGAAATATGCACTCCTCTCTAAAAATATCCGACCCTGACTCCTCCAGCGCATCCTTATTCGCAGCAGCTGCAATCGAAAGCAGCAGTGACCCGTCGTCCTCGTATAATCGGATGAATATCCGCTCTGCAGTTTTAGTTCCAGCTCCAAGACAGATCAGCATGGAGGGATCTCCTACTCCATCTTCCGGAGGAAATCGATTGGCGCAGAGCGGGTCTACGGTCCACCGAAATCCAGATCGACAGATGCGGTTTAACGAGCTAGCTCTTGAAAATGTGAATGGCTTGAGGCAATATGAAGATTTGGAAGCAGCGTCTGCTGAGGACGACCCGGATGAGAGAACGTTATGAAGGGCACTCTTGTTCTCGTCTTTGGCTCTGCCTCTATCCTTTGTCTCTGTATCTAAATCTATGTTGTTCCTATTTAAAGAATTTCAATTTTATACAGCCTAGTCGTCGTGGTCATCGTGTACAGCGAACCGTTAGGAAGAGCAGTAGATTTTTAACTGGCAAACGAGATGTGCGAATCGCGATCGTTTGTGCATCCACTTTTGCCTTGACTCCTTTCTATTCTCATCTCTAGACCCATGAATGGCACGAGGCCTTCAAGGTCGTCGTTTCTACTCTAATCTCTAGACCCATGAGTGGTATGAGGCCTCAGAATAACGAACTCCGGTTCCTCGAATTCGAAAGGGAGTGCACTCTCTTGCGTGAACTTTTTTTCGATTGCTGCATCATGGAAATCTGCTGTAAGAACGCGAAGTGTTGGGCTGGTATATTAAGGCAAAAAAAAGAAAATTGGTCTAGTAAAGCATCCTTCTTCAAGAACATCATTCTTGGCCCTTCTTCTACTTGGAAAAGAAACACTACGACGCCCTTTGGCAGTCTGCACTGAACTCTGTGCGAGAATGATTTTCTTGTATTGTATTGTATTGTATGGCACCAGGGATGCGAACGCGGCTGCTCTAAGCGTATGCGTCGCAGGGTGTATTGGTTGCTGCTATCAGGACCAGAGATGGGTTGAAGGCGAACGCGAGGTCTGCTTACGGCTACAACTGCAGCTAAATAGACTACAGCCAAAAAAGCTAGAAATTAAAGCTAAATAAAGGTGAAATTGTTTCTCGTCCAAATGTTGATACCTCCTTAATCACTTCTATGGTTTTTATTTTTTGCTACCTCTAACCACTATGCAGAATTACTTCCCAGAATATAGTGTTCCGGACTACATGACCCGCGGTTTTTCCCATTACAACGAAGGCGGAAGCCACATCCTCTTCACGCTGAGGGACTATCTCGATGATGAAAATAGAACCAGGGATGATGCGCAATACGGTCACGGAGGAGGTAGAGGTCATCTTCCACATGGTGGAGCTGGAGCTCCTGATGCGAAAACTTTCGCTGAAGCGCAGGCAGATGAAGTGGTAATTGACCCAAATAATGAGTCAGTTTCGAGCTCAGCTGTGCTTCCGAGTAACTCAGACACCTCATCTGCGCGTTCACCGAGTGAATCTTCTACAAGCGACGTGGCGCCGCCAGCTGGCGCCCGCTCTCTCAGAGCCGGCCAGGTAGTGCACCCTGGCCATCTGGACTGGCATCCACACGGAAACTCACAGCGTGACGGAAATGATGATTAAGGCTCATTTCATGGTGAATTGTGCATCTCCCGTGTAGACTATCACTACTAGACTTACACAGAATACAAGGTGAACGTCGTCTCATGTCGAGTCACTCAGTAAAGCACTACCCTCAACACACAAACGCGATAATCGCCGATAATTAGTCCTTTACAAGAACACGAAAAAATAGGCCACGTTCTAAAATAGCGAAGAGCGACACCACCACATGCATTTCGAGAACTATCGCTTTGTGTCCGATGAGGAAGCGCGACAACATGTCGACGAACAGCGTTGGGACGCCTTAAAGCGGCATTTTGGTTATGGTGGGTCTTGTTGTGCTGATTAGTTGCAGTGACAAATGTAGCAGTGACGAATAGCAGTACGGATCTAGTTCTAGTATTTGGTGTGTAAGTTCCTTCAAATAATACTGTCAGTGTCTTGGCATTCCGTCATGTTGTTCACTTTCAGAACTTATCTCTACTTTCTCGAGTAGCGGTGCTATCAGGGATACGCACATTCATACAGACAGACATACGCACATAAGTACCTACAGACAGACATACATACATTAGTTTTCGCCTCTACAAAATTAGGCTTATCCCGTGCAAAAATACACACACATACATACATACATACATACATACATACATACATACATACATACATACATACATACATACATACATACATACATACATAAATACATACATACATACATACAGGATTTTTTGGAGTAAAAAAATATCGCACGTCACATCGCTGCTTCTTGGAAAAAGATGCGGGACATACACATAGGCTTCTAATCCTACCTGAAGGAGTCAGACTTCAGTCAGGAGCTGATCTACCTGCGTTGCATGGCTAAGCCAGGACCTGGATTCATAGACAGCCAATTGCGCATGCGTGACCACGACAAAAAGTCAGGTCGAGAATATTCCGGAAGGGAAGATTATGAATGGCTTGTTATTCTCACTTTTTTTGATGTACTTATTTATATTAGTCCCAACAAGATCGTTAAATCAATGCCTTACACTCTTTGGCTTTAAAGTTATATATTAGTCCACACATCAACTGACTCTTAATCTGGTACTAACGTAGCGATAGAAGTAGTCCACACTCTTAATCTGGTACTAAGACTTAGCGATAGAAGTACGTAGTCCACACTCTTAATCTGGTACTAAGACTTAGCGATAGAAGTAGTCCACACTCTTAATCTAGTACTTACTTAGCGATAGAAGTACAAGTAGTTCACTAAATAGCCAATAATAGATATTTCTAGTAGGAGGTACTAGGACTAAGTTCAGTGAAGATTGCTATATTTATGTGAAATGGATCTTTCTAACACAATGACACACGACAGAAGGTCTATTATGAGACGGTTGGCCACGAGCGCCGACAAGGAAGCAGTCCCTGGTCTGAGGATGACGAGGGCACTGATGTAAAAAATGGAGGTGCACAGGAGGAACATGAACGTGATAAAGATGCACGTAGAAGTAGTCAGTCGAGTCCAGAAGGGACGCTCCTGAGGCACCGACTCCGTGGAAGTACTGACGTTGCTGCTTCTTCAAACGAAAGTACTAAAACGAGCAGTGCTGGCAGGAATCGACCGACGGAGGAGGCATCTTCGGCCCCTGATGCTGGTGCTCGCATAAAAACTGAATAGCTATTCCGTGATTCAAGACGTATTTGACTCTTATTGTACTTGATTCGCATGGCTCTGCAGGCCTCCTTATACAGTGTTGTTGTTTGCGAAATACAATTTATTTTTGAGAATATCGACCTACTTGTCATCACGCGATTCACAGACACAAACCAGAAACACACAAGATACTCACCTATAGATACATAGCTCTGTACAAGAATTACAATAATGTGAGTACTCGAAGTGTAAAAAATGTTCTTTCTCATATTGTTGCTCACTGGGATTGCATGCTACCTCATCGGATGAGAACACGATTTAGCTCATGACGCTGGCTTTACGACTGTCTCTGCCATATTTGCTGTCTGAGAAACTTGGACTTTATTTACATGGATTAGAAAAACTTGACGTTCTTGGATACTCCAACTCCACAACCACGGGCAAGGCTATCGTCTCCATAGGCGTTGAGTACTTGGGCCTTTCTGGGCGGTTATAGGGCACTGATTCCGTTCGTGTTATTCTGCGACTTCCTGGGACGAAGCGAAGGATGGAGATGCTTCACTTTTTCTCTTTTCTCTCCTAAAGGTAGGCTTCTATTCCGTGGGGACAGCCCATGCTTGCAGTAGGCGTACACGTAATGAAGAATTATATGGACTCGATCTTGTTATTTACTGAATAGTTTTGCAATTTGTAGATGTACTGCTACTGAATAGGCAGCTCGAACAAGTCGAAAAAACAACATGGACGATCATGTTGCTTCGTCCAGAGCTGAGGATCCGCAGTCCTCTGGTGAGTCTCAGCAACGTGGCAGTTTGGAAATCCGGACTTTGGACTTGGCGCAAGACAACGTTGTCCGAGAGAACCTGTATCTCGCTATGCTGTCACCTGTTTCGGAAAATCCCGACTCGCCTCTGAATGAGATATCTCGTGCTGCTGGTTCTTCGTATAACGAGGATCATAGTGGAACTTCTCACAAAAGTTCTAGAATAAAGAATCAAGAAACTACTTTTGCTGCACATGATGGCGCGGAAGCGAACTCTAGTAGGGTACGGCTCCAAGCGCCGGCTGGTGGCAGAGATCATAATGTTGATGTTCATGATGTTCATGCTGAAAACACATCGACCAACAACAATAGACTAGAAGAGCAAGAGTTCCGTTCAAACGCAGGTTTTGCTGATGATACACACGACGTTGATGCGAATATCGAGAGCAGGAACCAAGAAGCTTTCGTCGATCCGGGACCTACTGAACGACTGGTCGAGCACACTACATGTGGAATTTTAGCCACGTTGTTGCAGGACACGACTTCTTCTCCCGATCATCATGCTTCTCTCTTTGGAAGTCTGGATCTTGGCGACCCAGGTGATGTGCGTTCTGGTGCTCGAGTGCGGCTTGGCGGGCACGAAGAGTTTTCGCTTGAAGATGATACCGCGGACATTGAAAAGGTCGCTTTCGCGAGCAAGGAAGAAGAAGTGTTGCGGGAGAAGATGAAAATAAGCGCTACAGCAAGTACGAAAGCACGACGTCTAAGTCAACACCTACTGAATTTGCACAAACAGAAGACGCTAAAATTGCCGCACAGTGGTGAACGACAACGACAAGAACTGCCGAACGCAGATATTCATCAAGAAAGTGAAGAAGAAGCAGATGGGCAGGACCACGTACAACGACAAAACCATGCTGAGGGTCCCCCACTTCATCTGATTTCTGTTGAGACGAAAGCAGATGTTGCAAGGGCACCAGATGTGGTTGACGGCATCCACAAGGAGCTCTCCAAAACCGGCGACGACAAGAACCGTGAAGACGACAAGAACCGTGAGAGGGGCAACAGCGCAGTGACCCCGAACCTGGTTGCTGGGGCAAGCAGTGCGGCTCCGAGAGACAGCATCGCTATACCCGGAGCAAGTCCGCCAAATCGGCGCATATCGCTAGCCTCATCGTCCGGGGATCGCAGGGGCTCAGTGGCGGGCAGCGATACTAGACGAGCGTCAGTAAGCGAGCGGCGAGGGTCGATTACTGAGAGACGCAGTTCGGTTCAAGACTTACTGCGGGACTTTCAATTTAATGCAGCTGGCAGTGATGCCGCATCGTCGAGCGACCGACGCGGGTCATTGCGGAGTGCATCTCTGTATCAAGACGCGTTACAGAAACGACGAGGAAGCTCCAATCTGCTGGTACTTGGCAATTTTGAGTATGGAGCAGTTGTTGTTTCTGCGGGGATATTGACGTATTTTCTTAGACGTGTCCACGATCTCGTACTCGTTATTTAAAATCTTCAAACTCAGTGATGAATCTCAATCTCTCCAGGCAGTTGGCGTTCCAGGCGACGCGTCGTCTTTTCTAAGTGCGCCTCAAGGAAGGCAACGCAGTCGCTCTTTCGCCTTACCAGCTGAAAAGGACCGCCTTGGGATTCCCGAAGGACTACCTTTCCCAGTGAAAGGAGAAAAGCGCCTCTCTGTTGGAGCTGCTGCGACGAGTTCTTGTGGGAAGCATCTTCTAACTAAGACTACTGAAAGTTCTTCAGTCATGGAGTCACGAGGTGGCGTTGGGCCTTCATGCGATCGTCAGCCTGCAGGAACGGGATTGAGTTCTGAAGCTGTTGATCCCAACGATCCACACCCATCTTCGATGTCGTCCTTACGGTCACAACTAGTGGACGATCCACCAGGTCGTGAGCAGAGTTCTTCCACCGGTGCGGCACACCCATCTTCTGACCTTCAACCTGGCGAGCAAGAAGTAAATTCCCGTCTTCTACTTCGTGAAAAAGATCATGATCATACTGGAACTGGACTAGAAGCACATGCTGTAGCAGCTCCAGTAGAAGCACATGAACTCGAATCCCCTGAACCAGCACCAGCACATAATTCGTTTTCAACAGCTTCCAATCTAAAGCTTGGCAAGACCGTGTCCATCGGTGGCGCCGTGTACAGACAGGACACCGAGAAGACCGAAGACCGACACCGAGAAGACCGATTGCAGTCGCAGGCATCGATGCGACTCGATCACCGGTTCAAAGATCAGAAGAACGCGAGTGTATTTAAGGGTAGGTTAAAGGTGCTTTTCTTACCGCTTTTTATGCCTCTCTCCCTTAGGATGAGAAAGGCATAACAAGCGGGGAAAGCGAGCACCAAAAACCTACCTCTAACGTATCTGAAGAGCATCAACTACATGATGCAACAGCAAGAACTGGCGTCGATGGTGAAAGTACACGTGAGGATTAAGGGCTTCCACCACATTGCATCCTTCACTACCATCCTTGGCCAATAGCACTTAGTCATGTGGAATACATAGATCAAGGATGGTCTGAAGAATGCAACTCGGCAACCTGTAAGAGGAGGGCAGCGAGCACTGGTTGCGAACAAAGGCAGTATACACTCATGCTGTTGACGAGGAGCTGGAGCGCATGGAGACTGAATATTCTCGAGCACTGGTGCGCAGCCCAGATCGCCGAAGAGTGACAACAACGACGAAAGGCATTGGAGGCGGGGTGAGCAGTTTTTATGAGAATTGGAAATAATAAATAGTTGTTGTGTCCTTAGGAGCTTATTTTTGTTCCACTTCCATGTGAGTGTGTCGCGCGTCTATGAGTTGCTTCCACGAGTGTTTTTGGGACGAGATCAAGATGAATCATCATCATGATGAATCAATTACGCCTCCTTCTAATAAAGCAGCAACAATATTAAACGGGCTCCCGAGCAGCTCAATGGCACCAGAAGTAGTCGGCAGCGTGGAGCCCTTCGTGGTGCGGGTCCCGTCGGGTCCTACGCCTCTCCTCCTGATTCGCCAACCGTCCAATCACGCGAGAACAAATATGTGGCTAATGTGTCTCCTGATATACATTCGAAATTTTTGCGGCTCTCGTGCGTAAAGTACTGTGAAGACCCCAGAATGATGATGGCACCAGACACGACAGCGTTGTTGATTAAGGCTTCCCCTGATGCAGCTTGGGAAGCATCCTGACGAGACTTTTGAAGGGGAAAAGACACCCAGGATGCATCTCGAGATGGAGTAGGGTGAGGTCCGTCTAAACTGAGCAGCAACTTTTACAACATGACTTCTTCTGGCACCACAGGTAATGGCCATATGCTTGGTGCTCCCGCTGTTGGCGGACTCGGTTCTGTGCAGAATCCCAACGCAGGACACCAAGAATTGTTGCACATAGGCGAAAACGACGTAGTGTTATGGCTACCGCTGAAGAATCCTTACCTACATCATCCTTGTTTCTGTTTCTTCTTGAAAAAGAAGCCAACAGGCATGCTCTCAGGGATTCGAACGCTGTAGCGCCACCTCTAATAGGACACGAGGCCGAAGACAGCCACGATGGTCAAGACCTCGAGGAACTTCCGCTTGGGTGCTCCGCAGGCTCATTCCTCAGTCACTCGAATAACGAAGATGGGGATCCATGACGAGTCTCAGACTGAAGTACAAAGTCAGTAAATGGCATTTGTAGATCAGAAAAGCATTTGTGGACTAGAAATAAAACCATCTACTCTGATATTTTTTGTAACTGTCACGTTGAACTCGAATAAGAAAAACTCAACCGTTAATGAAAAACTTAATGTTTCGGGATCATCGAGTCCGATTTCACAGCGAACTTCGTTTTCATGCATCAATCCAAATCCATCCTAAACCTAGCTTCGAATTTGTCAGAGTTGCTTCTGGCATCGATTGAAATTGAACAGTGTAACTCTTAGTGCGCCTGCTTGTGCGGTCAAATTCAGTCAAAGCATCGTTCGAACAATAGGCGCCTTGGGAAGCATTCAGTGTCAGACTTCTATTGTTTATGCACAGACTTGAGGCTAGTAGCCGTATGCATCAAAGAAATTGCAATCCACGAATGGGAAAACGCAAATGCGTTCCTTACTTTTTGTGAAAAGTTTCATGAGAAATGAATGCAGTTTCCGGATAATATATTTTGACGCTGACGATAATGGAAGCATGGAACCATTATTGAGGTGAGTCAACGAAGGCCTCCAGAGAAAGAACACCATAATTCCAGTTTTGCGTATTCAAGAACATCAAGAAGATCAAATGTGGATCTTCACGACTCTGAGCTGATGTTATGAATATCTTCACGTCCCAATCATGCCAGAACTGTCTACTGGTACTCCGACGGCAGAATTATGACTACACGACTGTGATAGTGAATTTTGACCCTTCCCATATCCGCTCGAGTATGCAGGTAAAACTGTGGACGGCGGACTGAATCCTAACCCAAATCCTACAGGGTTGTCATGAATTATAGTGATTTTTTACCCCGTAGAAAACTTCGATGCGTGCTGCGGAACTTGAGCGGCTTTTAACTTTATCACCGTCAGAAAAGTATTGAATCAATGGCTCAAATGGGATGATTGACTAGTTACTTTAATCATGCGTCTGGATCTTCTATCATACGGAAGTCAACATGTATCTTACATATTGTTCCTCGTACTAGAAGCCTAGACAACATCAATTTGCTTTACAGTGTGAGTAAGTACGTACGAAGTCGGACACGATGTCGCTGGGGCAAAAGTTTCCTGAGTCCGTGAAAAGCTCTATCAAAGGATTACTTGCGTCATACGGAATAGATCCTGACGACCAGGCTGGAGATTATTTTGCGTCAGGATCAGGAAGTCACCTCGAAGGCTTGGTCCTCTCCATCGCATGTCATGGCGTGCTAAAGTGCATACTTGCTCGTTCAGGTATTGACATAGCCTCCCTTGATTTCCGTAATTTGGAGAACGTGGAATTGCTGCAGAGCCGGCAACGCACATCGTGGCTCTACCGGGATCTCGGGAAGGAGCTCGAGGGGCATGTGGCGGTGTATCATTGCGGTCTTATTCGCGACATGAGCATTTACGCGTCGGTGTTGCCACGAGGAACAATCGACGCATTCGCATACTTGACTGCGCTCTCTCCCGAAAGTTTATGTCCGTTTCGCATGATCCACGATGCGTGCGCGGATTCTGTATTTCAAAGACGTCCTGACTTGTTCCAGCTCTTAGATGTGGGTGGACCTCACAGCACGGATGACCACTCGCCGCGTGCCGAGAAAAGCATCGGGGAATTCTGGGTCGGTGCCAACACGTTGGCCGCACTGGTGGAGCGGACCGGTGGAACAACACAGGACTTGGAAGATTCGTCCACCGAGCTATTTGACTTGCGGGACCCCTACACTAACGAGCTCCACTGCAGAATCACCTTTGGCCGAGAGCTTTCACTAGCGATAGATGGGGCGCGCTTTCTTGTGAGAGTGGCGGAGTCCGTTACTCCTTCGGATCGACTGGCTCTGGAGTACATGCCGCTAGTCTCGGTTGGTTGCGATCAAAAAGTGAGCGAGGTCAAAGGCATGTTCCACCATACGCAGTACGGCTTTCTGGGCAGTCTAACCTCGTCTGACCCTCCGCAAGACGTAGAGTTCACTACTATTGATATGAACGGCAGTATTCCTGATCAGCTTCACTCAGGGGTCAGAGGCTGTTGCGTTTTGAACTTCTGCGACATTTTTGACGACGCGCCTGCTGGCTCCAAGTCCAACGACTGTCATCGCTCGAAAACTTCAACTTCGTACGACCTTCCCACCCACCTGACACCGAGCTTGCCGGGACCAGGAGCTGCCTCAAAGACAAGCGCTACAGATGCCGCGGCTTCGCGCGAGGGTAAACCTAGACACGGGCGACGGAGAAGAAATTTGATAGCCAACATTGTGTGGGTACGGAGCCGCTTGCGAATGAACGCTCCTTACTACTGGTTGGCGGCAAACACGACGGAAGGGAAGTATCTTGACTGGGCCACTGCTGTGCCGCAGGAAATTTTACGTGCTTGTGCGAACAGCAACACAGCTGCTAGCAGGCGCAGTGACATGTGTAAACTTTTGAGCTTTGTTGGAAACGCGATGGAGCATCTGGACGAGCCCGAGAATATCGATGCAAAAGAGGCCCTCCGATCCTGGGCGCAGAACTACAAGGGAGGAAAATTCTACGACGAGTTCCGATTCGACGAGACCGCGGGGGAACTTTTTCCGATTTTTTTCGTTGATAAAGTTTGTCCGAAGGATCACGTCCTGTGGCAAGACTACACCACCATAACCCGGGAATGGAAACGCATGCGGGACAGCGGCGTTCTCTCGGTGCTTCAAGTTGATTACAGATCAGGGAACTCCGAGTTACATCGATTAAGGCTTGGGAGTTGACATCTCTATGCGCGTCTCTATGTCTTCTTCAAGTAGGAAAGCCACAGATATGCGAGCTAGAGATGCCAACTTTCAACCCCTAAATCGACTCGTGCAAGAGGATTACACCTCCTGGCAGACACATTATCCAAGCGCCCTAGCGTTTTTTCAAGGATTACGCAACAGCGCGCAGCTCCGCAGAGACGTGCTGGAGTGGAAGAACGGTAGAGGCCTAACCGCAGTCGAGTCAATCGAAGCACAGTGGAGAGGAAACTTGGGACAGTCGCTGCACAATTTGGTAGACGAAGCTGAAGGCGGAGCCGAAGATGCTTGATGGTGCGATCGATAGGGTTTGACTTTTGATCTCGTCTGGTTGACATAATTCCGCCACTTTTTTTATCATTAATTCAACAGCAGGGGTAGACAAGAATCTGACTGATCACCGTCTAGTCCTTTCATCATGATTATCATCTGTTGAAATTGACGCCAGAGCCAGACGGTGAAGATACTCATATAATTCCGTGTTTGCTGCGATGAAGATCCCTGTTAATGAATGCGCAATATTAATAATGTTTTATTACTGTGATATTCCCCAAAAGCAAAGATTGCAATACTGTGATATTCTTCTAAGGACCTTCCCCTCTCCCTACTTCCAGATTTCCTTTATTCTTTGACACAAGTTCTTATTGAAGTTCTTCAACATCCATACCATGCAAAAGAAGCCTCTACCGCGCATAGCTTATAATTCCTCATAATAAAAGAAGAAGCAAGAGGACTGGGAGAAGACCGTTGATCCGGGAAGTCCGTTGTTCCTTGCAACAGGATCAACATCAAGATCACATTCTAAATACAGAAATGCATTTGCTGTGTGCTGTATGAAAATAGAGATGATCATGATGAACATGAAAAGGATCTCTTGATGCCATATTTTGCACTGACGACGTTCAGACCCTGTCCTGTTCTTGAAGATTCAGAAAAGAAAAGCATATTGAGGCTCCATTTTAAAGACCACAAAGAAGAAGATCAAGATGACCTACGAAGTCGATCCAAGTAGGCAAATAAACCTGATCAAGTTGAAACTACAAGGCGATCATCTGTGTTGTATATTCACAATTTGACTACGTTTAGAATCGACCTCGTTGTACTTGTACTGTAGTCGTACGAATTACCAGTAGCCCTGGCCGCTGCCTGTCGCAAGCCAGAAATCTCTTAATCTTAATCTTAAAGATCATCTTGATCTGCAGATCACTCATCCAGATTTCTAAACTTGCACGAGTATGGTATGAACAGAGACGACCAACTACAGTATCGTGAATATTACTTCATGTCCTCTCATCTTCTGGTCTTTGTCAACATGATGTGATACAGTCTCTCCAGCCTAGCGACCATCTTCTATAATTGAGTATTCGAAAACTCAAAATTACAGAGTTACTGACTGAAATAAGGGAGGTAGCTTAACGCCAAGGCTACTCTTCCTTCTCATCAGTATCTCGGTTATTCTGATCAGTTACTTGCTTATTTCAGTTTTTCGAATAGCAGTAGGATCATTATCCCCTGTATCTTGGACATTAATATTCCCTGGAAAATGGAGGAGAAAATGGAGGCAGACGCACAGGACGGACAGGGGGTGGAACTGTGGTCCACAGCCATATTCACGAGCAGTCCTGGATTCCTAGAGGACCCTAGGTTCTTCGCAGATCTCGATGCCTGGCTCAGCGAATATCCGTATGTTTCCGGCTTTCACGTGCATGGAGATTGCGACACGCGATTGTGGCATGCTGTGAACACGAAGTTGACAGGACAAGAACGCACCCAGCACTTAGTCTTACCGGCAAACGTGAAGCGATGGTTTGATCACGTCCAGCCCTGCTCGCGACGAGGAGAGCAAGAGGAGGGAAGGAGCATAGAAGTGGCTGACTCGGCTGCGAGTTCTTTCAGCTTTCTGAATCCCATAAGACGCACTGAGGTTATAGCTCGTATCAACGCTCGTGCAGCTGAGGCGACTGAAGAGAAAGCGAGAATCGAGAGGTTGCGCGCAATGGACGAAAGTCGGCGTTCGTGCCAAGAGAAAGACTTGCACGTGTCGTGTAAAATAAACAACAGACGGGAGGATACCGTTATCGTCAACGCTTCTTGTCCTGTGGGAGCCTCTGCCCAACTAGAGGCGCCTCCCCAGCAGCACCGGCACAAGGCAGGCAACAAGGAGGATCGAGCATGCGTCATTGTACACGACACAGTGCCTGCCCACTGGCGACGGCCTCAGGAGACAAGCAGCGCTGAGAATGCGAAGAATGTCGTAGCGGCCACTTCCACCAGTACAGCTCGCGAGGTCAAGCCCTTCTTCCGAGACAAGATCCTCCAGCAGCAGAGCAAGCACTGGGACATCTTCTACAAGAACAACCGGACCAACTTTTTCAAAGACCGTCACTACCTCGGCAAAGAGTTTGGCACGTTTGTAAGGGAGGCAGTTGAAGCGAGGAGGAACAGGGAGAACACAATCATGATGCTGGAGGCTCCTAAGATTAGTAGTTCATCTAGCGAGAGTGAGAATACAATGATGCTGGAGGCTAAGATGAACTACAGGGAGAATGAGAATACAATGATGCTGGAGGAGGCTCCTAAGATAGCTAGTAGTTCATCTAGAAGCATTGCTGCAGAACAAGCACCATTGCTACTCGAACTTGGCTGTGGTGTCGGAAATTCCATTTTGCCCATGCTCGAGGATTTTCCGGAGTTACAGTTTGTAGCCTGCGATCACAGCAAGGTAGCTATTGACTTGCTGAATGAAGAATTGGAACGGAGGGAACGTGCCTCTGATGAGAGTGGTCCGACGCCACACACGCCAAGGACAGCACGACAAGGGCCCGTATCAAATGAGGATGAGTCTTGTTCGACTTTTGTCCTGAAGGAATGCAACATCGCCTCCGAAATGCCAACTCCGTCTACCAATGCCACTCTTTCGCCATCAGTGAGTGTTGATGAACAAAAAATCGGACTATCCGATGCTACGCAGCGTAATGATCACTTGCCGCGAGTAGGCACCGATCATACCGAAAAGCAGACTCTTGTACAGCCCGCAAGATCTTCGCGCGTTACTACCTTAGTGGTCGATGCGACCGACCCTTTAGCTGCCGATCATCTGAAATCTGACTTAGCTCCGTACTTCGGCAAGTGCGACGCCGTGTTGCTCCTGTTCGTTTTGTCCGCGATCACGCCAGGAGGCAAGCAACGAGCAGTCGCAGATCTGGCTGCAAAACTTCTAAGGCCAGAAACCGGCGTTTTGCTCTTTCGGGACTACTGTAAAGACGACTGGGCAGAGCTAAGGTTTCGCGATCCCGCGCACAAACCATGCGCTATGGGAGCGCCGAGTCTCTATAAGCGCAGTGATAATACGTTGGCGTACTTTTTTACGGAGGCTGAGCTTGTGGGAGATATTTTTGGGCCAAGAGCAAGACCACAAAGAGAGGAGTCCTATAATGAAGAACCGTTACGGAGAGACGAGGATTTGTATAGACAAGGAGAAGATCCGACAGGTCTCGACATACCATTTGAATTGCTTGACTCCTCAATTGTGTGTAGGGAAATCACGAATCGAAAGGAACAAAAAACTATGCGAAGAATGTGGTTGCAAGCGGTTTTTAGGAGAACCTGACTTCTGCCAGATCACGCCTGCTTCGAGACACTACATCACGAATATCACGACTAGAAAATTTTTTCTTTGTGTAACGAGCACGAGTGTGAGGGAAGAGTTTCTCGTGTCGGAAAGAGCGACGTAAGTACGTGTCTCTTCAACAACTGGGTATTGGGGTCCACTACTTCTGAATATGCATCTTTGTGTTTGTCCCCCTCTAGTCAATGAAATTCATGATGGTACAACGACAGCCCTCTACTTTTACCTTGAATATTCCAAGTTCAAAGGCGACAATTTCGTGATGAGTCATTCATTGGGAGCGAAAAACACAGCAAGGAAAGGAGACAGCGTCCTTTCTCTAGACGAAAGTGTTTTTGGTGTTCTGCCTAGCTGGTCCTCGGTGCCGTCAAGGTGTGCATTTCGTAGATATGTGGTCACTGAGGTCCACATCTTCAGGCTTAATAGGCAAAAATCATAAAAAACGCGGCAGTTGGTGCGAGAATGCGAATGGCGATCATTCTCGAGATCGCGTCTGTGCATTGTGAGGTCTTATTGGGGAAGGGTCTTACAACCCAGGGTCAAGGAATTAGAACTACTGCTTCTACTACTACTGCTACTACCATCGCAGCGCAGCGCAGTAGGATCTCTATAAAAGTTGAAGCATATGATCGCGACCATCATGCAGCGTTAGAGACTAGTTCTGGTCATGCAGCGACGAAGAACCTCGAAGAGAGCTCAAAATAAATGCGTCAACTACTACGCCCTGACAAGATTCAATGGTAACAAAATTCAATGCCATGAACAGGATTCGAGAATAACAATCTGAACATTGATGTTCACGTATCCTCTACGTCTACCAGGATGATAATATGATTATCGATCCTTGAATTTATTATCTCCACTTCCACTCCTACTACTAGTCTGAAAGTAACACGCTTTATGCGAACTACAGACAACTAGAAAGTCTAGGGAGATCCTCATATGAAGAATAGACGAGTGGGCAGGTGTTGTGAATGACAATCGCAACGCAGTGCAGCTCGTTCTGAGTTCTAAGCTCAGACTGTTTTTTATTTGCTGTAAAGAGGATACTTAACTTTGGCCTTCCTCGGTCTATCTCATTATTTTGCTACATGGAGTACTATCGCAATAGAAAACCGATTTTCCCTCTTCAGAGAACATCCGCAAAATTTCTGAGCTTTTCTACTGCTTTGGATCTTTGGATACTGTCTACGCACTTCTTTTTTTTTCGCATTTTTTTGATGACGAACGCATATACAAACTGGAGACTTAACCCCCGGGGATCCTAAATCTACTGGTGAGTTATACTTTTTAGTGCTGTGGCAGCACGGTAGGCTGGCTCGGCAGACCCAGGTCTTTGCCGGCGCCGGTCGTTGCACCTACGGCCCATAAATTTGCCACGGAGCGTGGCGGGAGGCCTTTACCTCCCCAGAGAGAGTTGCACACCAACGTCCGGGTGTCGTAACCCCTCTCGCGGCTCGGCCGGTGTTCGTGCACCGTCGCCCTACGAGTCAATCAACCGGCACCCGCGAGGTTTCGGGTGCTCGCTCTTCGCGTCGGACGCTTTGGTCCGGGGCGCTTTGGCCCGGGTGCGCGGCTAATCCCTCGGCAGTAGCAGGCGTTGTCCCCCCGCTGGGGGACAAGGTCACTTTGAACCTCCAGCCCTTTGGGCCATCCTTTCTCGACGCCTCCTTGGTGCGCCTTCCATCCTTTTCCCGACGACTGGAGGTTCAGAACCGCCAGGTGCGTACGTTTTTTGTACCCGGTACTGCTTTGAGTGCCCCTGAGCCGCTGCTACTGGCGCTCTTTGGCGCTAGGGCCGTCACCTTTTTGGTAACGGTATTCTGTTGAATCCGCCCTTTCTTCTGTAGCTTCTGCTTGGGGGTGATCTTGATCGTCCGCTTGACCAAGGTGTCCTCTTGGACCGCCTTGGGCTGCACGAAGACGCGCGGGGGTGGACCCCCCCCCGAGGGCCACCGCCTGCGCAATCCGTGCAGCGGGATGAATTCCGAAGCCTCCCACGTTTTGTGGTCGGCTGTGTACTCGTCCCACATTTTGCTGGACTGTTCCCAGCCCATGTGGGTGAGGAATTCATCCTCCTTCACGGAGATTTTCCCTTGCTCCCACTCGCGTCGCGTTGCCAATGCGAGTCCTCTCCTGCAGCTGTGCAGCGTGCCGCTAATTCCCTTCGCCAAGCTACTTATCCTGGCCTTGCCTAATGGGAAATCAGATCTCATAACAGCGCCTTCGCCGTGCATCGGGCAAAAGCGACTTCGTGCACCAGCTGTTTTTGCGTTGGTGTCGCAATTGCAGTGGATTTCTATTATCCTACCGCGTTGTTTGCGGATTTTGTCTTCGGATATGTGGATGCGCCACACGTCTCCTTTTTTGGAGATGTCCGTGTCGTCCACCGCCGCGATGCTGTCGCCCCGCAATCCCGATAGCGCCCAAAGGAGGACCATTTTTTGGTCTTTTGCCTTTAGCGCCTCGAGCTTCGTACCCGGTAGGAAAGGCTTTGCTTTCCTCGGGTTGTGGTCTTGGATTGTTCGTTCAATTGCCTTTTCCACGTCCCCGATGTTTCGGAGAATGGCGGGGCTTTCGACTAGCCGCTGCGGGCCATCCGCGGGTGGCGGTTCTACCAGCCACATGATGATGCTGGATGTGTACTGCGCGACTGAGGTGTATTCATTGAACACTAGGAAGGCGGCGAATCTTTGCACCGCCTCCGGCCTCACGGGTAGCTTTTCACCCTTGGCCGCTAGCCAGTCGAGGAAGAAGGCGACTCGCGACTTTTTGTTTCTAGTCGTGGAGTCGGCTTCTCCCATGGCGCGCAGCTCGTCGTCGTTTAGATCGACAGCTTTGCGCAGTGCGTCCGCCCGCTTCGACATTTATTTAATGTTACTTTTTTATTTATCTCTCGCTGTTGTTCCCTCTAACGTTCTTTTTAGTTTTTATTTAGTTAGTTTGTTCTCTCGTCCTTACTTACTTTTTTGTCTAGGCTGGTTCGTGCGGCTGCTTAGGCGAACCTCCACCATGGATCTTGGCCTCCTGCCGTATCTCATGAAGTGGTCTCCCCAGCCTAGCTTCTTTACTTACTCGTAACTCCTTCCCACTCTGTTTTCCCTCTTTTTAGCTTGACGAGATGTAACACGTCACTCCCTCGAACACTGCGCCGCCGCCGCCGCGTTTTCCCTTTCGGCCACCAGTCGTCACTGGTGGTTTGATTTGTTTCCTCCCTCTCAACTAGAGTGTTTTTTACTCTGTCAAAAAGGACGAATTTATTGTTCCGCCACTAACTTAATAATGGTCCGGTGCCCCTGGTAATTTGACCAGAGGGCTTATGGCGAATGCTTTTGCATTCTGTTTTTCGAGGATTTGTTGTCCTCGAGGCCGGTAGCCTTTTTCTTCCAGCTAGTCGCGTTCTAGCTTGTGCGTGGCTCCTTCCACCACACCGCGAGGGAGCGTTTGCTCCCAACGTGCTCCTTCACGTCTCTCCCCAAGAGGATTTTTCCCTCCATCACTCTCGATTTATCGGCGTCGATCGCGTGAGCGGCTGTTTTTGCGCTCGTTCGATCGCTTCGATTTGTTGCGGCCACGATTGTCTTTTTCGCGACTGTCGTTGCGATGCCGTTGTCCCAGCGGAACCGCGTTTGCGTCGCTTCGCTGGGGTCCTTTCGGTTGGCGGCGTGTTCGGCCGTTTTTGGCCTTCATCGCCTTCATCGGCTGGACTTTCGGTTTTACGAAGTCTTTCGGGTGGCGGATTGCTTCCTTGTCCTTCGCTGCCGCTCGTTTTGCCGCTGTGCCGGTTGGCTGCTGGTTGATGTTTCGCCCTGCCAACCGGGCCGAGAAGAGGACTTCGGCCAGCTCTTTTTGCGAGCGGATCACTTCTGCCCACGTTCTCTTGGCGATAGTGATGTCTGGGGGAGGACGGTTGCGGTCGATGAGGTGGTGGTGTGTGCATTCCAGGTGTTGAGCGTCGTTGCGACAGCCTGACTGCACCGCATGCGCTTTGTGCGCGTGGAACCAGTGGCATACCGCCGGCGGAAGCATGAGTCCCATATTTTTCAGGGACTTCAATGCGGACGGCTCCACTAAGCCGGTTTGAGGGAAGTACACGTAGTATGTGGTGCGTGTTCCTCCCTTCGCGTTTCGGCGCTCGGCTAGCACCACGTCGACACGTTTGTCGAGGCGGCGGTTGTGGACTGGGTCCATGGCCGGGTTGAAATCTGTTTTTTCCAGATCCAAACTCTCCAACCAAGTGTCGCTCGGCATGGTTGTGCCCGTGTCGTCGTCCCCGCCGCTGTCGGCGTCGCTGCCGAACGGGTTTTGCGGGCCTTCGCTCGCCGATCGCTCTCGCGATTCGCTGCGGCGGCGGCTGTGGCTACGAGAGCGCAGTGTGACTGTCACACGTTCGCTTCTCGGCTTGCCTAAGCTCGCCTCGGCGTCTCGCATGGAGAACATTTCATTTTTGATTTCCTCCATGTTCTCCTTGAAGAACGCTTTTTGGACGGGCGGTTTGATTTTTCCCCCGTCTTCCTCGTCCGTGTAGCGCGCCTCGTCGATGAGGTGGAGACCGAAGTGGTTGTACCAGGCCAGCAGGTTGAACATGTATCTGTTCACCAGCCCGGTCTCCCAGCGCTTCATCTTCTGCTGGAGCGCGTCGAGGCTGCGGGAGCCTTCCTTCATGAATCCCAAGAACACCATCATTTTTTTGATGGCGATTTCTGGGAAGTTCTCGTTGAACTCGGTCATGAAGTCGAAGGGCTGCAGGTCGGTGGCGCCGTTGATGGCGCTTTCCACGCGGCGCAGCGTCTCCCAGCACTGGTCCAGGTTGCATCTGTCCCAGTAGTCAGCCGGGACGCTGGCGACGACCTGTTTCCGGACCAGGTTCTGGAACGCGCTGTTTGTGCGCTGCAGGTTGTCTCCGTTAAAGCCTGCGATGGCGCAGTTTGAGACCTTGGGTTGGTTTTTTCCCACCTGGGCTTCGCCCCAGATGCCTGCGGCCGCGTATGCTCCGAAGAGCAGCGCCAGCGCCTTTTGGTTGAGGCGTTGGCCTGCCGTCGTGTTCAGGACGCTGTTTTCGTCCACGTCGAAAACGGAGCGGAGGCCGTGCTTTTCCACGTGTTTTAATAACGCGGTGAGCACGTGGTTCGCCTGCTTAGAGGCTTTTTCTCCGTTCGTGAAGAAGCAGTTTTTATACTGCTCCTGTGCGTCTGCGACTTCCTCGCCCGGAGTTAAGACGGAAGGCCAGACGACTTTCACCTCTGTTTTCTTCTCGACGCCGTTTACGCGTCGGTAGACGAAGAATTTTTCTCCTTCGCTAGCCGGGCGCGTGTCGTCATAGGAGAGGATTTTGTCCTCTCCGCTGCTGTTCAAAGCCGTTGCGATGGCCTTTGCGGTCTTCTTCGCGAACGTTTTGAACAGAGCTGCCGTCTCCGGCGGCTCCTCGGAGGACTCTTCGCTTTTGTCGGCGAAGTCCACGGAGTCCTCCTCCTCTTTCTTTTTGGCTTCGAGCTCCGCCTTGCGCTGCTTCTCCTCTTCTTCGAGGAGCTTTCGGTCCTCCTCCTCGTGCGCCTTGCGGACCGACGTCCACGGCGTCTTGGCCGGCTTCGCGTCCCAGTCGTTGAGCACCTCTTTGTTGGTGCGCTCGATCAGGTAGCGGACTATCACCTCCTTTTTGGCGGTCTGCGCCGGGACTTCCGCCAGGTTCAGCTGCGGGTTTTCCTCCCGAAACTTTCGTTTTTCGGCGAGCTTCGCGCCGGCTTCAAAAGTCTCTTTTTTAATCAGAGACTTCGAGGCCCAGGGTTCGGCCGTTAGTTCCTCGTGGTATGCGCCCAACCACAAGTGGAACCACATCAAGGTGGTGCCCTGTTCGGTTAGGGTTCCACCTTCCCCCACGAAGCGCGGGTCCTCCAGGTCTTTTTTGACCGTGTCGATGAATTCCGTTTCCGGAAGTTCACCGACCATCTGTCGGAGTGCTGCAATCCAGTCCTGGATGTTTGCGCAGAAGATGAGTTTATCCTCATACTGCGTCTTCTCCTCCAGCTGCTTTTGCAGCGCCTCCATGGCCTCCGCCATGGAGGGGTGAAACAGTGATCCGTCGATCAGTTTCAGAAGGGCTTTGCCCTTCTCGTCGACGTCCTCGCTCCCCACAGGATTTTTGCCTGTGTGGATGACGAGGTCTCCGACGCTTTTCAGGGAGGTCATTTTGTTTTTTGTTTTGCTGAAAACCAGAGTGCGGGGGCACTACTAGTCACTAGTTTCTAGATTGCGATTATACGCGCACAGAAAGTCCCTGGATTTTTGGGAAAAAGAAAAGTTTTTAGACCTGCCCAAGCTAGCTTTCAGCTTGAGGTTACGAAAATGTGCTGCCACAAGCGCCAAACCCTCGCGGCGATTTTTGCCCCGCGAGGGGATGGCGCGCCGCGCGCGCGGCGGAACTCGATTTTTACGAGCTCCCCAGCACCCCCCACTGGGCGCCACGCGCCTGCCCACCGCACCGCCGGAGGGCGCGTTGGCCCTCCCGCGGCCTACGCACGAGCGCTTTGGCCCGTGCGCCGGCAGCCCGCTCCGCTCCGCTCCGCTCTGCTCCGCTCTGCATGTGAACTCCGCCCCGTGGGTGTAGCATTAACGCTCTCACCCGACCGCACCCGAGCCTCCGTGGAGGCGCGAACCGTGGTTCGCCTTCGCCGAGATGCGCCATTGCATCGACCGGCGGCGTCGCGCGTGAGTGCATTTTTCGCACCGCACACGACGGGGTTCGCGGGGCCCGTTGCCCCCAACCCTCTCCCTAGTTGGTCCCTCAGCCGACATTTTTTGTCGACTGTCGTCCAGGAACCTTCCAGAGAGCGTATCTTTTCTCTCACCTAAGTTAACTCACCAGTTAGTATAATCACTTCCCCCGCAAGCTCCTCCAGTGCATATATAAGAAAGTGATTGTTGTCGTATAAGAAAGTGATTGTTGTTGTAAACGTATGGATAATTTGATGATTACGTAATGTACTTAACTAAAAAAGAATGTTCTTGAAGAGACGCAGCAGGAACACTTAAAGCCTCTTAATTTTTTCGACGTGCTCTCAAGAACACCTACACCAATGCACAACCACAAATACAGAATGACATGCAATATCGGATAATGTATGAACATCTAAATAATAGACTCCGATGTGTTGTTGCAATGTTATCTAAGTAAGTAATAGGTTGTACAACAAGAACTTCTAATAGCAGAATCAGATTGCTAGGTCTAGTAGTCGATCATTGCAGAAGAACTGTATAACTGTAGAAGCTCGCGAGCGCGACACGTCCGAGACGATAGCGTCGCGCGGGAGCATAATAATGCTAAGTAACAATGATTTTGATAATAGCATCAGCGCCGGCCAGAGGGTAAATTGTAGATACATAGAACTACTAATTCTAATATATTATAAAATTTATTGGGTCGGTGCCAGTCTGTCCCTTTTTTCTTCGGATGTGTTCGTGGCCAGTGCCTCTCTTTTGGGACTGAGAGCGAGCTCCCGCTTGCTTTGGAGAGCGGCCCACTCAGCTGAGGAAGCAAGTAGAGAAGAGTATGTGGCGGATGCCTTGCGTGTTTGATCAAGTGGCTGGGAGGAGTTCCCGAGCTGAGGGCGGCCACTCACTCTCGTCGTTGGTGCGCATTAAGAAGAAAACCAGGGAGCGGAGGCATGTCGTTGAATGTCGTATGCTCCTGCTAAGGTATCCCAGAGTCTCACAAAGCTGCGCCCGAAGGGCGCCGCGCAAAAAATTGCGGCGAGCAACTCGAGCAACCCGAGAAACTCGACCCGTGACGGGCCAAAAAATTCCTGACTCTATTATATATATTAATACGTGGCTCTCTTCCTTGTTGTAAAAAAATCCATTTACAACGAATACGAAAGTACTGCCAGTCTTTTTAGCAATTTGCAACGAATACGAAAGTACTGCCTCCTACTAGCTGTCGCTTCTACTTTCATTACAAGAACTAGTGTCCTCTGTTCAGCGCAAACGCAAAGACGATCTCCTGAATCCTTAATATTGCTTCTGCATTCGTATCCACGAACTAAAGATATGACAAGCTAATCGAATATCTAGGACGATTACACCTGCAACATTCATCACCACGGAATTATCGACTAGCCACCTTCTAGGTCGTTATTGACAACTCAAACTAAATTAGTCATTATTGACAGCTCTAGTCTGCTAGTTTTCCTGGTAGGCTCACACCGAACCTAATTAGTTCGGGTACTTCTAAGGTCCTCAGCACCACGCAGATTTGTTGATCATCTTATATCTTTTTTTTTTCTTCTAACGCGGGCGGCTTCCATTACGAATACAAGGAACATCTTCAGTTAGTTTTCGAACATCTATACAACAAGGAACGACAACTTCAATTTCTACCAATTGTCTCGATCGCTAGATGAATGATCTTCTGAAGTCGGTGAATATATTTTAATGTTTTTAAAAGCAATTTGCTATTTCCAACCACGGACGCGCGTCGACAACAATCTTCACCATCGTCTTTAAGTACTTAAGTGACAGTAAAAATTGAATCTTCGTTGATTTTGAGATGAACAAGATCATGTCGTCCTCGTCAAATCTTCAGGGTATGCCGCGAGCTGGAGCATCAGCATCTTCCGCTCGTGGGCTTTCATCTCTGATGTCTCTGTATTGGTTCTCTGGTCTCGTGGGCTTGTTCCTTTTGGATAAAGGATCATATGCAGCGAGCAGTCCACGACCTACTCTCACTTCGGATGGACGCCACGAGGAAGATGATCATGCCGTTGCTGAAGCAGCTGGTGGAGGTACAACCGGAGGTAGTATCGATTTCGATTCATTTCCGTCCTCTGAGGGGATGCTCTTGGATGGATCTTCTAAGATGCTGACCAAGACGAGGAGCGTGACCTCGAGCAGCGCACTTTCGAGAACGGGCACTGGCGCGAGCTCTTCCTCCGGCAGCTTGCATTCAGCACTCTCCCGCTTTGGAAGTGCCACCTCGACAGCCGCCTTTTCGTCTTTGAGCGGTGGCGACGGAACTGCTCCAGGTAGTGTTGACAGTACCCCTCATTAAGGCTCAGCTTTCAATGGTCATTGGGGTTGGTCACTGAGATCGAAGAGGCGACCCCTTGAGAGAACAGGGGAAAACGAAGGGAAAGGGGAGAGCTTTGAAGGGGGGCCCCTTCCGTTCAGAGTCAGTGACCATTGAAGGCTGAGCTTTAATCTCACCTTCGTGCGGTTGAGACTGCAGAAGCGATCCCGCCGGACTTCGTCATGGACGACATAGTGCCTCCCTTTCTTGTCCCGGAGGGGGACGATGGTCCGAAAGATGTGTGGCGTGCGCTTCTCGGCGAGCCGTTACTGGGAGCACTAGCCAAGAGCAAGAACAGAAGAGAACATGATCAAGATGAAGATGGTCCTCGTGCTACTGATAGGAGAGGCTCAACATCATCATCTTCATCTGCTGGTTTATCGCCTGGCTCCTCTGGTCCTCTTCGCAGACGAGGCTTTCTTGCGAACACTTCACCGGATAACACCCCACCGACGCGGAGTGAGACACCTCTTTCCGACATTGAGGGCAGCTCTGTTTCCGACGGAGACGGCAGCAGCGGAGCAGCAGTATTCACTGATGAAACCGCAGGAGAGGAAGCACTTGAAGATGGAGCCGCATCAGAAGAGGACGCTGCGGAAGAGGACGCTGCGGAAGCTGCACTACTTGTGGAGGAGGACGCTACGGGAGCTGAGGCTGCAGGCGAGGAAGCTTTGCGGCATTTGCAATGTGCCGATGACGGTGCTGGTGTGATGGACTGCCCTATTTGTTTGTGTCCACTGGTGAACAAAAAGCGTAAAAGGGACGAACTCAAGGAACGAAGAGAGTTGCTGAGGAAAGAGAAACTGAAGGCTGCTCTTGAAAAAGGTAGTACAGCTACTAATTATAGCTGCTACGCACAAGTAGAAGAAGAAACTACTCAAGCACAAGCAGCTCTTCGTCTTCCAGGTACTACTCAAACTCAAACTCGAGCTCAATCTCTACTGCGTGAAGAACATCGACTCGAAGAAGATGCTAGTAGCCAATATGGGGAATATGGCAGTCTCGTGACCTCGGTTGAAGATCCTTTTGCCATGCTCGTTTCAGCGGTCTGCAAGGATTTTTGGGCTGCTTTCAAAGCCGCAAAAAACGATTTAGAGCGTAAGGAGATGGAAGAGCGTGCGCGCGAGGTGGTGGCGGAGCAAGCAGCTACTTTGATGATGCAGCAGCACCATAATAGCGGAGGTAGTCAGCTTCCTCCAAATATTCCACCAGGGTACACACTCGGCGGTATGCTTCGTTGTCCAGTGTTTCTGCAGATGCCAGGAGAAGGCAACAATCAAAGCGGCAGCCCTGTCTTGACTGTACAGAACCCCTCGCAAACATCGCCGTTGCTCATGCCTGCAAATCTAGCATCCCTGATCGCACAACAGATTCCGCATCTCATGAATCCCGGCCACCCGCATCAACTCACTAACTACACTAACAATAATGTTGGTGCTGCATCTACTTCTGGTTCTGCGTCGTCGAGTAATGCTCCACTACCCGCAGCTGCTTCACAGCACCACGTAGTACCTCCAGGTGTCTTCTATAATTCCACTACCGCGCCGGCCCCGCCGTCTGCAGGCGGATTTTCAATCCTGCCACCCGGAGGAGTCGCCGCCACCTCTGGAGAAGGATTTTCTTTGCCTCCCGGTCCCACTTTTGGCTCAGTTCTGCCCTGGCCAAAAGGAGACGCCGCGGTGGTGCAACACGTGGAGGAAGTTTTACGTGAGCGTTCTTTCGAGCAACTTTTTTCCGGTACCGGAAGCGTTGACCCGTTTCATCAAGGAGAGGGAGGACAACTACTACACGACAATCTTCATGCTCGTGTTGATCCGAGCATGAACGTGCTGCATCCAGGGCATCCGAATCGCAGGGCAGAGATGGCTGCGATGTCTCAAAGTAGAAGTGCTTCCACTACAAATTACCAACATATTTAAGGCGACCAAGAGAGCATCCTCAACATCATCCTTGGCCTCTTTTTCAAGTAGAAAAAGGGCCCAGGGATGGGCTCAGGGATGTGACGCGGTAGCTCTAACACTTGGTGAAAGTGGTGACTTGTGTAGACGTGAAAATCTCGAAGAACAATGCCGCAATGCGGGCTCCTCATCCAGGAAGAGGGATGGGCCCAGGTTCAGGCTCCTTTGTTTGTGACCCGTTGATGGACAGCGTTGAGTCGGGACTGCGAGCCTTCCGACCGCAGATGCGTGACCAGGTGGAGCGGGCGACCGAACGCTTCCTCTCTTCTCTGCAACTCAGTGGCCGCCATCGGGATTTGGAGACATTCGAAACCCGCGGCTGGCTTATGATGCGCGGCGTCCGAGTTGAGGTCTCAGTCCCACCTTCTGTTGCTTGGAGCGTAGAGCAAGCGAGACACCTACAAACACAGGAGCGACAAGCCGCAGCAGCAGCAGCAGCAACTGCTGGCGTCCAAGACGAGGCACAAGGAGAGGACATGACGAACTACATGGCAACATTATTGTTTCCGGAAGGAGGTGGCATCCACACGCACCTGAGCGCTGAGGTGCTTGCCAACTTCCGTAGTGGCATCCGGGGACTACTGGAAACTCTGGATAGGGTGCAAGATTCACAAAACGGCCTTGCCCGCTTAGCTTTCGGGCGACAAGTGACCACAGAGGAGGTGTATGAGATTCTGGAGTTTGCCTTTGATAAAGCTACCAGGTTGAGCACGGACATTGCCACCTTGCTGCAAGAAGTACTGGCATCCGTGGGCCTCTCGACGGCCTTTCTTCGCCGTCAACAACTGCCGGATGCTCTACTTTTAAGGCTATGTAGTTGTTTGAGTAGTTAACCTATAACATTTACAGCAGATCAACATTCAGCAGATGATGCTTTTAAGTAGAAGTACAAGAACATGAACATGATATCTAAATATGTCCATGCCCATGTCCTGGATTTTGTTGTTCAAAAAAAGAGAGGATTTTGTTGATAAGGATGCTGCACTTACTTTCATTGTTGTAACGATCGGACGGCTCATCTCCTGACGCTTATTTAGTTCGAGTTCAACATCAGTTCCTCACGCTCTAATGCTTAGCCCACGTTCAACATCAGCGTGGCAGACGCTGGCTGAGACGCAGCTCTCCGACGAGGTGAGGGGGGTGATCGCGCTACTAGTGGAGCTCGAATGCACTCGACTCACGGAACTGCGAAGCTCTTTGGACGTCTTTCGCATACAATTTGAGAGGTGGCTTGCACAAGGGCGTCTCCGTCCAACGCCTCACTGGTTCATGATATTACGGCTTCCTTTGCTATCCTTATCTGTGCGTCTGTGAAATGTTTGCTTTCTCTGCGCCCACCTAAGCTGGTGCGTCGCACACACTTGACGTGCCGGGTAGCGTCCTGGAAAAAATGTGGGCGGTCGTACTTCATTTAGTAGACCATCCACCAGAGCCGTAGCGTGTGGTAGAGGAGGTTAATGTACTCCCGCCGTCGCCGGGTCGCTCCCTGGAAAATATGCAGCTCTGCTCTTTCAGCATACGCTCGCCATACAAAAAAAATAACCCCAATTTGTGACTGTAATTGTAATCCATCTGCAGAAGCATCCACTTAGGACTCTCTAACTCTAATGATGCTCGAGCAACAGCGCGTGTCCTTTGCAAGGGAGGAAGCGAGCCGTGGAGGGCTTCCTACTGGCGCGTCCCCTCTATTCGCAGCTGCCAAGGCTTTGATCCACCACAATGGGGAAGAACACGAGAATGTTAGAGATCATCCTAGTACTCGTGGAGCAGATCATCAAAGTGGTGCTTCATCTACATCTACTTCAGGAGTAGATCAAGTTGATGGAGCAGTTCGGGGAGGACTTCAGGCTGTTGTTAAGGCTACAAGAAATCTCCCACTTTCAGAGGCATCTTGGTCCCGTTTTGAAAGGGAAAACGAGACCCAAGATGCTTCTGAAAATGGGAGATTTCTCTTAGTTCTAATGTTGTAGAGGATCATGGAGGTATTGTTGGCCGACTGGCGAATCGCGCGGGACTCGATCCCGCCTTTGGGGAGAAATTTGTAGGTGCAATTCCCATCCTGGGTCCTTCTTTGGATGCCTCGGATCCGGAGAAAGCCATGCTGGAAAAAGTGGGATTCTTACCTCCACCTCCACCTCCAGCACCACTTGCAACAGCAAGAACTTCTACTTGTTCTAGCACAATTAATACTCCTGCGGGTCGTCTTGTTTCCCTTTCCTCAGAGTCTTGTTTCCCCAGCACAAGAATTGGAGGAGGTCTGGTTTGTTCCTCCTCTGCTGCAGGTAGACACCGTAATATTCTACGAGCCCAGCGGGTCCATCGGGCGAGCACAGTCACCTGCGCCCATTGCGATCATAAGACGAGCGTCCATGCAGCATGCTGGGAGCGGATGCGTCTCACAGAGGGCGGCGGCGACGCCCAAACGCGTCCAGTACGGAACCCACTCTATGCCACCTCGTTTTCGGGAGACTCCTTAACCAAAGCGCATTGTCCAATTTGTCGCACTCCAGGAGGGTTATCAGGTACTACTCATATATTTATAGGTACTTTTTTGATGTAGTTCCCATGGTTATGATTCTCTCGTCCCTCTGCTGGTACCAACTAAGCTACTATACGTCAGTTTTTGTCTCCACTTCATGAGTCTATTACTAATTATCAATATGTTTCTTGTTTGATATCCACCTCTGAGGTTACTCGCAAAGGAGCTGGAACGCTCTAGTTCGGGTTTTGTTTCAGAAGCTGCGGCTAGCAATGCCGGATGACATGAGGGAGACCGTGGGATTTCTTCCCTCCACGTGGTTACCAAAGAACACAGCGGCAGGTCCGATCCGTCTGACGCGCAGCAAAGTGGAGCGGCTGCGACTAGCGCTGCTCGCTTCGCCCGCCTGTGCGCCGCACATCGAACAGGCCGCCGCTAAGGCCCCGGCGGCTGGCCATGTTTGGGAAACACAAGAAGCCCATGACGAGTACGTAAAATTAAGGCTCCTTCGAGTACGTTAAATTCATTGTGAAGAATGAAAGGCATGATGATCTTTTTCTTTACCACGTGGTTTTCAAGGGGGAAGAAGGTCGTCAAATAAGATGCACCCCTTCAGAGTGAATACTTCTTGGTACTACTAGGTCTTCCTCTTCTAATAAAATCCGAGGTCCTTCCTAGTAAAGCGAAGGCAGCGACCGCAAGAAAAGCGATCTGGATGGCTCGGCCAGGCCTGCGAAGAGAGCAACCACCTACCGATCAGGAGCAACTACGTCTTCCTCACAGTGATCCGTGGTCTCCGCGGTTGCCTCCGCAGCCGCCCTTGGCGGCTGAAAACGAAGAAGGAGCTGCGGAAGAAGCAGCTTACAACGAAGGTGTGAGAGGAATAGACCAAGTGACCTTTGTTCAAGAAAGTACTGCAGCAGCCTACGAGGGAGGTGGACGAGGAGTTGACGGCGCCCAGGATGGACGAGTATACAGTGGCGACGAAGTAGACGAGGAAGAGGAAGTAGACAGCAGAATATCTTCTTCAGAATCTGACTCGTCCCCGGAAGAGGAACAAGAAGGCCCTCTTAGTGACGAGGTAGACTGGGAGGAGGAAGACCCGGATTTTGCGAGGATTTTAGCGCATTATCGCCGCGACATAGCACAGGACCAAGCAGCACAACGAGAAGGACAAGAGGAGACTGAATTTTCACAAGTAGACGTGGACGCGGACGGCGTTTTTTTTACTCCTCACTTTGATGAAGAAACTGGTATTGCGTATTACACCAATGATTAAGGCTCAGCTATATATGTCAACATTTCTACCTCCAGTCATAATTTCTCCCCTTATTTCCTTCTTAGGATTGGGAGAAACGTAGGGAAGAAATGAATTGTTTTGAGCTCTAAGATGAGGAGGCTGAGAGGATTGAAGCATGGGCTCGGCAAAATGGTGGCTATGATTATCCTCCCTCTCTTGGGGATGGAGCTGGAGTTGATAGTGCTGGCGAAGATGGTGCTGACGAGGATAGTGCTGACCAGGAGGACGGAGGAGGTGTTGACGAAGATAGTGAGGAAGACGAAGATAGTCAGCGGAGTGAGGAAGACGAAGATAGTCAGCGGTGGTCGAGTGGCAGAGCGCGTTGGTCGAGTGACTTTGCTCCGGGTGGAGACACTGACCGCATCTTAACGTTACTGAATGAGCATGCGAAGCCGAAGACCTCTTGTTATGAACAAACGGACACGCTTGTGGAGGAGGTCAAAATTTAGGGAAGATTAGGGGAAATTATGGCTCCCTAATTTTCCCTAAAATTCGTATGTGGGTTTAAGCGTGTCCGTTTGTTTCTAATCTTGTTTTAATGCAGCTGGTGCGAGTGTTGATAGTTCTAATATGTTGAATCCCCTTGAGCGTTTGGACAACCCGGATTCGGTTACTTATTTCCTCGTTGGTGTCCGCGACGTGGACGAAGGTGAAGCGGCTGGCTCTTTCTTCCTCCCGGCAGTGCCACAAGCTTACCAAGAGGAGTTCGAAAAGTTTGGACTCTACGACCTTCTCGGTGCTGCGGGTTCGCCTCCAACTGCCCGATTCTGGCAATTGGGACAGTGGACCGACAGCACGACTTCCAAGAACACGAGTTCATCGGAAGATGCTGGCGCAGCAGCAAGAGCAACCCAAGAGTGGGTGCCATGGCACGGAAGTACCACCTGCGTGCAGGACATTGCAGCTCACCAATTGAGGGAGCTTTGCTTGCAGGCATCAAAAACAACAGTGCAGCTGAAAGGTGATGAAGAAGATGTTCTTGACCCTAGGTCGGCAGCATCAAAAACAACAGTGCAGCTGGAAGGTGATGAAGAAGATTTTCTTGACCCTAGGTCGGCAGCATCAAAAACAACAGTGCAGCTGAAAGGTGATGAAGAAGATGTTCTTGACCCAGCAGCGCAGCTTCCTCCAGCAGCACGAGTAGATCTGAGTGCTGGTAGCAGTAGGTCTAGCGGTTCCGCAGCGCCATTTCTGAGAAGTGGTAGAAGCCCAAGTTCTTGTAGCAGTGGTCCAGCAAGTGCAAATGATGAAGCGTCGTCCTCGGTCGTGCGGCTCCACCTCGCGTCTATGTCACGCACACTGGAAGATACTTTGCCGCCCTCACCGGCTGCCGAGGAGACTGGGCATGACAGAGTATTCCAACCCCAACCAGAAAAAGCCGGACTTTCAATGGACAGACTGCTCTCATCCTTTTTGGGTCTTTGCTGTGGTGCCTTGGGCTGAGAAGATGAAGACCGCTGAAGTAGTTGTCGATTATGCTATGAAGACCGCTTAAGTAGTTGTCGATTATGCTATTTGACTTAATATGCATTTTTTTTTTACAGTGAGACTATGAAAATGAAAATGAGAATTGCGTATACAACTAACCTGAATTTAGAAGGATTAGTCGTATAAGTACTCAATCGGAATTTGTCCGGGAGGTCGGAATAGACCACACTTCCACTTGTTGCAACTTCACTGCCTTTTTGGATATGGGTTGGCAAGAACTCACTGTTTAGAATGAATAGAGCAAGTTACTTAGAAGGTATTGGTATTTTTTGAAAGTTATGGAGATGCATCTTCAAACTACACATCATAAAAATTGGAGTTACATCTTCAATCTACGCATCAGAAAGTTATGGAGTTACTTACACATCATAAAAATTGTGTTTATCCTCGTGATCATGTGGGAGGTGTTCGTTAGGTCGTATATATAATCATACTCAACATTCATTGCGATTACAAAAATTGTTACATGTTTATAAGAAGTTTTCGCGGCCGCAAGGACCAGCACACTGAAAATATATTACGACTGGAGGCTAACTCCAAACATGATCGTCCAAGTGCGTTCGTCAGAGTTGTAGGCGAATATGTTCCACTGGCAGAAGAGAGGACGATCTTCATCAACATGCTTTTTGCTATAGCTATAGTTTTCCGAGATCCGCTAGAGGTTTCCGAGAACCTCTTCTGACCCTCTTCTGATCCGACATCTGTCAACGATCTACGTAACTGAATGGCCTCATACAAAGGCATGACATGACATGCTTTATAAGAGGCACCAAGAGGACATGACACGACATCATGAATCACGAATAACCCAACCATACTCATCATGTCTTGCTAATTGAAAGCTTCTTGTTTGTGAATGTGGCTGCTTTGTGGTTCTCTGGTCCCACCAAGAAATGCCCATGGAGTTCAAGAAGTGTCTCCGACTCCAGATCCTCCGTCCAAATCCAAAAAAGTCGGAGCTTGGATCTCTGGACTAAAAACATAAAGGTCCCGTGGATTTAGTTCCCGCGACGCTCAACGCACCAAGTAAAGCAGCCGGTTAGTTTTCACTTCTAAAAGTCTTAAGGTTTTTTATACCGTGCAGCAATTTTACATGTTTAAGTTTACCGCAACATTATACATTGCTACTACGTGCAGGACAAAATCGGAGAAAATTTTGTCGACGTCGTCGACTTGACGCAAAAGCCACTTAGCCTTCTGATACATTGCATAATCGAGTTTGAAAGCTACTACGCTATTGCAAGTCACTTTTGATGCACCATAAAACTGTACTTTTATTTGACACTGTTTCTATTGTGGGGCTGCTCTTGATAGGATTAGGATAATCATAGCCAGACCCATACGGATCATACGTGTTAATAATATAAATATACTAGATCTACTCACACTGAAGATTCTTTTACTTTTAGTACTTGCATGAATACCCGTTGTTCTTGTTTACACACGACCAACTCTGGCACTAGAAGCAATGGTATACAAATCAATGAAAGAAATCAAGGCATCACATCTAAAAAAAGAGGCATGAAAACTTGAAACCCGTGAAAAATTCTTAGTTTTTTTGAGATCTGTGCAAAAAGAGTATCTGATTCGCTTGATATACACGTTTTTATTTGCAACGAAGATCGTTATGGATTATATTTGGAAATGAAATCTTCTTCTTCTTCTTTGACCAACATCAAGATGTGCATGTTCGTGAAAGAACGTCTTGGTTCAGTTTCGCTGAGCGCTGCGACGAGAACATCACGGTTTTCGATGGCGTTCGGACTCTTCTCTCTACTATGGCATTCTGCTCTACTCTCTTGTGTGGAAGCAGCGGGACTTGCGTCTGTGACGACGAGCAGCGCTTCTACTTGTGGACATGGACGAGGAACCTCTTCCGCCTCGCCACATGCCTCGGAAGCCTCGCCACAGAGATCGACAGCAGTATTAAGGCTTCCCCTAATCCATCTCGTCCGGAAGCATCTTTGAGACGTTTCCAAGGGGAATACGAACCCAGGACGCTCCTCAGGATGGATAAGGGTGAGCTGCTCTAAAAGTAGCTGGGACATCAAGCTCGAAAACGGGAACGAAAAATGTGGGATCCGACGAGCGCCAGCAGTCCACGACCGAGATGAATGAACGATTTTTGTGTCCGATCTGTCTTGAAGAGGCCCAAGAACGGATGAAGAAGGAAGATGAGGAGGGCCAATTATTGGAGAATCAGCGAGGGACAGGGTCTCTAGTTGTTCCAATGGCTTGCCCCTTTAGTAAGCTTATGAGCCCTGCGATGCACCGTATGGCCACACAAGCACTGAACGCAATGGAACCGGCTCAGCTACAGCCTTTTTTACTGCGCGGAGGTCAACCTCAACCTCCTCAACAACGACGTCGGCAAGTGCAGGCAGCTGTACAACAGCTACAACATGGTCAAGCTCAAGCACGACACGGACGAGCTGTACAAGATTAAGGCTTCTATAACAGAGTAGTTTATAGCACGGATGGCGCATGGCGTAGCATGGAGTGCATGGAGCGCAGATCAAAAAGGGACGCAAGAAGCGCCCCCTCTAGCTCCATGCGATCCATGCACTCCATGCCATGCGAGCCGCGAGACCTTTCATATAAATCATTCTGCTATAGTAAGTCAATGGCATCGTCTTCGTCTCAGTTTTTCCATTTAGAGATTGTAGTTACAAATATATCTGCTAACAAGTTGGGCAGCAGCAACAGCAAGACCACCTACAAATGTTGGAGGTGGTTGTTCCAGTGCCTCTCCTCAACCAGATGTTGGCGGATTTTCGTCCACCCCTTCCTCCGGCTACTGTGGAGCGCTATCTCCGGATTTTGACTGGACATTAAGAACGAAAAAAAATCATACATATGGTTAATATTACTTATACATTTAGAATTGTCAAGATGTACTGCCTGAAACAGTCAACTTGTTGCACCTTTTGTAAAAAGATAGTACATTTCTAAAAATTAGATACAAGAACGAAAAAAGAGATACATGGCATGGATCCATTTTTAGAATGGATACTCAATTTGAAAGGTTGTGTTTCTAAATCCTTTCTAGAAGAAAATTACATTTCCCAGTTGTACTACCTCTAAGGACAAGAGGCGCTGCAAGGTGGACAAAGTGAAGAGCAACAGGCTGATCTCGAAAATATTGCACGACTTCAACAGCAAATCTATATGCAGCGCGCGTCGGCCGCAATCCTTCCAACCGGAGCTATGGGGCAGCGAGGAGATGGAGGTGTTCAGCAAGGAGCGACAGCACAAGGACTACAGCAGGAGCAGATGAATGACGCCGGAGGACAAGGACAACAAGGGCAAGGAGGACATCTGATTCATGCAGCTGAACCAGGTGAAGAAATCGGGAAAAAACTTCGACTGCCTGTAAGTGTTACCATTGTGAAAGGCGACACGCGACAGGTGGTCGATGATTTTACGCGACGGCCGCTACCTGGAGAACCACAACAACAACAGGTCACACAACAAGAGCCACCTCAACAACCTGCCGATTTTCATGGAGGAGACCATATACTTGAAGCAGGACAGGAACAAGTACAACTAGAACAAGATGGACAAACTCATGCACAAGAACATGTGAACAACATTAATATAGACGAGGAGCACATGCCACCAACAGGAGTCGTGCCACCAATAAACGGAGGAGGAGGACGGGAACAAGTCCCAGTACTTAGACGACATCAGTTCTATGATGTGATCATAGAGGGGAAGATTTTTTCTGCGATCTACAATGCTCCACGTGCGCAGTTCCGTTTGCCGCCACAGGAACTGGTGGAATCTGTGCGAACACAATTGACGACGCTAAGCTTAAGGCTTATACTACATATAGATTGATACTCTTAATTATTCATCTTGTTGGGACGAGGCATCTTTGCCGTGCTTTCAAGGGGAAAAATAGGTCAAAGATGTCACTATCTAGATGGGAATATCGGCAATGTCTAATAAATCGCCGCTTTCTGGCGACCTTGACGCTGGCTGGACGCCATGCAGAAATCGAAAGCGCACTACTTGCTAATGTTACGGGCGGTTGCTGAAATATTTTATCTAATTTTAGTATTGTTGGAAGTTGTAACCGCAATGTCGGAGACAAATATACTTTCTTCACTTCTCCCTTTACCTAGTACATGGACAAGAGCATCAAGTTCAACACGGGATAGGAGTTGCATTGAATGATGACCAGCACAGCAGCACTTTTATTGACATGTAATGAATTGTAGTTTCAAGAACATGCTTTAAGAAAGGAGGTGAAATTCGGCTGGATGGCCTTCCGGTAGAGCTGGAGCTGCGACCCGGAGCAGTTTTTAGAAACGCGGCTTCTGCTGCTGTCCAAGATGGAGGAGAAGATGTGCATGAAGGTTCTGACGTGGGTGGGAGTGACGATCTTGGAGATGCAGAAAATCTTCTTGGAGGTACACGTACACCTGTTGGGGCGGACGAGGTGCTGGAGCTTGTCAATCCAGCACAGCTAAATACTGGTCCTTCCTTGTTTCCGACAACTTCTTTATCACCCGTGGCTGAGTTTGCTGTGCTGTCCCCGGAGGAGCGTTCGCAGGAACTGCGCACCGTAATGCAAGATCTGAAGGACGATGTCAGGGACATCACTGATTAAGGCTACCGCAGTAGGTGCATCCTCGTGAAAAATATCGATCCCTGACTACTTATTTTCCTGAGTGAAAATAAGGCCAGGGATGTTGACCCAAGGGAAGATGCGAAGCCGGTTACCGCTCTAAAATGAAAAGTTTGAAACGATCATGATGGAGGTCCTCACCTCAGGCAGTGACAGCACCGACGTAGCCGAGATTGCGTCTCGTCTCCGGAGGCTGCAAACCCGGTTGACACTGATTAAGCAGGTGACAACCACTCTACAAGATGAGCAGTATCTCAACCGGGCTTACTGGCCTACACCAGATTTCTTGCTGGATGAGGATTATGAGGAGCACGCGAAGGAAGTGCAAGAGATCAAGTGGACACTGGTGAACCCGCTTCAGGATGAAATCCAAGCACGGCTCGCCAATTTGATTCCTCGGCAAGAAGATATGAAAGAAAAAAGTGCACTCACTGACACTCAAAAAAAGTGGCTATAATTTTCCTACTTAATAAATCCTCTGCAATTCCTTGAGTGTGAGTGCACTTTTTCGCTTCATAGAAGAACAGGCAGTCCTCGAGGAAGAAGCTACTTTTGCAGGAGATGAATTCGAAGAAGAACCTCCTAATGATCATCTTAAGGCATAGCCAAGCGAGCATCCTCAGCTTCAGGATCCCTCAATCCTCAGCTTGAGGGTTCAGGGATCCTCTCAGGGATGCACGTCGGTAGCTCTAATGATCCAAATGGTGAAGAAGATTCCAATGCTTCTCGTCCAACAGGAAACGGTTCGTCGCCTTCATCACCTAGAGTTAAGGCTTCCCTAAGATCAGATAAAAGTTAATTATCCTCTCTACATTCTAACTCCTTCGAAATACTGGTCCTGAAAAGTCCTAGGTTCATCTTATTGATGTTCCAACATCGTCATTAGATACAAGGACTGCTCCATCGATCTTCATATGATAGAAGTGGACTCCATGATGATGATGGAGATGGAGTCCACTTCTCTCATCAGATAGAAGAGCTGTGGTCTCCTTCCATTATTGCTTAGGCGAAATTATAGGAGGAAAAGGAGTACCGGTCGAATGAATCCCCTTCGCAAGAACAAGATCCCATCATCAAACTTGATCCAAACTAGTGAACAGTTCCAGAGTTCTTAGATTCTGATGACCCTTGTTCTTTCATCTTAGATTCTAGATGTCTGTAGAAAATGTGGATGACCCTTGTTCCCTAGAGGATGGTATGCTAGATCCCTAGAGGATTCGAGCTCTAATAATGGAAGTGACGACGAGGTGGACGACGAGGACGACGTTCGCCAGGGTGAAGTAGACGTTTACGAGATGTCACCCGACGAACGCGGAAGACTCGCGGAGCACCTACGCACTGAAATGGAACATCTCAACGACGATGTAAGCAATATTCGTGAAGACTTCGAGGAGATGGAGGAGGAGGACGGTACCGACACCGAGGAGACGATGGCGGCTCTCCAAGACCTGCGACAAAAGCTGCTCGACGTTATTAACGCCACAGAATTTTTCGACGAGAAGTACCTCAGCAACGAGGATGAGTGGCCTGGGGACGAATGGAAGGGCGAGTACCAGTCGCTTGTCCAAGAACTGGATTTAAGGCCAACAGTCTAGCATACCCTTTATAAGATAGCATACCCTTGCTTTATATATAAGTATATAGTTAGCCTTAATAAGATAGCATACCCTTTATTTTCTTGTTCCCTTCTCCTTGTATAATTACCAGTAAAAGTATTTTTTTCATCACGGGAAATTGTAATTAAAATATTTGTGAGTAGTGTGCAGAGGAGTGTGCCCTCTTTTTTCTTGTTCCCTTGTACTTACTTAAATATATGATCCAGGGCTTGGGGCTGCCGGTACCCCCCTAAGTCATATATAAGTATAATTTTTTCATGTTTAATAATTGATAAGAATATGATAGGAGTCCCTCCTCGTCGAGGAGATGAGGGGACCGAACACATGAAGCTGCTGCTCTAATGGAGTGGATCCGAACACATGCAGTGGGGCCACTTATGGAGCAGATCCTTGTACGAATTGCGAATCCCATGCCTTCCCTGGAGGCAATCCGTCGTAATCAGTATTAAGGGTAGGTTAAAGGTGCTTTTCTTACCGCTTTTTATGCCTCTCTCCCTTAGGATGAGAAAGGCATAAAAAGCGGGGTAAGCGAGCACCAAAAGCCTACCTCTAACAGTACGTGGAGGACGTGTGGCACCACGTAGAAGGCGACCCAGAGTCGGGACTGGTTACCAGTATCGTTCCCGATCCACTGATTCCATCTTCAAGGGGATACGGGGAAGAGGCCTCGTCGCGTGAGGTAAGGCAGATCCTAGAGAGTATTCTACCACGCTGTGCCGCAGACCCAACGTTTGCTGGTACGAACGAAGCTCTGATCCGCTTCTACGAAGAGTCAGGGTCCTTGGCTGAAAACCAAGTGCAACACTTCGCAGGCAAAGGCTTTCTAGCCGCTAGTAGTGCACCGCGAGTAAATGCTACTTCTGATAAATCAAAAATACTACCGGAAGATGCACCTTCTATGTTGCATGTGGAAGAGATGAAGTTGAAGGCTCGTCGTCGCAACGTGGTTGTCTGCAAATATTGTGGCAAAACGCAAGGTCTCCACGCACAATGCTGGGAACAATATCGCTTAGCATCGGCGTCTGGCTTGGGGACATCATCAGACAGGACTACACTGCTAGACGGAGGACCAGAGCAGAAAAACAGAAATCCGCTACATGGCTCTTTCAGTGGCGATGCGCATACCGTTGCCCGATGTCACGCTTGCCGAAAGCCGGATGGCCTTTCTGGTATTTACTGTCTAATGTGGCGCTTGGTACTTGTTTTCTGATTGTTTCACAACATTTTCGTTTTGGCCCAAGGAAAAATGAGGTTTTCGTTTTCTGATTTCGACGGACAACTACATTCTCTCTTATATGTTTTCTGATTTCTTTCAACTCAAATGAAGGTGACCGTGAGCGCTATTGGAACGCCTTAACGCGAGCCTTGTATTGGATCCTAGAGCGCAAGATGCCAGATCTTTTCAGTCCTCCGCTTTCTTCACTCCTGTCAGGAGAACCTGGCGCAGATCCCGAGAGTACCACCACTGGTAATCCGTCAGATCCAAAAGCTGGTGCAGCTGAGGGGAATATCAGGAAAAAGCGTATGGTTCCACCAAAAAAACGAGTGATTTTTCTGCCTGATCATGCAGGTTGGCTCCCCAAACACGTAATTCTGGGTCCGCTCACACCAAGTCCGCAAAAACTGGAGGAGATACGCCAATCAATCTTGCTCTCGCCTACCTGTGCTCCTCACTTTTTCAATGCGGAGGAGCGGCCGCAGGAGCCTCCTGCAGACGCAGAAGGTCAAGGTATTGAGGAACAACAACAACAAAAGGATCACGTGCATGATGAATATGTGCGGACAGCGGTTTTACCCACCGCGGAGCAGGACAAAGCCGCACGTAGCGCCTGCTGGTTGGTTCGACATCCAATTATAGGAGTTCCTGCTTCCCGAAATGCAAGCCAAGAAAACCTAACTACAACCGAAAGTAGCACCAGTGGAGGGTGTCTTACAACGTCTTCTACTTGTTACCCGAGTACGAGTACACTTGAAGGACAAGAAGGTAGAGACAGTGACGATTCTTCGGAAGAGTTCCACTCAGATGGAGGAAGTAGGGACTTTACAATTGCTCCTTCTGAAGATCATGAAGAAGGCGAGGGGGAAGGGGAACAACACCAAGACCCTGCTCCTCATGTGCTCGAAGACAAGGATGACGATCTACGGCTAATGCATCGTCTACGAGCATTGTCGATCCGCGATAATTCCTTATTAGAAGCACGAGCACAAGATGCAGCTGACCCTCCTACTACAGATCGTACTCAGAAGTGTGAAAACAGGAGCATGCGGCCTCCAGAAACCGAATATTAAGGGTTGTTAGCTCACATTGCATCTTCCCAAACATCAAAACGTTGGCTGACTTTTCAGAGTGTCAGGAACGTCGATGTTCGGGAGAATACAATCAGAGATAGCTGCTATCTCTAAGAATACGATTTCACGAATTTGAAGAGCGAGGACCGCTTGGATAACCCCGACAGCGTAATTGTCTTTTTGGTCGGTCAAAAAAGCTTGGCGAAGTTTAAAAAGAGACCGTACGAAGCTTATGATCTTCTTGATCATCGTGGAATAAACGATACGACGATGGACGTGGACCAGCCATTTTGTACTTTCAAGGAAGAAGGTGAGGAAATCGTTATAGGTTCGCCACCGGCGGAACATACCAACAACTTTGCTAATTTGGGCCCGGCCGACTTGGTCAGCGCGCCTCCTTTACGGCGTTCTATACGCGCTTTCCGGTTAGGTGGGAAGGATGAAAACCACGAGCTGGAAGAGAGTACGGATGTCAACTTTTGGCTGAAAAAAAAAGACACCTTGCAGGAGATGTACATTAACATGTTACCATCATCCAAGGGCAAAGGTGCTACAGCCGAACAAGCTGGACAGGGACAGCATCATAAGATGAAGCTATCGCTTCGCCCAGGTATGCCTACTTTGGGCGAGATTATTCTGAAGCAACACCGGGATGTAGAAAAAGGGGAAGCAGATGTAGAAGGACCTCCAGCATCTTCGTCAGCAGCAGACGGACGAGGACCACGACTCGGATTTTTAGCTCCAAGCAAGAAACTGGGAGTATCTCTGGCTGGTTTTTTCGAAAGAGCTAGCACTGAAGTCCAGTCCGATGTTGATCTTCGTGACAATAGAGTCTAAAATCGTAGTGGAGTACATATTTTTGTGGTTTTTACATACAAGAATCAACAATAATTATATTGGCAACGTCCTCGATACACTTGTTCGGAGAAGCTTCCTATTCCTTCCTAATAAACTTATCGATGATCATGACAAAGACGTATGGAAGTGAAGAGCACAGCGAGGACGCGAGGAGAACAAGTATCGTCAATATTTGTATGTACTCTACTATGCAAATGCATTACAAGGCAAAACACACTCTCACTATGAGGACATAGAAATTCCTACAAGGACACTCCTAATTTCTTGTGTTTCAGGGTTCTCTATGACATGGCTATATGACATGGCTATCAAATGTAGTACATGTAGGACTACGTGAAACTCATGTCATTCCAACATGGCTACTGTGGATATGTCGAGTGCAAAAGCACTACCTCGTAGAATTTCGAAGCAACGATTCGCCTCAGCATAGCGAGAAACAACTGCCTTCTATAATAAAATTAGCAGTGAGAAACAAGAACTCTTCCATGATTATAAATTTGCGGACGATGTTGGTGAACATAATATAGTATCGTCGTCTGAAGAAAACAAGATCTTCAGGAAGCAAGAATGAAATTATAACATTGATTTCGATGCTGTTTTTGTTTCATGACGTGAGACTCTCGTTAGGTGGTAGAGAGGATATATGCATAATGGTGGTAGTAGAGAGGAAATATGTATTAATGATATGCATATGTTGTCGGTAGGCGTAGGGGAAGATAATAGAAGAAAGGAACATCTCTTTTATAGAAGATAAATAGAAGATTTCTATGTAGATAAAAAACGAACATCAAGCACCTGTGGTCTCTATAGAAGATGCAGACTAAACAGCTTTGCCTGTCCTGTTTACTCTATAGAACAACATAGTTTACTTACTTGTTTATCGAGATAGTATGAAGAAAAAAGTTTCGATTTTCAAGGATTCAAAATCAAGCGTTTTTTTTGGATGTCATGGATTCAAAAAATCAGACCTTTGCATTTATTACCGAATAGTGAGTACTCATTTGGTTTTTGAAAACGTGGAACGACGCTGGAAAGCCATTAAAGCACCTGTTAGACAACATAAGAGGAACGGTATTGACAGTCTAGAAGATATTTTATTAACAACACGACCTCTTGCCAGGCACATCAATCAGTCAATCAATCAATCTGACTGTTGTAAGCAAATAGCGCAATGCTGCTGTTGGCTTGCTTTTCTTGAGTTTGACGAAAGATGTCCTGAACAAGAGCTCAAGGTTGGGTTGAATCAGCCAACTATGCCTGCTAGTTTTTCTAAGTAGTGCTAGTGGGCCTACAGTAGTACACCTAACCTTGAATCAGCTGGTGCTGAAGAAGGTGCCTTTGTCGACTTCCTTGTGTGAAGATGAGCTTCTTTCGTCGTTTCGACTTTTCATTGCTCGTAGTACTGCTGTTTCGTTTTCTTCGATCGTACTTCTGACATCGCTCGTCCTCGTCGTACTGTTGTGTTCGTCCTAGATGCATGAATCCACAGGACACCCACAGGGAGCCGGGTGTTGTCCATGTTTTCGTGTTCTCGTCTCGGTAAAAAAAAGAAAAACACGTATAAGAAATTTATTTTGAGGACTTCTCGGAGTTGAGTGAGGAGAATCAACATTCGATAGAAGAGGTGGTCGAAATCTTCGATGATCCTCTAATTTAGATATGATCCTCGTTTTTCAACATTGGAGCACTTTCTACATATACTACACGACTATTAGACATTCATATTCATTTCATGCATTTTTATGTGAGCTGAATTGCCGAACCCGAACCGCGAACATGAATGAATGAATGGGGTGCAGAAGAAATTGCTATTTCATGGTTGTAAGTGAGCCTAGCGATCCAATCCAAAAAAAAAAAAAGAGGAGAAAGATTAGAAAAAAGGTGGTCGTGGTACTGCATTGACGAGGATAAACCTATGAGGGAGCAGCAATGACGCTTCTTGCCGAATGGCTACAAGGATGGCTCCTTGGCTACGACACCAAGCGCCATGGAGGCGGCGTCACAGGATTACGGCAGAGTGATGAAGGTTTGCGGAACAGCAGCACTACATCATTGAGCTTCAGAAGCACTGGTAGACCGTCACACTCTTCAGCACCAACGACAAGTTTCCTAGAACGCAAAACGCCGATGACGTCATTTCTGAATACAAGACGTTCATCTCATCTGAATATTACAAGAAAACATCTCGGTCTGAGCACAAGAACTAGAACTACAACTACAACTACTGCCTTCATAAAGCGTTGCTGGTATTCCGTTCGTGGTGAAGCAGAGGGTGAGGAATGTCAGCAGCTGCGAGAACGATTCAAAAATGCTTCTTTAGTGGACATGTTACCAACGGACAAAGGTAAGTGTGGCGCACCAATCTACATCCTAAACGGCATTTCCCCAGGTGATTCTAAGGGGAGTTGGTACCCCTCAAACCCGGAAGAAACACTCGAATATCCGAACGAAGTGTGGCATAAGTACTTCTATGATGCTGAACTTTTATTCCCGAACGAAGTGTAAAATTAGTTTTAGTTTTAGATGACATGCGGCAAGAAGTATCTTGATCTATGTAGTTTAGTCTTCACACTAGTAGTGCCGATTAGAAAAGTCGACGTAGAAGTTACGAAAAACACAATTCACAATAGATGCTGCGTGCCGGAAGATGACAGTGGCGACGGACCCATGACCTGCCAGAAGGTGCGTCTTGTCTCTCGCGGTGATGTGACTGGTATATACGACGATAAATGCGGCACCGATGGCGCGTGTAGTTAAGGCCACCAAAGTGACATGATAACTCCTAAATCTCGACTCACTTAGGTGGAGTATATCTATCTCTACAAATGGGGCCTTTCCAAGTAGATGGAAAGCTATCTCATCTACTATGCTTTTTTCAAGAAAGCAAGATCGAGACATATCGAATATGCGAAGATCTAGATATCTATGTCAACTACATATAAAGAACAAGAGATTACTCGTCTAAGATGGTGGGTATCGAGATCGCTGTTTGGAATCTGCGACTGTTGCAGAGTATTCTGAACATGGGAAAGTGATGGAACCCGAATGCCCTAAAAATTGCGGTGCAAGGTGTGTCAAAACGTACATTTATGAAAATCAAAACTACACAATATTTGAAAAGCATTGATTACCATGACTACACAGATATAGGAGGTAGAAAAAAGTACTTACTGTTATATACTTAGATTTTACGTCAATCCCGAATAGCCTCGTCCCCTACCCCTACTGTTCCTACCCCCCTCACCGCGCGGCTTTACTTTCATCTCCCGGACCGCCATTGCGTGTTTCTCGGTATCGAACCGAAGGAAGGGTGGGAAGGATTTTCACAGCCTCTGGACCCTGTTTCGAAGGAGAAACTGCCATACTCAGTGGTAGATTTGGGCATCCGCGACAGGGACGAATTGGAAAAAGAGTTTCTACTGGGAGGCAAGAAAGAGTTGTTGTAGAAGTTCCCTTGAGGCGGGGATGAAAATTGGAGTAGTACTCCAAGAATCAGATTCCAAGAATGCAAGCCCAAAGTACTTTGAGCAGAACAATTACGTAGTAAAAATGTTATTCAACAGTCAACACAGTTGTTAGTAGAAGAAGAACGAACTTTCTCTCCGCAGTTTTGCAACAAATTGCAGTGTCGTATAAGCTGGCAGCACAACAAAAGACCGGTCATCTGGATGCATACTCTGTCTGTAGACACGAGTATGCATGTTCTCCTGAGACATGAGTTGCCCACTCCGTTGTTCTACACTCTGCATTTATGGGCTAACCGCGAAATAGAAATACGGTCGAGGGAAATTCAAATTGAAATTTTGTCATTTCAATCTCTGGGACTGAGAGGGAAGCAAATTCTGGAAAGGAACTACACTATATCGGAGGACACTTCTGACACCAGAGTAATTTATGCAAGAAAGGAAAATAAACTCCCACAACAATTATATCTTGGCTTAAAATCTTCTTGAGTATTTCTTCAGAATCATGGTGATGGTAATTTATGATTTAGGGTATATTTTTTCTGTTCAACAATATTAAGACTAGAATGAGTGCAGGCGTAACAGACCCCGCAAGTATTGCGGCTTCTATCAATGCAGAGGGCCACCCTCTGACGGCCGGGGCCCCCGGCGATTATGGTTATGACTCAGGAAGGGAGGAATATCTCTATCTTGTCCCGTTGAAAATCTCAGGCAGTAAAAGTAACATGAGATTTTTATCTTGTTCTGTTGATTTTCATTTGCTTCTGAAGTAGCAACCCCAAGTAGTTATAAGGTAGGTACCTCTAATTTCCTCTCAGCGCCAAAGAGTACGAGGACATAGTGAAGGCATTTCAAGTCTTCGATGACAGTGGAGATGGCCTCATTGACATGGACGAGCTCGAAGATGTCCTGCGACTACTGGGGCAAAATTAAGGCCAGTCGTGAGTCACAATGAATAGTATAATTTATTTGGTGCGGACTATGGCATAGTGCGGACGCTTTTTACAACGACTCGTTCAGCATAGTATGCTGAATGAGTAGTAACTAACTACTCGGACGACTATCAGGAAATACAATGGAGAAAATTCAACTAAGGACTGCAAAAATCCGGACAAAATTCAATCTTCTCGGGCATGATACGAATCCGCAGAACACTCGCCGCCTACTGCGCTCCCTTCTGGAAAACCCTCACCCAATTGCGAGCCAAGAACCTCGGGCGCCCTCCAAATCCCCGCGCCCCTCCAGAATCCCCCAGCATACATTTGCAGGCTGGTGCGGTGGACTCTGGAGGGGCGCGGGGAATCACATGAAACGAAACCAAAAGACAGAAAAACCAAGAGGAAGCAAGTTGCAAAAGCCGCTAAGCGGAGCACTTCCAGGACGAGGAGGCGACAATAGTGACCGTTTTTGTGCAGTTCTTAGTTGACTTAGCGCCATTCTAATCAGCCATCTGCGGAAGCACCAGAGGCACAGCGAGCACGCCACACCATCGAAACTTAACAAAAAGAGGAGGCGCGAGCCCTTTGGAACTCAAGCGGCAACCGGTCCAGCCCTTCTTGAGAAATGCCACGAAATTGAATAAACCTCTCTATTGTTTGCCGCTTTCCTGCTCGCAAGGCCATTTTTGGAAAAAAATCTGAAGACATCTTTTCACTTTTTTCATCAAAAATGGCCTAGCGAGCAGGAAAGCGGCAAACAATAGAGAGGTTTATTCAATTCTGGCGAAACCCCCGCAAACTTCCCCGCTGAAATACTTCAAAAGAGTGCGAACAACGCCAGCAAACCCCCCCGACAATCTGCGCACAAACGGCGGCGCGCGTGAGTGGTCTGACCATTTGAAGGCGGCAGCGCGTCGCTTCTCTTTGTAACTAATCCCACCCGGCGCGAGAGCTTCGGGGCGCCGGGTGGTCAAAAGTCCAACACTTAACAACATGAAAAGACCCAAGAACGAAGAACCTCGGGCGGAGTGTCTCAAACCTTTCCGATTATGGCGAAAAATTCGACCACAGACAAGTGGAGTTAGAATGGAGAAAATTCAACTAAGGACTGCAAAAATCCGGACAAAATTCAATCTTCTCGGGCATGATACGAATCCGCAGAACACTCGCCGCCTACTGCGCTCCCTTCTGGAAAACCCTCACCCAATTGCGAGCCAAGAACCTCGGGCGCCCTCCAAATCCCCGCGCCCCTCCAGAATCCCCCAGCATACATTTGCAGGCTGGTGCGGTGGACTCTGGAGGGGCGCGGGGAATCACATGAAACGAAACCAAAAGACAGAAAAACCAAGAGGAAGCAAGTTGCAAAAGCCGCTAAGCGGAGCACTTCCAGGACGAGGAGGCGACAATAGTGACCGTTTTTGTGCAGTTCTTAGTTGACTTAGCGCCATTCTAATCAGCCATCTGCGGAAGCACCAGAGGCACAGCGAGCACGCCACACCATCGAAACTTAACAAAAAGAGGAGGCGCGAGCCCTTTGGAACTCAAGCGGCAACCGGTCCAGCCCTTCTTGAGAAATGCCACGAAATTGAATAAACCTCTCTATTGTTTGCCGCTTTCCTGCTCGCAAGGCCATTTTTGGAAAAAAATCTGAAGACATCTTTTCACTTTTTTCATCAAAAATGGCCTAGCGAGCAGGAAAGCGGCAAACAATAGAGAGGTTTATTCAATTCTGGCGAAACCCCCGCAAACTTCCCCGCTGAAATACTTCAAAAGAGTGCGAACAACGCCAGCAAACCCCCCCGACAATCTGCGCACAAACGGCGGCGCGCGTGAGTGGTCTGACCATTTGAAGGCGGCAGCGCGTCGCTTCTCTTTGTAACTAATCCCACCCGGCGCGAGAGCTTCGGGGCGCCGGGTGGTCAAAAGTCCAACACTTAACAACATGAAAAGACCCAAGAACGAAGAACCTCGGGCGGAGTGTCTCAAACCTTTCCGATTATGGCGAAAAATTCGACCACAGACAAGTGGAGTTAGAATGGAGAAAATTCAACTAAGGACTGCAAAAATCCGGACAAAATTCAATCTTCTCGGGCATGATACGAATCCGCAGAACACTCGCCGCCTACTGCGCTCCCTTCTGGAAAACCCTCACCCAATTGCGAGCCAAGAACCTCGGGCGCCCTCCAAATCCCCGCGCCCCTCCAGAATCCCCCAGCATACATTTGCAGGCTGGTGCGGTGGACTCTGGAGGGGCGCGGGGAATCACATGAAACGAAACCAAAAGACAGAAAAACCAAGAGGAAGCAAGTTGCAAAAGCCGCTAAGCGGAGCACTTCCAGGACGAGGAGGCGACAATAGTGACCGTTTTTGTGCAGTTCTTAGTTGACTTAGCGCCATTCTAATCAGCCATCTGCGGAAGCACCAGAGGCACAGCGAGCACGCCACACCATCGAAACTTAACAAAAAGAGGAGGCGCGAGCCCTTTGGAACTCAAGCGGCAACCGGTCCAGCCCTTCTTGAGAAATGCCACGAAATTGAATAAACCTCTCTATTGTTTGCCGCTTTCCTGCTCGCAAGGCCATTTTTGGAAAAAAATCTGAAGACATCTTTTCACTTTTTTCATCAAAAATGGCCTAGCGAGCAGGAAAGCGGCAAACAATAGAGAGGTTTATTCAATTCTGGCGAAACCCCCGCAAACTTCCCCGCTGAAATACTTCAAAAGAGTGCGAACAACGCCAGCAAACCCCCCCGACAATCTGCGCACAAACGGCGGCGCGCGTGAGTGGTCTGACCATTTGAAGGCGGCAGCGCGTCGCTTCTCTTTGTAACTAATCCCACCCGGCGCGAGAGCTTCGGGGCGCCGGGTGGTCAAAAGTCCAACACTTAACAACATGAAAAGACCCAAGAACGAAGAACCTCGGGCGGAGTGTCTCAAACCTTTCCGATTATGGCGAAAAATTCGACCACAGACAAGTGGAGTTAGAATGGAGAAAATTCAACTAAGGACTGCAAAAATCCGGACAAAATTCAATCTTCTCGGGCATGATACGAATCCGCAGAACACTCGCCGCCTACTGCGCTCCCTTCTGGAAAACCCTCACCCAATTGCGAGCCAAGAACCTCGGGCGCCCTCCAAATCCCCGCGCCCCTCCAGAATCCCCCAGCATACATTTGCAGGCTGGTGCGGTGGACTCTGGAGGGGCGCGGGGAATCACATGAAACGAAACCAAAAGACAGAAAAACCAAGAGGAAGCAAGTTGCAAAAGCCGCTAAGCGGAGCACTTCCAGGACGAGGAGGCGACAATAGTGACCGTTTTTGTGCAGTTCTTAGTTGACTTAGCGCCATTCTAATCAGCCATCTGCGGAAGCACCAGAGGCACAGCGAGCACGCCACACCATCGAAACTTAACAAAAAGAGGAGGCGCGAGCCCTTTGGAACTCAAGCGGCAACCGGTCCAGCCCTTCTTGAGAAATGCCACGAAATTGAATAAACCTCTCTATTGTTTGCCGCTTTCCTGCTCGCAAGGCCATTTTTGGAAAAAAATCTGAAGACATCTTTTCACTTTTTTCATCAAAAATGGCCTAGCGAGCAGGAAAGCGGCAAACAATAGAGAGGTTTATTCAATTCTGGCGAAACCCCCGCAAACTTCCCCGCTGAAATACTTCAAAAGAGTGCGAACAACGCCAGCAAACCCCCCCGACAATCTGCGCACAAACGGCGGCGCGCGTGAGTGGTCTGACCATTTGAAGGCGGCAGCGCGTCGCTTCTCTTTGTAACTAATCCCACCCGGCGCGAGAGCTTCGGGGCGCCGGGTGGTCAAAAGTCCAACACTTAACAACATGAAAAGACCCAAGAACGAAGAACCTCGGGCGGAGTGTCTCAAACCTTTCCGATTATGGCGAAAAATTCGACCACAGACAAGTGGAGTTAGAATGGAGAAAATTCAACTAAGGACTGCAAAAATCCGGACAAAATTCAATCTTCTCGGGCATGATACGAATCCGCAGAACACTCGCCGCCTACTGCGCTCCCTTCTGGAAAACCCTCACCCAATTGCGAGCCAAGAACCTCGGGCGCCCTCCAAATCCCCGCGCCCCTCCAGAATCCCCCAGCATACATTTGCAGGCTGGTGCGGTGGACTCTGGAGGGGCGCGGGGAATCACATGAAACGAAACCAAAAGACAGAAAAACCAAGAGGAAGCAAGTTGCAAAAGCCGCTAAGCGGAGCACTTCCAGGACGAGGAGGCGACAATAGTGACCGTTTTTGTGCAGTTCTTAGTTGACTTAACGCCAATATATTTCAAACATCAAAGTAGTGTCTCTTCGAACAAAAGCCGACACGAAAAGAGCTTATTGCGGTTATGGATGCCTTGGACCAAGACAAGAGTGGGCAGATAGATTTCAGCGAGTTTCTGCCTTTTATGGCTAAGGTAATCCTTATCCTTCTTATGATACGCATTCATACGCTCAGAAGCCTTAGTAGTTGATGTTTTGAATGAACTACTCTCACTCTAAGATTTGATGAACTACTCTCTGACCCTCTGTGTGTCGTGTCGTGACTGAGTGTTGTAATTATATTCCATCGTCCAATGAAGTTTTCAATCTCCATTCCATTGGGTTCTTGTCCCTTTGGGTCTGGTCTCAATGCTGATTTTTTGACAAATCAGATCGGAGACCACACATGACCACATGGCCTATTCCACTCCATGTTTCGCTCCAGGTCCTGAAGCTGCAATCCGAGCGTTCCATTGAGGGTATGTTGCGAAGGAAGAATCCACACTATGTCCATGGCCCTGAAGCAGAAGACCGAAAAGTGGGAGACAGGCGAAAGATCGTCAATTGTTAGGGCTCCTTTATCACTATCCCATTTTGATTTTTCCCATGTGGAGTGATCGATGTCGTGCTGAGTGCTGAGTGGAGTCTCCTTTAATCTAGTAAAGGGGAAACAAAGGGGGGCGCTGCAGGTCATCATCATACTCAACCAGGGATAGTGAAAAACTAGCGGTGCTAAAATTGGGTTCCGTTTATGTTGGGGACGTCCCTGCCGTGGGCCGTTTTCGCATTCTTCTTTTGGCTGAACAGCTTCAACTATGCTATGAGTTCTTTTTGAACTGCTTCAAGTAAGTATCAGTGCTATTGAGAAAATGTTCATATCTAGTCACGATTCTAGCGTGTATCGATACGATTTGTTGTCGTCCCACCTAGAACACATTGTATAATATTATTACTTAATAGGAGGTAAACTACTAGTCCTGGTCCTCATCACCTTCCCGTTTTCAGAAAAGGTATTGGAAGTACCCAAATTGGATCTGGACGATCGACATGGTAACGATTTTCTTTGGCCTTTACGTGCTTTATCGGAATAAGCGACGGATGCAGCTACCGACGACGTTCTTCTTAAGGCTTCTCCTGATCTCCCTTTATTTTCTAATTAAAAGATCTTACACCCCGCGAGTGGGTACATCTATCTATCTATCTATCTATCTGAGACGCTTGATGAGATTGAGAAGATGAAGACTCAGCTTAATCATCGTGCATCATCAGAGGGGTTGCCATCCTAGGAGAGAGCGTTTTGAATGGGAAATACAGGAGTTTACTCCAAGCCTTAAAGAAGGTAGAGGAGGAGGATCATAAGGTCGAGCTCTAATTTCCATTGCGTTCATGTGCTGGGCCTACGTTCCGCTCGCCTGGCTAGCGGGCAGTTTGAACTTCTGGTCGAACCTGTATCCGTATTACCAGTTGCTATGATGTTGGTCATCGTGGTTTTATTCTTACAAACAACCTCGTCCTTTGAGGCACCACACACACATGAGTCAAAAGCTAAAAATGTTTCTTGGATCATGTTGGGTCTATCAAGTAGTGCTAAGGAAGTGTTGTATGTAGAGATTGACCTGATAAAGACGATAAATGATGTGAATGCTGTGCCCTACTGACCGCGACCGCCAACATACCTCTTCTCTCCGCCAACATACATCTCTTCATATCTCTCGCAAATGGCTGCGTACGTGAGCGTGAATCCGTCTCGATTACACGTGACCTCAGTGTCCAAGGATTCCGTCACTGGTAAGCCCGTTTACACGACCTCGCAATCCTCACGGCCTGCAGAAGGCAAGCGGTATCAGTTAAGGCTCCTTGCCTACTGTTTTCAATGGGAAAACGACCAAAACACTCAAATAGAGATGACTACTTCCAAGATGCATTTACAACTACAGGTTTTAGAAGTTCGTAAAAAGCTCTAAAGCAGGATGCAGGGAAGGTGTACTTTGCTGGTAGCAGCGTCACGGTGGATACCACCAAAGTGATCTCATTCAAGAATCACGACACGTACTTCTACAGTTTGCTGAGAAGAAAGTTGATGTCGCCTCGTAGTTCAAAAAGGATGACACCTAGTCTTTCCTTTTCGCCAACAATTCAACATAATAATCTACTTAATAGATACTACAAGAACTTCCACTTCCTGTTTTACTTTGCTCTTACAGGACTACTTATGTATCACCACTAACACTACCTAGCAGACTGTCACCTTAACCTCATACATAAGGTATTGCGCAGCGCCAATCGTTGACAGCACATGCACTGAAGATTGCGGAAACGATTTTTGGGCTGTAGGCGTGAACTGTTGCGGGGAGGAAGGAGCCTTGAAATTCAATTGCGATGGATTCAGTATTTGTTTTTCTTGATTCTCGATCAAGATCTTAACTCAATTTGTTCAGTGTTAAATTCATTGCTAGGAGTAGTACAGAAAGGTAAAGAAATAACTAATTAGAATCCGTGCAAAAATATATCCCACTTGTTACAACGAGTATCTTTTTTCAAACACAAACCATCCTCTGCCTCAGCCTCAATCTCCGCGATTTTGTTTCCTCCACACATCAGAAACTACCTTCGCTACCGAAAGTGAGGAAATTGCGATGTCGGAAAGGGAAAGAACAGGACTGCGATGGATCGATGATACGACACGCCAAAATTTTCGATTGGCGGTGCTCGAAGCCGAAGGAATACACAAAATCAAAGCCGCGCACCCGCTTTTCTTCAGCTTTTACTTATGCAGCATAACTGTCACTGGCTACTAATTTCGGGTGCCTACTACTTTCTGATTCTGCGTGAAGTAGTAATTTAATTTGAGTGCGTGGTATAGAATACTTGACATTTATTTTGATTCGTCAAGCATCAATATTAAGAATACAACAGTATCAGCATCAAATAGAAACACATCAGGACGAATGAAATGTGCTAATTCAACTGCAGATTATGATTCGCCACCAAGTATTCTATACCACTAGCACATGGAAGTTGAATTAGAAGCGCATTGACGTAATTCTCCTTCCCCACGTCTCCCTCTCTCCACTTTCATCTCCTCAGGATGGACGCAGTCCGGATGGTGTGCTGAGTGCATACGCGCAGGCGGGTCTCGAGGTGACGTTGGGGCTCTACTTCCTGGTGTTTTGTATGAACATCCTGATCATGATGTATCTCGCCAAGCGACTCATCACGACGAAAGCACCAACTTTGGACGATTTTTAACATTCTAGCTTGCTAGAAGTACAGAGGTCCTGTTGTAACCTGTAGTCGTAGACTAGTAGATGACGTAATTATATTTAGCGGATTCCACAGATAAGAACCAATAAGAGAAAGAGTATACTTAGTCTTGTCAAATAAAATGTCCTTGTACAACATATTAGTACTCAGAGGTTATCTCAATCTCGAAATCGAGTCACTGTTTGCTGTCCGTAAGAACTTCAGTCCAGAAGAAATCCTAGAACAAAGGCGACCCGCAGTTGAATCCTGGTCTTGTCTCATCTGAAGCAACTGCTAGCTGAATGATAAAAAAATGTGCTGAATGCATACTAGACCACTATTTCCTACATTTTTCAGGTAAGTCTTTTTTCCATATCTATCTTATCAGAAAAAAAACGAAAACTCCGTTAGGTGACGTCGAGTCGCCATGTTCCGAGGTACAGCAGGAGAAGTGTCTTTTGCCATCCCGTAGTCCATGCTATATGCTCCTTTCGGTTCTTTGAGCAAAGAATAATCGGTCATATGCAACTGTCTTTGCAATGAAGTCGAGGTTTCTGCGAATCGGTGTGGTCAACTATGATCGGACTCGGACCTCAGAATGTGTCACTTACGCACCTCAGAATGTGTACCACTCAATTTACGCCCTCCCGCATGATTTAGACCTACTGCGTCAAATAGATGTTCCTGCAGCCTCTTTGGAAAGAAAGCCATCTCCGCTGTCACTCTTCAACAATGTTCATGCCCTTTGCTTTCATCTTCACTTTGTATATGTCTAGTTACACCTAGTTGTATACCTCCCTCAATCACGTTTGACTAACGTATCACGAGGTATCATGACATGACGTGACATGTATACTATAAGTAGCCTTCTCGACGTGGTCTTCTTGGTCACAAGCAGCATACCGAAAGACTTTCAAAGTGAAAATTTTCAGCATATCGCATATATTATAGTTTCCAAGCAACATGGGAGTTTTGTCCACCATCATCGACCTGACTGGCGACGCTGCTACGCCTTCGCACGCCAGCATGGCTGTCACGAAAAGCGGCACTTCTACAGCTGATATCCTCGACGTAGGCCCTTGGGGAACATCAAGGTCTTCATCCAGCAGAAGTGCTCCTTCGTCGAGCTCTTTCGCCACGCGTCACGATTTTCCACGAGGAGAAGAGCTCTCACGTTGCTTGTTGAGACCTAAGAGCTGCGTCGTGTCAGCAAGCTCCTCTTTCGTCCAGACGCCCAGAGCACCACCTGATCCAAGTACTTCAACATGGCCACGACCAAGAACAAGAGGATCTTCAACAGGAAATAGAATACGGAGCAAGCACTTCTCTTCATTTTATCAGTCGAATAGAAATAGACACTTGTTCAAGTCAACTTCATCGAGGACATCAACAAGATCAACAACGTCAACTTCATTCGACTTACATCTGGAAGGTCCTGAGGTTGAGGAATTTAGCGTGTCTGACGCAAGGGATCCAGAGTCACGGCGTTTCCTCTACTACGCTAAAGCCATGACAACCGTGAGCGGCGTGTTGTCTCTTGTTATGGACCTGATAAATCATCTAAAATGAGATTGTGAAGCAATGGATCTTTTTTTGTAATTCTTCAGAATCTTCATCTTGTTGATCCTCGTTGTTTGTCATTCATCTCAAGAAGTTCGTGACTTCATTTTCCCATCTCCACTCGAGACCTCCGATGCCGTGCCATTCTCGCGTCTAATGTCCTGAATAGCTGGCTGGCCTTCAGCGCCGCGCGAATGGATCTGGCTTGCTTTCGAAAACTGCTCGAAGATACTCGGAGAGCAGAGCGCGAGCTGGCGTATGAAGCCTGAAGCATGGCGAATGTTGAAAAGAAAGTGAGCATGGGGAGATAGAAGTAAAAGAAAGTGACAGGATCATGATGATGTTGTTTATATATAAGGGAAATTCAAAGCGTTTCGAGAAGAAGTAGATACACGTCGTTTTGATGCCTCTGCTGGGAATAGCGGATAAGGGCAAGGAAAGCGCAACAAAATAAGAGCGTCATCTTCGGAACAGTTATTGACGTAGTAGGTTGTAGAACTGAAGAGCATATCCCCTAGACTGAGACCTTCAGAAATAAAGATAAACAAGATGTGTTGCTGGTTTCGTCTATCTGAGGCTCAGCACGATAACCAGATGTCTAGTTTGTTCGGGAATCTTCCAAGCAGGACCCTGAACCTCAGAGGTCACTCTGTCCGAAGTCAGGTCGTTAAAGTGCAGGAAACATTTTTGATGTGCCGCGGAAAATATCGGTCACAAGAAAAGCTCTTCAATCCGGATGTAAATAAAGGAACGGAGGGCGAAATACGTACTAGTAAAGAATACCTACTTACCTTTGACAAGAAAAATTTTTAGTCCAGTATTTAGAGCACTTGGACACTATTTGATTTTATGAAACAAAGGGAGACATACTCTTACTCTTTTGACTGACCAGGTAGTTGTTAGATTTCCCATGAAAATTTTTGAGATATTTGTTGGATGATCATGAACTTTCGTTTGTTCGTGTTGACTGTGTCCAAATTGAACAAGATGGGCTCTAGTACTACAAGGCCGCCAACATGAAGTTGGTGTGTCCAGCACCCTCAACACGCGCGAGCAGGACCTTGTCTGACGCCTTGCATGCGCTGCAGCTCTGTCCTCGAGATCCCGCAGGCCGTGCGACTCTTTGCGGTCGCATCACATATAATTGAATCGTTTCTCGTATTTTCTGAAGACAGCGCAATGCGCTGCTAGTTGGAGCTGTGCCACCTAGTCTCGGAAATTTTCTTCTGCGCACTAGCATTTTGTACAACAGCGGTGTGAGGCACGACTTGTGTTTGCATTTTGTTGGAATCCTTTACGTTCAATCAAGCATTCGTTCCGTCAACCAAGAAGATGTCGGACAAAAGCGAGTGTGTGAAAGTGGTCATCCGTTGTCGGCCTATGAGCAGCCAAGAGGTCCAGGATGGGCGAATGCGTGTGGTTGATATCGACCTAAAGAATTGCCTTGTTTATGGTTGGCATGCCCTGTTGTGGCCTTCTTGTATCTCTGTCTAGAAGAAGTATCAGCTAGGGTCGTCCTTAACAGTGAAGTTTGAGGTCTAGAAGGGTAAGACTCGTCTCGCTCGCTTAACTTCAGTGGCATCTGCAGTCGAAAAGGAAAAACGAAGCTGACACACCTGGTGTATCACAATCCACCTCATCTCTCTGTCCTCTGACCCTGATCCCAACGTGAAAAATCCTCTGAAGAACGTCCACAGTCTGACCCTGATGCATCCCTGTCTGTGAACATCGCGTAAGGGAACGCTCTGTGAACAACGTTGTAAGTTCCTCTCTGTGTGCATCCTAATTATAAGTCTTGAGACAGTACCTCGTGCTAGGTAAATGAATGCATGAATGTCTAAGAAAAGAGCTGTCGTAAGCCAAACGATCCGAATGCGGCGAAGTCGTTTACGTTCGACGCCGTCTACGACTGGAACTCGACACAGGTTGCCATATACGAAGAAACCACGTCTATCATCGTGGATTCAACTTATGTGAAGACTTCACATTGAACGTGAAAAAGAACGGGTGTTTAAACGATGATTACTACTACTACCTTTTCTCTTTTCTATCTTCCTCTGGAGTCTTTCTTTTTTCTAGTTTTAGGTCGGCTCCGCCACAATTACTACTACTAAGATACAAATATGTACCTTCGTTACAGGAGAACGAAGTCACTGGACGTTCATGGTCATCTTCAGGCAAGAAGGTTGAGCAAGCTTTTGCTACCTGAGAGTTGAAACAAGCACGACCCATTCCCAGTGATGTTAAAGTCAAATTCTCGCAAGGATGATGGCACATCATCATGATCTCAAAGGCACACCATCATCATGATGTCATCCTTACGCTCAGCACTCTCTACTCCTTTCATACCCTCCTCGACGGTTACAATGGGACCGTCTTCGCCTACGGACAAACGGGAACAGGTAAAACGCATACGATGGTAGGGAATTTGGATATCGCGGATCTAGTCGGCATGATTCCAAGGGCTTTTGGGCACATAATGTTATGGAAGGGCTTTTGGGCATATGTGTACAAATGAGTAAGTACACAAGAAGTAGAAGGATGTAGTTTATCTTTATGTTATCCCTCGGATGCCTTCTATGCCTTGCACGACCCCTAGTATTGCTTTCTCTCCTCCTCTAAATTCCGCTCACATCGAGACGAACACGGAGCAAGCGCAGTTTCTAGTGCGCGCGTCGTATCTGGAAATCTACAACGAGGAAATAAGAGACCTCTTGTCGAAGAATCCGAAAACCAAGCTCGAGCTCAAGGACAATCCGGAAACTGGTGTCTATGTCAAAGACCTCAGCGCATTCGTGGTCAAATCTGTCGACGAAATGCATCAGGTACATTATAATAGAAGCGAAAGGTAGTCTACCTCTCACTCACTCACTCACTCACTCACTCCATGACGTTTCTTGAGTTTTCTTTTTCCTCAGAAGTTGTTGTTGCCCCTTTTGAACTGCATCGCGACTTCATGAAACTATAGGGTCGTTAGTAGTACAATGTCTATCTATTTTCCTCAGAAGTTCTAGTGTCGTGAAATCTTTCGACGAATTTACGCATCACTCATGTTTGATATTTTTTAGTGGAGAAAGTTTGAATAGTGCTCTACAACTGATGTCTGCAGGTAATGGCGCAGGGCACTAGGAATCGGTCAGTTGGGCAGACGAAGATGAATGAAACCTCGAGTCGATCTCATTCAATCTTCACGATAACGTTAAGGCTGCTTAATCAATTCATTCAATCTTCACGATAACGTTATTAATCTCATTCAATCTTCACGATAACTAGATGCTAAAAAAACTGCACTTAGTAGTACCACTTGAACTTCTAGATGCTAAAAAACTGCACTCAATAGTACTACTTGAACTAGATGCTACACAAGGTAGCTGTAGCTCCTCCTCCAATTACGATCGAAACCAGCGCGAACGGACACATACGAGTAGGGAAACTGAACATGGTCGATTTGGCAGGCAGTGAGAGGCAGAGTAAAACCGGAGCGACTGTTAAGGCTCAACTTTCATTGGTCACCATTGAGATTGGGGTCACTGAGATCGCAGAGGGGCTCTCCCTAGAGAACAGGGGAAAACGAAGGCTTGACATCCTTGATTGGTTTCGGAACATCCCAATGCGTAGTGATAAGAAAACTTCGTTGTATTTGAAGATGGTCTCTCCCGTTCAGAGTCAGTGACCAATGAAAAGTGCTGACCTTTAATACTGGAGATACGCTGAAGGAGGCAACGAAAATTAACCTTTCGCTCAGTGCTTTAGGTAAACCATATAGTACTACTTGAAGAACTAGATGCTAAAAAAACAAAAACTGCACTTCTTCGAACACAGGTAATGTCATATCTACCTTGCCGGTACTAGATACCAAATAAGAATAACCACATAGGGAAATCTTAGGCAGCTCGCCGAATAGATTCAATTCATCAAGAATAACCACATATCTCAACAGGTAACGTCATATCTGCCTTGGTGGATGCGAAATCGAGTTTCGTTCCCTATCGTGACTCGAAATTGACGCGACTCCTGCAGGATTCCCTAGGTGGGAATACCAAGACAGTGATGGTAGCCAACGTAGGTCCTGTCGACTATAACTACGACGAGACAATCATTATGGTGGAAGAGGCAGGTTCATGGAAAAGGTAGAGGAAGGTTCAGATTTATACTTGTACTTCTTTGGAAAAGAAAGGCTCTTGTTTCATGGAAGATTTATACTTGTTCTTTCGTTCATCACATGCGTCAACAATCTCGACCATGTATTTACAACTGATAGTTTTGTTCATTACATGCTGCCTCGGGGGCATGCTCGAACTCAGTCATCCGCACATGCAAACAGCTCCTTAACTCTCAACAGCTCTTCTCCCTCTCCCTGCCTCATCATGATTTAAAGGCATTCTGGACTTCTTTAGGTATTTCCAGTCCGTTCATGCTTACGCCACTTCATGTCCATCTGCAAGCAGTCCATCCAAGATGGTTAATATACGTCTAGTAAAGGCGGGTATCACTTGACATCTTCTTTAAGGGTACTTATCTTCACTTGCCATCTTCTTCTAACTCCTGTACCTTTTTCTAACTCCTGTACCCTGCGGTATGCCCATCGCGCGAAATCGATCCAGAATAAGCCGAAAATCAATGAAGATCCGAAGGATGCGATGCTGCGTGAATTTCAGGAAGAAATTGCGCGACTACGGAGGCAGGTGGAACTGCAGCAAAGCGGAAAAACAGTCGTGGTCGGTGAGGATGGAGTTGAGACTGTGGTAAGTGTTTAGTACTAAATGCACAACTAATATTTTTTAAGCTGGTCTACTTCTAAATGGACGACAACTAGTATGGTCAGAACTGTTTTACTTCTAAATGGACAACTAATATGGTCAGAACTGTTCTACTTCTAAATGGACAACTAATATGGTCAGAAAGTAGATGTCTTTTTAACTTTGAATTTCCATTCAGAATTCTTGTTGCGGAGATTTTGCCTTTTCCAAGGTGTAAATTTTGGCTTTCAAGTTTGATGTTCCACATATAATATTATAGATAATTTATTAGGTCGAGGAATGTTGACCGATCATGGCATTTCCTGTCCCTCTCACAGGTGGAAGAGCGCATCGTGGAAAAAATAGTGGAAGTCGAAAAGGATATGGGAGGAGCAACGGCACACGACGCCCAAGCCCTTCACGAACGAATGATGGCTGAAAAAGCGGCTATGGAGTTCGAAGCTGCTCAGGAGCGCAAAAGAATAGAGGAGGAACGCAACATGGCACAAGAGGAGAAGGAAAAACTGGTAAAATATTCAGTTTTATAACTTTTAGTTTACATGAGTTATGGAGTAACACTATGCCAAAAGCGAACACAGAAAAGTGGTTTTTTAGCCAAAAAACGCGCATAGAGCCCAGGGATCAGTTCGGCGATATTCGTCTCAAAATGGAAAACTTCCATTCTGCGACGAATAAGTAAAGCGCCTTTTTGTACCTCTCTGCTCTTGGCCTTTTCGTTCGTTGTGTTTCTTTATCCATTTTCTTGCTAAGTAGTTTCTTTAGTGGTTTGACGCTTAAATAGCCCAGTGGGGACCGTTCTCGTCGAGGGTTGTTCTTCTGTTAATCTTTCTAAATCTTCTGATCTAAAAACTATGATGAATCAATCTCCTCACCTCCAGCTGCAAGAACTGATCGAAAAGGAGCAGCATGCAGAGGATCAGAGGCGCGAACAAGTGGAAATGATCCAGAAAGTGAAGCAAATGGAGGAAAAAATCCTGGCCGGCAGCGTGGTCATGGAGAAAGCAGAACAGCAGGAGCGCGAACTTCTTAAAGCCCAGAGAGCCGTGACTGAGGCTAAGAGAAACGAGCGCAAGCTAGCGAAACTGGCTGAGCGGAATATCGACGAAAAACTCATGCTTCAGGAGAAGTTCTACAGTGTGGAAGACCAAGTCATGAAGCTGGCCTCAAAGCTGGAGAAACTGTGGTTATGAATTTGAATATCATCGTTGTCATGTCATATGTCTCCAACCTGATCTACCAAATCAGTTTTGAGACCAGGCCCAGAGGAAATGAATCCATTGAGCGTACAGTAACGTACTAAGCCGGAAAGAGCAAAAACCAACACTACAAACATGAACATCGTGATCGTTATCTATCATCAACTCAAGGAGATATTTATGGTGCAGTTTGAAATAAGTAATCAAATAAAATAAAAATGTATCATTGTCAGAGAGGCTAAGGCTCCTGAAGATGGCTCTCCGGACACAAAGGGAGTCTCTTCAGTTTTTCCGTCAAATTCACGAAGCAATTGCTACAGTATAAATTAGATGCCATGCATCTTCTAACCAGAGACCGATACCAGGTTGCACAGCAAGAGGTGAAGGATCTGCAGAGCGAATTTCAAGTAGAAAGGGAGGACCTACTAGCGACTATTCGCAGTGCCGCGAAGGAGGTAAAGCTCAAAACTCTGCTGATGGAACACTTAGTACCGCCAGGAGCAAGGCAACTGCTAGAACAACACTCTCGTTGGGACGAAGAAGAAGGGACTTTTATGAAGAGGTCTGATGAAAGCAGGAGATTGTTCCACCGTGCAAATACTACTTAGAGGTTCCGAGGTTGTTTTTTAGTTGATGGTCTCGTGAACACTTCGTTGTATGTAGTTCACCTGCTATAGAAACCTTCGTAGTTGTACATCAATTATGTCTCAACTGTCTTATTTTTATGAATATGAAATTATGCATCAAGATCAAGATGAATGAGGTTAAGTACTCGTCTTCTAAGAGGTACACGATCGATAAGATCCATCTCGCTGGCAACAACGTGAATCTTCCTCGCAGTATGACGGGTGGGGGGATGCACACGGCACGTGGTGGAGACACGCGCTACGAGAAGGCCTCTACTCGCGGCAACGTCTTTTTTGTCTACGACAGTCGAGAGGGTATGGTCCGTGGCGTAAAGGCAAAGTCGGAGCGATCGACGCGAGGACTCACGTTAAGGCTCTCTTCTCACTGAAGTAGATACATCTTTTTCTTTAGCAGCATCCAACCACATTTTAAAAAAAAAAGTCACACGGATCATACATCTAGTAGATCCACATCCATCTACGACAAAAGAAAAGTAGTATTAATTACTTTCTTCTAGTTCTATTCTTCAACTCTGGTGGCGTTGGAATACTACAATATGCATCTAGAAGATAGAGTAAATACAGTACTATTCGTCCACAGGTGGTCTTGGAATACTACAAACTACACAGGGAAGATGCAATGAACTAAAAAGATATGAGATCCATCGTGTAGATCAACTGTGACGCCCCTATGGCAGTCTGCACTGAAATTTTAAAATCGTAGGGGCAGTAGCATAGTTGTTAAGGAGATTAAGAACTCCCCCCTATGCCGGTATCCACGCGGAAAATACGCAGGTAGGTTCTGACTTATCGGAACTCGCTCGCACTACAAAAAAAAAAAAACGAGATTAATTGTATTGTGTTGTATGCTGCAATGAACTACTTAAAAAGATAAATATGAATGAATTATGCTGGACGAGAGTGCTAATGATGTCAGCCCGACCAAACACGGCGTCACGGAAAGGTCGCGGCGATTCGTCCACGAACAACATGCACAGCACAATGCAAGCAAACAGCTTCAATATGATCGCTGGTGCTGGTGCGCCAGGTTTTGACGATCATATTGAAGCTGGAGGAAGACGAGGCAGCATGGATTCAACCTATTCGCAAAGTAGCTTTCCGAAAGCCAGAGGACTGGTGCCGAAGCAGTAATGCTTGCCTCGTCTTATTGTTGTTGATGTTTCCCATTTTTTAACACTTTTATTTTATGCTGTTGTAGCACAACTAGAAGTGAAGAAGTGGCAGCTTCCACATAGAAGAAATTTTTAATTTATAACATTGATCCTCCCCCGTTCCAGAGGAGGAAGGGCACTCTCAAAACCAAGCGTGGTCTATGAATCCTTTGTATTTCAATCTTCATCATCGTCTTTCGAGATTTGTACAGAAAAATACAGAATGTTGTACTATGAGTATGTTGAAATTAAATCCAGAAACTATGAGGATATACCTCCGCGCTCGACCTCTACTACGACCCTTCTTTTCTGCAGCAATATCGCTTCGTCTTGAAGAAATAGTAGAACAGGTAGTTTTGAACAGCAATAGAAGCATGTTCACTAGTATTAAGCAATCATGTGTAACTGTTGGGCGTAAAGGCAAACGCAAACCAAATCTCAAACTCAATAGGTTGAATAGTCTTAGTATAATTATAGTTTTCCACTTACACGAAGCATGAAGAAAGATGTCGGGGAGGACAGATATAATTAAAGAAGCACGCCCGTCATGTAAATGCCTGGGTATATCGTCATCGTCATCAACTCAATTATTATAGGTTAAGGTTGAATAGTCTTAGTATTAAAGTCATCCACTTGCACTTTATTTGTGTGAATAGAACTATTGGAAGTTGAAAGAAGAGAATGGATAGAAGCGGACGACCTCGTGATTGAAACAAGCAAGACAGAAACAAGTAGTTGACACGACGAAGAGGAGGATCCACGACGAAAAAATAGGCAGGGGAACGAATTAGTAGATGCTCTTGTATGTTGTTGTGTGTTCCTGCTTCGCCGAATTTTGAATGGTCTAACATCATAGCTGAAGCTATGGCCTCTGTTTGCCTTGTCAACTTCTGGTGAATCTGAATCCGACTAGTGAACGAAATTTGAATTACTACTTCCATAGACGATCCTGCTTCTCGTCAAAGGTGCTCGTGAATGTGCGCGGATCTGAACGGAAGCAGCACTGTTTTCACTGGATCATGATCTTGCCAGATCTGCACAGAGATGAGAAAACGATCATTCCTTCTCGGGACTTTGAATACTTATCCTGATAATTATGATCTTCTCTTAGCCGCTCAGGCGTCAAAAGATACCTCCAGAACAGGTAAATGAATGATCTTCTCGGAATCTGTTTTGAAACATAGTAGTCCTTCTACGGCTGCGTTAATTATCCGCTCCACGAGTATGCAGGTAAAACTGTGGACGGCGGACTGAATCCTAGTCCTAATCCTAATGGAATCTGTTTCGAATACCATCAATGTCTGAAAGTGAACATCAACGGAGGACGACTGCAATTGCCCACTTCTGCAACTCCAAATACATCATCATCATTGACCACAACAGGTGTAAGAATTGTAAAAATTCCTTGGCGTGGAGGAAACCCATCTATTCTTGTCAAAGACAACATTATATATAGTAGTGGTTGATTCTGTACAAATAGATTAATCGAGGAGCTCTACACATCTACTATTAGTTTGTTCGCTTCGTTGTTTCATTTTTTTGGAATCTTTCTTTGATCACACTTTGATCTGTCCTAAGCGAAAATGGCCGAGGGACGTAAGACGAAGATGCAGACCTGGATCGACTATAGGGTTCGGGTCACGACAACAGACAGACGCGTTCTGGTCGGAAACTTTCTGGCATTCGACAAGTAAGCAAGATTCTGTTGGATATGCGACTTCTGGATCAGCTGGATATTCGACTCCTGGATATTCGACTCCTGGATATTTTTTCATCAATGGATATTCGACTCCTGGATATACGACTCCTGGATATACGACTCCTTGGAGATTCTTCAGCTGGATATTTTTTCATCAATCTTCAGCTTCAGATATTGGAAGATGTTCTATTTCTAGAGGACGAACCTGAAGATGTAGGTGTAGATTTAGAAGAAGCACAAGCACTTTTCCAACGCCAACATCTTGTTCTTTAGATATGATATTGGAATATTGAAATACTTAGATAGGTTAACTAATTGATTGAAAGGGCGGTGGCATATAGTCCTAACGCAAAAAAAAAAAAGGTCGCGAATGTTCTTGACCAAATCAGCAGGGGCACACACATGACAAACAAAAACCATTTTTTTCAGGTACATGAATATGGTCTTGGGTGATTGACAAACAAAAACCATTTTTTTCAGGTACATGAATATGGTCTTGGGTGATTGACAAACAAAAACCATTTTTTTTAGGTACATGAATATGGTCTTGGGCGATTGCGAGGAATTCAGAAAATTGAAGGCAAAAGGAAGCTCGACAGAGGAGAGGGAAGTGAAGCGAGTTATCGGCCTTATCATATTGCGAGGAGACTGCGTACTTATAGTTATACTCCTTAGATTTTGAATTTTGATGAAGATGATGATGTGCTTGTGCTTGTCGCTGAGAAGATGATTGAGAAGTAATAAATAGTAACTTTTTTTGTTTTTGTTCTACAACTTTCATTTTCCTTTTGCCCTAGACTTTTCATGTTCTTGTTACTGTGCGAGGATGAAGATCTCGCTTTTCACTTTTCTCATCTCTCAGGAGGATACCTTTTTCCCATCAAATCATAGGTTCAAAGCATGACAGCAGAAGCGCCACCTGCATATGCGGCTAAGACGCAGATGCAGGGTGGACCAGGTAAAGCAGCACCAGCTGGTCGTGGAGCGGGGTCAGCAGTGCAGCAGCGCGGCGCTGGTCTCACAGGACCGGTTCGCGGCGTCGGTGGTCCCGCAGCGGCCCAAATGGCTCCTCGCGGCGCCAACAGACCGCCGGGAATGCCGGCATAGGTGACCCGGAGAGGATAAGAGGATAAATATTGCTGCGACGAGGAGAGACGGCGATCGGGAGACCGTGGAGATGACCCTCTTCGCTGCTACATCTCTTGTTTAGGTATTCGAAAACTCAAAATAAGCGAGTTACTGACTGAAATAAGAGGGTCTTGACTAGTACACTCCTCTTCTTTCAGTATCTCCCTTATTTTCAATAGGTTCTCGGTTATTTCAGTTTATCGAAAAGTATCGCAGTTTCGTGCATCTCACCAAACCTAAGGAGTAATCAACTTATCAAGAGGTGGTTCTCGCGGCATCCATTGTTAACGCATTAGCATATGTCTGTATCATAAATCATCATCGCAGAAAGGGAGAGCTATATCAACTTGTTGATACAACGTGCTGTTTCACCAAGAACATGATTATGCCATGATTTGAATGATCACTAGTACTGCTGTCCCCACTATAATCCGGGCCCCACCGGTTTTCGCTCACGTCTCTTCGTGGTAAAAAAATGCAAATTTTTACCTCCGACAAAGAGGAGGATGAATTCGGACCTCCCTTATTTTTCGACCTGAATATTGTGTTCGGCAGTCTGCAGCTGCACTGAAAACTGTGCGAGATGAATTGTTGTGGTTTGTATTGTATTGTAGCCCATAGGCGCATCTTTTATGATGACTTCAAAAAGAAAAGGGAAAAAATGGACATCCTCAAATACAATTTCAGAATGTACTGCAAAAGAGATTGAGTATCCAATTCAAGAGATTGAGATGGTAGTCGTAGTGGATTATATTGCATATCATTAAGTAATTCAAAGTCACTTTCTTCACTCTACCACGTCTAAACTGAAATAAGCGAGCAACGACGTGAGCGAGATACTGGACGAGGAAGAGTAGCTTTGTCAAAGCTGCCTCCCTTATTTCAGTTCGGTTGTTGCCCTTAAGGCAGTCTGCACTGAACTTTGTGCGAGATTAATTGTATTGTATTGCATTGTGCTCTGTCCTTTTCAGTTTCGTTCACGAAAGAAAAAGGGAAATGATGGAGCCGCCTCCAGTCACAACAACCTTTACGGTTGTTGCCCCTACCCACGATCCGCTCGATCACCAGCATCTACCACCCATAAAAACGACATTTCCGACGACAACGGGTGCAACGACCGATCGTTACAAGAACTCAATGCACCAGGAGTCAGTTGGAAGGAGCGACTTGATGGGCGAAATGTCGCCACCTGCGATGTTGTTGATGAATGCACCTCCTGGAGGAGGTAGTAGTGGAGGGTCTCTTTCCACCAGACCCTCTGCACAACAAGGGCATCTTCAGCAAGGAATTACTATGAATGTGGTCTCCAGGAGACAACCACCTCCATCCGGACATCAACATCTTCACAAGAACCACTTTTCCATTAAGGGTTTCGACATTTTTGCATTCTTCACTACCATCCTGCACTACCATCCTTCAGAAGTAGGAAAAGGGTCAAGGATGTTCCGAAGAATGTAACTCCGTAAGAACCGCTAATTCCAGTACACAGATGAATAACAGTACAACTTCATCCACCAAAGCGGGAACGAAGTATTATCGAGATCAGACGCAGCATTTTATTGCGGTCGCAGAGGCGGTCAAGAATCCGAATTACCTGCAACGTCAACGAAACCTGCACAACATGCAGCAAGAAGAACTTTCGATGATATCGAGTCTTGCAGCAGGCAGCTCAGCTGTTATATGAAGCATGTTAAGAAATATGTGCTCAACAGGTTAAGCGAACTATCGAGGCATCCTATACCATGTGCTGGACGGTTTCGCCACAAATCTTGAGGAAATAGCTAGATGACGAACAAGGACAAGCCGGTAGACTAGAAGTACTACTAAGGATGCGATGAATGAATGACAAGCTCACTTTTATGTTCTTATTGGAGTATGATTGTAGTCATCTTTATTCACGTCCATTTACATAATTCTTGGTCTATGAAGGATGAGGTGCTGATCAAATAGAATATAGTGGTTGATGTATACTGAATAGAATGGATGATCTTCTAGCCCATGCTCATGTATGAGGATGTAGCAAACCGCTAACAATGCCTGGTGGCGCAGCAGGTGGAGGAGGAGCACCGCTGCCAAATTACAAGAGGTATCCTAGAAGTTTCGAGGCTGCCTTGAGCGGGGACGCGTCAGGCGGCAATGATGCGAACTACGTCCGTGGAGCAGGCGCTAAAGGTGGTCCTATGATGAGAGTCTATTTTTGCTGTAGTCGTTGTTGTACTTACTTTCTTCATAGTTCTAGCAGGACAAGAAAAAGGGAGGGTTCTTCATTACTTAATCATGTAAATTCATCATCATGCTGCTCTAATTCTTCCACGAAAAAGGGTAAGAAAGTGAAGCACATACCAGTTGTGTCGGCAGCACACGACGCACAAGTGGACCGTCTGACGCAAGAGATTGAGGACTTCCTCGAAGCTCGCGCTGATGGCCGTGCGTCGCTCCCATCAGGTGATTAAGACAAGAAAAAAAGTTGGTAGATGAATAGGGTCGACATCGATGAGGTTTTCCACCTCGTTCTCTCAAATTATAAAGTTCTCGCGTTGTACCTGTACCAAGCAAATTATATTTAGTAGATTGGATGAAAACGAGTCATTAGCTCACTAGCAGTTTCTCTAAATTATTGAAGCACTCGATGACTAGCAGTTATTTCTCTAAAAAATTGTTGAAGCACTCGATGACTAGCAGTTATTTCTCTAAAAAATTGTTGAAGCACTCGATGATAGTGCTCCTGAACCCCCGGAATCGGCGGAAATCATAGCACGGACCGAGGAGCTAGTCCGACTCGCAGAGACTGCTCGCCAGGCTGTAGACAATGAGAGACGAAAGAAAGATATGGAGGAGGGAAAAATTGCACTGACAGCACAGTTCGACAAATTGGCTAAGATTCAAGTGAGAAAGGCAAAGGAGCCACTTTTTTGAGGGGTGTGTGTGAGTGCACTTTTTCCTTTCATAAACGAACAAGGTGGCCTGGTGCGGAACCGTAGGAACATGTTTAAGGGAGCAAAGGGAAAGGCTGAGGCAGGTGCTTCTGAATCCGAGGACGGAGAAGAGGATGGAACATCGACTAGCAACGTTTACAGAGGTGATACGAGTTGTACCGGCAACGTCACTGTTAAGGCTTCTGCTAATCCATCCCTTCTATAGGGATCCCTCAAACATATGCGCCCCAATACAAGGGACGAGATACTGACGCATCTGCTTGAAGGATTTCCACAGGGATCATGAGTAGGGGGGAGCTCTAACACGACTGGCGAAGAAACGGAGTCAACGGCGGGTGAAATTGATCTGCCTCACGCTGGTGAACCGCAAGACCCCCGGGTCGAAGAACAAGAACAAAGTAGAGATGATAGCAAGGATGAACAGGATGGGCTCCTTGAGGAATTTCTAAAGGGTGCAGAACGACTTGCAGCGTCAATGTCAAACGAGCTGGATAAATTTGAAGATTCGTCAAATAACGACGAAGATGGGCAAGAAGACGCTTCGGCTGGTGCGTCGGATGACGAAGATGAGCAGAGAAGCAAAAGTAGCAGCGACACCACGACATCCACAAGTACAACAGGTTTCAAAAATTCCAAAAAGTCTAGTTCGTCAATAAGTGCTACAGCTACTCAAAAAATCAAGGACGAGCTGAGGAAAAAACTGCCAGATCTGCATGCGAACAAGGACTTCGTCGTGCCTGTAGGTCTCACAGAGCCAGAACCGAAGGTTTTCCCGATCCCGAGTGACTTCGCACTTTTGGGTGATGTACAGGATCCGAGTGATCCTGTAGTGGAGGCTTTCCGACCTTTTGACTCGTGGAAGCTTGAAAAGCAGAAACGAGACGAAGAAGAACAGAAAGATTACGGCTTACCGATGAAATTCATCTTGTTGAGAATCTCATCTTCATCTTTCTTGGCCCCTTCTTTCATATTATTAATTTTGTTGAAGGGGAGGAAATATTAATTAAACTCGTATAATTAGACAGATGATGAGTGTCAAGATGAATTTACAACTAGGTATATTAATTAGAGCTTCTAAGAAGAGCGTTTATTTCGAGAAGCAAGAGCAAAACTTGAAGAAATTCGGGTAGAGCGTGGCGACCTCGATTTTTCGAATTTCCTTGGTGCTGAGGAGCCCTCTATGAGCGGAGGAGGTGACGTCGATTTTTCTACACTGATGAATACGAGCAAAGCAGCGACAGAGCTCATGTTGAACATGAAAGCGAGCAGCACATCAATGGCGGCCGCGGAGAAGAACAGCAGCACAAGGAGCGGCGGAGCGGCGGGTGCGAGGAGTTGTAGGGCAGCTTTGTCAACAACAAGGACGTCGACGTCCACTTCTAGAAGGAACTCTGGCTCAGCAGGCACTGTGTATGGGAACACGTTGTCGGCGACGGCTAGCGCAGTGAGGACAGCAGTAGACGGAAGGGATCACTGCCTTAGAGGTGGTGGTAGTAGTAGGAGAGTGCAGGAGCATAAAGGTAGTAGTACTAGTAGTCGGGATCATGGTACTAGTATCTTCCGGGAGGTGGACCAACACCACGGTGTGGGCCACGGCGCGGGGCAGTCTTCGACACTAGGTGGCGCAGGAGCGCAGATCATGGAGAGCTCAGCAGGGTTCACGATAATGCGTGTACCTGGTACAGACCCTCGCAACCGCAACCTCGAGACCGACTCATCAATGGCAATACATCATGATCAGAATAATGGAGAGGATGGGGCTGTCTTGTTCATGCAGGACAATTATTAAGGCTACCAAGCGAGCATCCTCGTCAACATCATCCCTGCCTCATTTAAAATGGAGGAAAATGGATCCAGGGATGGTCTCAGGGATGCACGTTGGTAGCTCTAAGATTATGCTGGTCGTAAGAGAACACCTGGAGTGGATGGGCACAAACGAAGAGATGACCACGAGCGGTTCTTCGACAGCAGCTCTCGGCAAGACGAAGCAGCTCTCAGCGAGGGGATCCCCCATATTGATCAATTGTGTGATGGATACCGACATATGAAAACAGCGAGCTGCTCTCGTACTACGTTGACATCGAATATTAAGGACAAGAACGACGTATTATCAAGGACTTCATCGAAGGAACACCAGAATAGAAGTAGTAGTACGAGTAGAGGACAGGCGCGATCTGGAGGTAGTGCAGCAAGCGGATCTTCTCTCGGTGGAAATAGTATGGGAGCTGCTGCTGCAAGCTCATCTTCAAAGGGAAGAAACCAGTCAAGAGCTGGTGGTTCCAGTACAACAAGTGACACCTTGGCAACTACAGCCTTGTCCTCAAGAAATCGCAAGGCCTCGAAAGCTGCATCGGAGATCGAGGCCGCTCCCGTGAACAGCAGCGTGCAGCGGTTCTACGAAGCTGTGCGGTTTGGGAACGTAAACGTGGTTCGCATCATGTTGAACGAGATATCGGGACACTTGAAAGTGGACGAATACTCACGAATGTTAAGGCTAGAAACCACGGGATATCTTTCCGTTGCATCCTAATTAATTCCTGAGACAGTTGTACCTCCTGCTAGATAAATGAATGAATGAATGAATGAATGAATGAATGAATGAATGAGCGCCATCCTCGGCCTCCTTTTCACGTCGGGGAAAAGCGGCGCAAGGATGCACTGAGGAACTACGCTCCTAACGCAAAGAGAGCTACTCTAAGAATGGCGGCTGCGAGTGAGGCGATCTTTGCTGGTGTGGAAGCACAGAAGGGTTACGCGATGACGGAATTCCTTCTACGCAACGGCTTCAATCCCAACGTTCGCGCCGGGGCCAACGCGGGAGGGGCAGCAGTTATGAAGAGACTTAAGTACTTTTTTTTGCTGTGAATAGGAGGCTCACTCTAGTACTATTTTTAAATCTTTTTCCTTTGGAATTCTTTGACGTGATCAGCACTAAAACTAATGGTTGTTCCTCTATTATACTATTTTTAAAATGAATCAAAAATCTCGTCTTTCTGCTCTATCTCTAATGATATAAAAGTCCAGACGAATCCGAAAAATACAAGGGGAACAAAAGAGACAAACAGCCTACTTGGGATGGTCACACCAGGAGAGACACCGATCATCACATGTGTCAAAAAAAAAATACGTCATGGTATTAAGGCTCAGCTTTCAATGGTCACCATTGAGATTGGAGTCACTGAGATCGAAGAAGCGACCCCCCCTTGAGAGGAGAACAGGGGAAAAGGAAGGGAAAGCTTTGGAGGGGGTCTCTTCCGTTCAGCATCATGATGACCATTGAATGCTGAGCTTTAATGGTACCAACAGTGCATGGACAAGTGACCGGGATTCACTTGGAATTCTGAAACTCCTAGTCGCACACGCAGCCGATGTCAACGCGCGATGCAGTCTCACAGGCAGAACTGCTCTCTGGTATGCGGGAAAGTTCAACAATAGGGTACTATTGAAAGTTCACAACCGGTTCGTTTTCCTTTTCCCTCTATAACTATCTCGTAGATTTAATTATCCCTTCAAAATCTCGATCATGTCTTTTTTAGTTTGTAGAGATTCTTGTAGTGAAGATAAGGTTCTTAAGGTCCTCTAGAGGATAGCAATGGCATCCACTTTTATAACAAACATCAAAGATGACGATGAGGAGCAAATTTCCTATTCCCATCTTCAGCCTGCAGTAGAAGCGCTACTAGAGTTGGGCGCGGACCCCAGAATACCCGATCGGCGACAGCATATGCCTGGCGATGTGACGACGAACAGTGAAGTAGATGTGCTTCTACAGCGTGCGCTTGCGAAGTGGCAGCAAAGCCAAGTTTTTCGCGTGGCTGCTAAGAAAGCTGCTCAAGATGTTGCGGGTGGTGCGTCTATGTTGTCGTCGACGGCAGGGAATACCCGTGGAGAAGGTGGTGGCTATGTCTCACATCATGTCTTTATCTAATTAAGTACAACTTGTGTAGCTGTCTAGAAACAATTTCAATTAGATATTCATCTAATTCTTCTTACCTTTTTTTCGTCACCATCGATCTATCATTAGCAGCTTAGTGACTCGCACCATAAATGAGCGCAAGATTCCACCACGTCGTCCCAGTCCCCATTTTCATTGTTGCCGAGAACGTAGTGCTAGAGGTGCTGCAAATACGACAGGAGCACACACTTCCGACTCCCTGGATGAGGATTCATCAGCTGTCTCACGCAGCACATCAGATACGCGAAAAGATACACATAATCTTCCTGGTTTGGCACCTGTTTTCGACCTCGAGTGCGAGATCTTACTCCGAGAGCGACGTGTAGAGGACCTTCGAAATCGGAAGGGCATCAAAATTGTCGACTTCCCTGAACATGCACCGATTTGCATTGTGAAAGTGATGCGAGACGATATTGCGGGACTTGATTATGATTTAGTTTTCGGTACTTCTTCCGTCACCGTCACGATGAAGATAGGTAACTAATATCTCGACTTCTTCTATAGTGCTAATTTCGTAAGAATCTCCCCGGTCCTCTCTTCTACTTCACGTCGGGAAGATCTCGACACTTCTTTTCCCTCCATCTCTCTAATCTTCAGCACTCTGCACGTGTGCTATGGAGAGATCACCTCCTCCTTATCTTTTTCCTTATCTTTTTTGACTGTATCGTTATTTTTCCTATCCTCTTCAATTTCAAGAATAGTTGGTCCTAAAAAGATGCATCGGTTTTTGAAAAAGATGGATCGGTTTTGAAAAAGATTATAGAGAATTCTTGTTCTTTGTTCTTGTTCTCTTCATTGTTCTTTGTTCTTGTTCTCCTCTTTGTTCTTTGTTCTTTGTTCTTGTTCTCTTCTTTGTTCTTTGTTCTACCAAAAAAAATAGGCTTACTCCATCTCTTGTTCTAATCTTCAGCACTCTGCACGTGTGAGGTATCGAAAGAGAAATTTGTGGTGCGTGGTCCGTCAGGTGAGCTGCTAGTGGATAGACGTGGAGGACGGGTGGCGGCTTTGCGGGAACAGGACCTAGAATTCTAGCGCATTTAGAAGATGCGGGTTGGCGGACCTCCTACCTTTCCTCCTGGGCATCATTTGGTTTCGGATGAAGAACCGCCAGTCGTGATGAAGAACCGCCAGTGGCCAGTACAACAATGTTTTGGTGCAAAGAAAATGAGGGGTGATGTGGGAAATATATTTTGGACATCATCTAACAGTTAGTACGTTGCTGGAAATTATCGGGGGATGTGTAACACGAAAAACACTAAGAATGAAAGCCAACATACTGTAGATGAGAAGAAGCAAATTTAACACGCTCGTTGTTGTTGTTTCCATTTTTTTCAACAGTAGGTGCTAAAGCGAATAAAGCCATGACTGCGAGGACTTTCTTCATTGTTAAATCCTGAACAAGCAAGAAGTGCAAGAGAAAATCCATTCTGCACCTGCATATGCAGAGAACAAGCACCTCCAATTAAATATTATTGCAACGCATTTCCACCATTGACAAAGCATGGTTGAAAAGGTATTTTTGCATTCCAAACGAAAACTACAAATGAATCGTTCAGCATGTTGGGCTGGATACTAATATTTGGCCGCGTTAGAAAGAGAAATTCTTGAGTATCTTGAGGTTTCTTAGAGGTATCTTGAGGTTTCTTAGAGGACAGCACGACTGGAGGTGTACGTGTATGTGTTCGTTGCGGCAGGACATCGTCAGAGGTGAACCCGGTCTACAAATATCAACAGTGTTTCGAAGTCCTTTCTGTAGTCACCTACATGTTCCTGATTCAGCCTGATTCAATGTTGAGTCGACAGCTGCTCCTTCTTGAGATAGAAAATCTCTTCGAGGAGTCTACTTCATGAGATCTAGTATATTAATTCCATCGCGTACGCGTTCTCCAAGTTGTCTCATTTCAAAAAGAAGAACAAATAGCTCTCCAGAATCACTACCTCTTGTCAGGTTATTCAATCAATCAATTTCAAGCGTAGTAGTTTCGGATCGTTTACTAGCAGGACTACTCTTAAATAATTTATGAAGCCGGACTAAGCAGATTGTCTCCTGCTACTCCTCATTTATCTGATTGAAAAGTAATAAGATGGCAATGGCGTGTCATGATTGCACTTGCTCAGTTGTCCTTTCCGTAGTGTCCTCACACTTCCTTTCTTGCTCAGTTGTCCTTTCCGCAGTGTCCTCACACTTCCTTTCTTGCTCAGTTGTCCTTTCCGCAGTGTCCTCACACTTCCTTTCTTGCTCAGTTGTCCTTTCCGCAGTGTCCTCACACTTCCTTTCTTGCTCAGTTGTCCTTTCCGCAGTGTCCTCACACTTCCTTTCTTGCTCAGTTGTCCTTTCCGCAGTGTCCTCACACTTCCTTTCTTGCTCAGTTGTCCTTTCCGCAGTGTCCTCACACTTCCTTTCTTGCTCAGTTGTCCTTTCCGCAGTGTCCTCGCACTTGCTTTCTAAGTGAGGAATAGCGTACTGTGGCAGGATCGCGCTCGTAAAAGACCGACGCCGTTTTTCGCTAGATGTCTGTCGTGATCGGACGTTGTACCGCACTGGCATGAAGAACAAGATAGGATCATTAAGAATATGAGTAACTAGATTTCTGGTTTCGGACGAATCGTATCTGAGTCCCGCAGCATTACCTTCAGAACGCCTCGAACAGCACGAGGTAGTAGACCTTAGTTACATATATTCAGAACTACTTATATTGGATGGATGGCCATATGGTGTCGTGGCCGTGGTTTTATCAAAACTACAGTTACATTTAATATTGAAATAGTATATGAGCTTGGAGGCATCGTTCTTCTGATGATGTTTTGTGCTCTACTTCTATCGTTCTTAGTGATGAGAAACGTTAATGGCCTGTACAATTTAACAAGCACTTTCTAGAAGGGTGGATCGATTGAGAAAGCACATGAGGAGATGCAAGAAGGGAGTTAAAAAATCTTTATCTTAGAGTAACCAAAAAGACGCAAAACAAGTAGGGGGAAAAACTACTAATCAATAATTGGGGTTTTTAGTTTCTGCTCTTCAAACTGCTAAGATGAAAGAAGGACGCATGCAATAATTAAGTTATATGTCGTAGGCCTCAAAAGATACCTCCAGAACAGGTAAATGAATGAATGAGTTAAAACTCATTTACTTATAATACATACAACAAGTATCTCGTCGGTTAACTTTGCTCGTCTGTTAAGTTCTCTTTTAATTTCTTAAAACTTTTCACTGTCTCGTCGAGGAATAATAGACTGAATAAGTTGTACTTATATGAAAAGTAATAAGTGCAAAGTTCTTGTCTCTTCTTAGTTTTTGTGGGTAGATCCACAAACAAATGTGTCAAAAGGAGAATAACACGCGTCAACTTTTGCTGCAGTAGTCAAATTCTAACTAATCAAGTTCACATAACTTAAGTTGTCCAGGAATTATCTAATTATAGTTTTCAATTTCAAAGGAAGTGACTCACTGCCAGAAAGGATCGCGCGGTAGCGATTAATGCAATACCGCTAGTTAGGCCCATGCACTCATTCGCTCACTCTAAAGTTTCCAAGCTCCATTCTCTTTCAAAATGGTTTCCGTCTACTATGATGACGTCCTTTGGAATAACAAAAAAGTCTTAATATAGTACAGCGGAGTAAGTATTTCTTGGAAGGAACCTGAAGTTTTTTACTGTAGTTGGAAAAGGGAGGAGAAGAACTACATCAACATTCTCGAAGATCGCTACAATTACAACAAAGACAAACGAATCAGTTGTAGTACAACAGCTCTTGGAGGTAGACAACAGAACAAAGAAGACAACCCCTACTTTTGCGAGTCATTCAGTGATATCCCTTAGAACAAAGAAGACAACCCCTACTTTTACGAGTCATTCAGTGATATCCCTTAGAACAAAGAAGACAACCCCTACTTTTACGAGTCCTCATTACTAACAGTACTAGAGTAGAAGTAGACTTTTTTATTGACTGTGCTGTTATTCTCATCTCCGGGCGGACGACAGCAAAAGGATGGCGAGGACGTATCGCGCGCATGACCAGGCATCCTTTGCCACGACCACTTTTTGGGGGCGTCGATATGCAGTGCTCTTGGTATTATGAAGCTTATTGCGAATATTATTGGTAGAAGTGGGAAGTCATGCGTTTTTGACTGGAAGAGAACTATTTACCCTGTAACACCAATCTTGAATCTTTTAGTGGAAAACTTCGTTTGCTTTTATTTTCGTCTCTTGTTTTTCTTCTTTCTGTCTTTTGCATCCTAATTAAGTCTTGACCTCGTGCCTCATGCTAGGTGAGTCAATCAATCAATCAATACCCCGAGAAGGAAAAGGAGAGAAGATGAAAAAGAAGAAGAAGAAGATGAAGAACTAATAGTTCTCCCACACCAACCTCTTGTCAGGCATATCAATCAATCAATCAATCAGTGAATCGATCTACATCGCCGTGCCCTTCATCCACTTCCCCATCAAAGAAGATCCTAAGTAATATCCTATTCCCTAAGTAAGTTGCTCGCTCTAAGACTGTCGTGCTGTGCAGTCTTGCAGTGCCAAGCAACTCATTGGGAGCCCCCTCCTCCGACTCAATGGATGAACTACCCTGCGGTACAACGTCGAAGCGCAGACGTTGCGGGACGTGGTGAACTGCAACAAGATGCCGGAAATGTATTTATCTTCTGGTTTTTTCTTTCTTACCTACAACTGCAGGTCGCTTTTCTTTCTTACTGTAAGGTCGCTAATTGTTCTTACTGTAAGAATCTTACAACTGCAGGTCGCTTTTCTTTCTGGCCATCCAGATGAGGGGCCAGATTTGTTCTTAAACCATTATGGTGCACGCGAGCTGCGAGAGAATGCGGTGGCGAATGGCGCCCCACTTCGTGACCTTCTGAGACCTGACAGGAGCATTAAGTGTAGGTTAAAGGTGTTCCCGTTACCGTTCGTTTTGCCTTTCTGAAGGGGGAAAGGCATCACGAACGGCGTAAATGAACACCAAAAGCCTATCTCTAAGAATAGGACACCATTGCAGCAGCAGAATTTTCTTCGTCGTGTGTTAAGGCTAGTGAAGTAGTAGTAGTAAGCTAAGCACAACCACAAGTAGGCTCTATTTCTTTATTTTTATCGTCTTCAAGCTCAAGCACAACAGCCATTCCAATGATGAAGCAAGAGACAATTTTTATTGATGCGTGGTCGTGTGGCTCTACTACTTCCTCGTGGCTGTATGGTTCTGGTATTTGGTAACCTGAATTTGATCCTAAGGGTTCTCTTCTTGTTTTCCCTTAGGATCAAACTCAGGCTACCAAATACCAGAACCATTCAGTGGCAGCACACGAATGAATCCTTTAACGAATGAATCAAATCAAAGCTTGACGAGTGCCTCCATGGTGCCTGGTGCGGGCTTTCTGGTCACCGGAGTTCATCTCTTACCAGTTATTGTTAAGGGTAGGTTAAAGGTGCTTTTGATGTTACCGTTTGTTATAGCTCTTGTTCTAAGGGGGGGACGGGGAGGGGGACAGCCATGATAACAAGCGGGAGAACCCACGAACACCAAAAGCCTACCTCTAATGTTGCTGCACCCACTGCGCCAGTTCCGGTTCCCACTACATTCACGCCAGTCATTGCTACATCCACATCCACTTCGCCAGTTCCCACCACTTCACCAGTTCCCACCACTTCGCCAGTTCATCTACACGCGCTACATCCTCCTGATTTTGTTTCCGCCTCAGCTTGTTGTAACGCTGGTTCGATATTTCAATTTCTGCCTTTAGTCGAGCACAGTCGTGGGTCATATACTATGATGCCCGACCACAGCACCATGGGCTGCATGGCCGAGAACATGATGACCGTACCTCCATTTGTTCCATACCTAGTAGAACAAGATGCACCAGCACGACGAGGACCAGCAAGTGCAACTACTAAAATTAAGGCTACAGAAGTAAATGCATCTTCCCTGGCATCTTGGTCTCGTTTCTCAAGGGATGAAAACGGGAACCAGGATGCTCACCAAGATGGATTTATGCTAGGTCTAATAAAAGTGTAAGTGATATGTTCTTGCCACTGAGACCTACACCAGCTACAAGTACAACGATGCCTTCTGGTGCCTCTCATCCCGAGGATCGTGTTGAACAACTGAAAGCACAGTTGGGAATTGGTGAGATGCAACAGAAAACGATCGACCGCATAGTAGCTTTCCAACAACATTGTGAAGATTTGGTGCATGTTAAGGCTCGTAGTCGTGAGAACAATTATTTCCCTTGTTGACCTCAAGTTCAACCCTTTCCCATAGAAACAAAAGGTTAAAAAATAAAAAGAAAGGGAAGTCGTGCAACAATTAAGTCCGGCGAACAACCTCTTGCTAGGTAAATGAATGAATGAATGAACCCGCCGCGTGCTTGATGCCATGTGAACTAATATGCTGAGAGTAGAATTCGCGGGGACTTTCAACTTCAAGCGACAGTTGTTGATGTAGAAAGGGAGTCTGCTCAACCACAGATGATTCTCGCCTAGTACAACCTTTAATTATGGCGGTCCCAATAGTCGTGGAGGAGGTAGCAATTATCATCCGGTGAGACAATCTGTCGCTTCTCGTGGTAGCTGCAATGATCCAGCGAAATCCTACGACCAACATCCAGCAGGTATCGCTTCTCGTGGTAGCTGCAATGATCCAGCGAAATCCTACGACCTCCACCATCGTGATCAACAGCTGAGTGCAGAGGAAAACACATCCAGGCGAGGACAGAAAACAGTGGACCACACAATAAGCCAGCTACGACGCCTCGACTTTCTTGCAGCACATCAGAACAACTACAACGAGGAAAGACGAACAGGAGGGACCTCCGCTAGTAGCGGAAGCAAGGATCCACCCAATCATGTTGGGTGCCCTAGTGTTCACTTGCCGACTCCTTTTAAGGCGAGTGCACTAGAGAAACCATTTATTCAATGAGTAATAATATCTTGAGACTTCTACTAGAAGTACTTACGTCGGGTGGCCAGGACCGCTGAATGTTCACGTCAACTCGAAAACTGAAAATACGGGAGTAGCTGACTGAAATATCCGAGTTGTATCTGAGAAGATTATAACTAGGCTAATTTTAGTAAAAAAAATTTTCTAATCTCCTCGATAAGGATGTGAATACATCTCCTTCCGCTCCGGCGACTGCAAGGTCTCCAAAGTCGCGGACCCGAAAGCGAAAGATGGGGCGGAGGCCCGATCCTCAGGAGAAAAATTTGAAATACAAGGTAAAAGGGGGCAAGATCATGAGGTGGGGACGACCGAGATGCATTCTAGCACGACACGCTAAAATATGTCAAGAAAAACATCGAGATCGAGAAGGAATTAGATCAGGAGCACGCGAGACCGCTGAAACAGCGCAAGAGTTTGCTGCGCCAGCACTAGAAGAGGGGCCTGCACTAGAGGGTGAAGCAGATGAGCAGAAGAAAAAGCTGACTTCTGAGGTAAGAACGGAACCAGCAGCACATCAGTCGCCATCTCCGGTGCGCTGTGGTCAGCATCAGGGACGTCGAGAGGCACAACAAGTGTTTGGTCAAGAAGAGCGAGAACAGCTCGCCGCAGCAGAAGGAGCACCACTCGTGGGACGAGGTCCCGCACAAGAACAGCTCGCCACACAGCTCGCCACAGCAGGAGGAACGACGAGACCTTGTGCAGCTTCTACACGAGGTCCAGCACACAAAGAGACTTTAAGGCTTCCCGTAATTCATTTTAGGGACGAAACAGTTTCAGGATGAATCTTAAGATAGAAGATTTGCGTGAGTCTGAGTTCTAATAACAATTGCTAAACAACAAGATGAAGATCGTCCTGTGAATGAAGATCGCGCTTTGCTGGGAACAGCAATGAGACAAACTTTGGGAGGAGGCAGTAGCGACAACGAATCTCTTTTAGAACGGTTTTTCGCGCTTGGCGTCCGCGGTATCCTGCCAGCAAACGCTGGTGATTTGGACGACGCCACTCTGGCTGATCTGTTTCGCCGCATCTTTAATTCCGCTCCCGGCTCCCTGATTGCCGCTTTTAATCGTGGGGAAGAGATCGTTGGCGTGGATTCCGCTGTAGTTAAGGCTTCTACCGCTGAACAAGCATGTCCTTAAGACCTCATCACCTCCAGGACACTTTTCCAAGTTGAAAAAGATGGACGAGATGAAGCTCTACTTCTAACACTGGAGGCGTAAATACTAACACCACCACTGGCGCGATTGGAGGAGGGGCTGTCACCACCGCTGGCGCGATTGGAGGAGGGGCTGTCGTATCAGATCCCGAAGCACCTACCTGCGCCTTGCGCGATCTTCTGTTAAGGCTCCTTCATGATCATCTGAAATATTACTTACCATCTATTAACTAAAAGTACTTAAAAAGTATCCACCTCTTGGTCCAAGGAAGGGTTATTTATACTTATACATAGATAGGAGTAATTCTTGACTAGTAGTAAGTTGCTGTACCAAGATACCTGAACAGCAGTATCTTGAAGATCTTGGAAGGATTCATCTTTTGAAGGGGGAAATGTTGAAGCATCTTCTTGTTCTCACCTTGGAAGACACCAAGAACAAGAAGATGCTTCCCAGGTGAGGAGGACGAATCCATGTGGATGAGATCTAACTCTTGGCACAGTGCTGCAGAAACGTGCCCGTGAGCTGGCGGTTGAGACCTACACCGCGCCGAGAGAGACGCCCCGCATTCGGGACATGAACGCAAAGGTGGCCAGTCAGATCATGACTGATAAGCTTCGCGCAGCGTTAAGGGCAGCTTTTGTTCATTCCCATCTTTCTGGGAACCTCTTGGATGCCTTTTGCGTTGAATAAATATGTATTTTCATGAAATTATACAAGGGGAAAGAGGTCGGGGTTGGGAGTTGGTATAAACAAAAGCTGACTCCTCGTCTAACACCGGGGTACAAATTGGGAGAGCTTGTAGAGCATCCGTGTAGGCCTAGGTGGAGGGACCCGAGGCAGCATGTGCTGCACCAACATGATACCTTGCTGCGTGAGGCGCCTCAGTTGCTGGAGAAGCTACCCCAATTTTCGTTAAGGCTTTCAGTATTTTTGGCGCATGGGCATTTGCGTCTGCCTCTATGTACTTACTATGTATTTCTTCAGGTTCTTTGAAAAATTGAATTTGCATGCAGGATGAGGAGCTAAAGCTGTGGACCCATCTTCTAATGAAATGGTTTCAAGTTTTGACGTGTGCCACCTAATTAAAGAACTTATACCCCATGAGTGGGCACATCTATCTATCTATCTATCTATCTACTATTATAATATATAATAATCGCCCACCACGGACGACACTAACACTATTATAATCTTCGCTTAAAAACTTGAAGAACAAAGTAGCATGGAAAACGAAAACTTTTTAAGCACGTTTATTTTTCGTTCCTCTAAAAACTCCCCGGAAAGATATCGACTTAGAAGCCCTGAGCAGCAGTTGCCATAAGGATGTGGAACAACATTTTGAAGAAGAATGTCAAGAAAATCCTCCAGATGTTTTCTGTCCTAAAAATACAAAGAGTACTTCATCTACTACGGGAGGACTGGCGCCAAGAACACGCGGGCGAGTGGACAGCCGGAACGACCGGAAGTCAACCTCCAAATTAAGGCTCAACTTTCAATGGTCACCATGTAGATTGCCAAATAAATGAGATCGAAGAGGCGACCCCTTGAGAGAACAGGACGAGAAACGAAGGGAAACAAGGGGAGAGCTTTGCTTTGAAGGGGGTCTCTTCCGTTCCGAGTCAGTGACCGTTGCTTTAATGGAAGAACTGCGCGTGTACAGAGAGCCCGCTGCTTGCGCGAGGACGAAAGCGATGCAGGTAGCCTTGAATTAAGGCTCAATGCAATTCATTTCTACAACAACACGTTAGCCAGAAGTTAAGTACTTCTGCCTATAATAATAATTGTTCCTTTGATGTTTCTTCGGATATATATATCATGTACCAGGGAGGGAGGCCCCCCCCTGTTAATTCGGCGGGAGAAACGCAGGCAAGATCAAGAACTTCTTGAGCTTGATTTTTTTGAGCTCTAATTGAAGCACGAAGCGACTCCATCTCCGAATAGTGCGGAAAAGTGCGCACGTGTATCGAAGATCTCCTCGTCTCAGGAAGTGCTGGGATTGGAGAAGGACTGGACTGAGGATTTTCTTCCTGCAATTACGGGCACCGGCGCCAGTCCATCTTTTACAGCATCTTGATAAATCTTTTTATTTAACAGCTGGGAAATCTTAGGCAGCTCGCCGAATAGATTCAATTCATCAAATCATTGAGTTTACACCTTACTATAATCGCCAATACTAATGGTTGTTCCTTAACAGCCGCCGTTTCCTACTTGAAAAAAGTTAAAAGAGGTTCAAAAAGACGGGCGAGGAGAAGGATCTTCAACCTCTAATGCAAGTGCTGGTAGGAGAGAACGGAGCGCGGCACACCACATAGGACAGTTCGACGAACAGAACCCCCCACGTGAATCCGCCATGGCTATAGAGTTAAGACTTAAAAGTAGTAGACGCCCGCTAGTCCACCTCGTCGATTCTGTGGATCCCTCAAGTACATTTAGACTTTTACATCTCGTAGGTCTAAAAATAGAGGAGCCGCAACAACAGGAGCAAGGTCAGTCCGTTCAATGGAGCAGATCGTCGATGACCCATGCAGGAGTACTAGGTGGTGGATCATGTGAACGTCCTGGTCGAGGCTCTGGAAGTGGAGGAGAAGGATCTGGACGAGGAGGAGGAGTTGCATGTCAACAACAACAACGAGGAGGAGGAGTTGCATGTCAACAACAACAACAGCAACAACAGCTAGGAAGTCGAGATCAGAGTCATGATCTGGTTGATCCTCGACATGCTTTTGATGTGGTGGATATCGATGCGTTGATGTCGAAAAGTGCTGGACCACATCAGCTCAAAACTTGCAAAGTAAAAACATCTTCTCAAACTACAGCCAGAACTGTATACACGGCGTCCGCGGTTCAACACAAGCAGCATAGTACTGCAAAGTGGGAAGATGGAGACCTGCTTTTTGTTCATCCTATGGCTCAAGGAGGATGAGGAGGTGAAGCTGGGTCGGGACAATGCCGACAATAGTGGTAGATGGAAAATTTTGATTTTCATGTGTACCATAGCAGAAGCAGATGGGAATTTGATTATCGTGTATGAGTATGAGGAAGTGAAGCAGCTTTTATTTGATACTGGTGGGTAGTGATGAATAGAAAGTGAACCATATCGTGTGCAGGGAGGACCTACTTACCAAAGACTTTCTGATTTATACTTTTATAATATAATTAGTTATAGTACTCTCTAATTAAGGCTCATAGAAAAACATATTATTTATTTGCTGTCTGATTTAAATCTCAGTGGTAGTTTTTGCTATGCCTCCTATACATAGAAAAACATATTATTTTGCTGATCAAAATCTCATTGGATTAGACTAGATCGGTGTCGTGGTCTGTCTTGCCTATGTCGTCGGTTTCGATGTTCTGACGCTTCTCATTTTCCTCATACTGTTATTTTTAGAATTAGTTGTACTTATAGGATACCAATCATCTTCATGCTGGATAATAAGTTGCCATCATCTGCTAATTAAGCTTTGATGAGTTCGTTGTGCATCAAAATTAACTGCCAGCTTTCTATTCTTCGTGTCTCAGGATGGCTCCTAAAATATTGTGATTTGATGTGGGGGAAGATGATATCACTCAAGACTGCCATAGTACTGGCATAGTACTGCCATAGTAAAGCCATAGTACTACTGCCATAGTACTGCGGTAGTTACCACCGGTGGTCACGAATAGCCATATTATCAGGAGTGGTTAGACCAGGATTTTTCTCGTTGCAACACGTAGATTTTTTTTTTCTAAATGCGTCTGGAGGAAGATGATTATTCTAGTGGTAGTAGTGGTAGTAGAGAGGGATGAGCTGGACGATCTTGGATCATGCGTGAGAGTTTCTTGTGTACCTTCTACCACTTAGGCACATCATCTATGTCGCGATTTTTTCCATTGTCTGGATTTTCTTGTGTTTTTGTTCGCCTAGGGCTATGAATGTATGTTATTCTATGATTTTTCTTTTCAGCAATATAATTATGCCCTCGTTAAATTTGTTTCTTCTAGGGGGTAAAACCGAGAAGATCCACATCTTCCCGTGCCAGCGGGTACGACAGGGTGGTAGAAATACCAGATCCGCTTCTAGATGTAGTTCAACCACATCTAGAAGTAGATCTGGCAGTGGCTTTTCCTTGTGTACTGTACTCCTACGTATTACAGGTACATCCGCACATGAGGAAGCAGTAACCTAAGCGCTAGTAACACTGAATAAAAGTACTAAAAATATGTAATACGTGTTCAACTAGAAAAAACAAAAATAAGAGGAGAGCCAAAAAACAAGAAACATCAAAAGCTTGATCCGATCATTACTACAGGAGCAAGGGATTAAAGGAATGAAATTAGTGATCAGGAGCCAGAGGGCTGCGGCCTGCCTCACTCATGTGAATCACGCGAGTGAGTAAATCAATATGAATGACGAGTTTAGTTTGCTACTTAAAGGGCGACTGCCAAGTAGAGTATCGCTATCGTTTTGTTGATAGGGTTGCAACGAACAATACAGCAGCGACGAGGCCTGGAGTCCTCCTTTAATAGGTCGAAAACTTCGCACTCGCACAGGACGAGATGATCATCTCGAGTAGGCCTCTAAGGAGAAGACCGCCACCAAGTAGCTCCACAACTCCACTCTTGTAACAACCACCCTCCAGTCCACTTCTATTCCTGTACGGAAGTAGCAAACTGGTATGACGCCCACAGCTATATACTTCGCAAGTGTATAAAAAATTTTCAGGGCCCTGCCAGCCCCTCCTTTGTGCCTCCTCTCAAACCCGCGCTCGGTGTGCGTACCGCGCGAGACAATCAAAAGCGAGATGCAAAACGCAGCAGCATGCGCGAAGCCAGTGAGTAACAACCACCCTCCAGTTTGCTACTTCCGTACAGGAATAGAAGTGGACTGGAGGAGAGGCAGATTTTAGCACTATTAAATATTTTGTTATCATCTACTCATAAAAAAATAACATCTTTTCGATTTCGTTTTCGTGGACCGACTACACAGGTGGATCAGTGCCGACGCCGTCGAGTGTTTGTTGCCCACGATTCATTGTTCATCAGAATTTCGAAAAAAACAAATAGAGAATATTGAAGTAGGATGCTAAGTACATCCATGTCCATCCCTTCCGTCTTATAATTGTTCAGCCTGATACATAAACATAAGTGAGGACGCCAACGCTTAAACCACCAAGCATAAGCCCCCAACTCGTGTTATCTAAATCTTGGGACTACAAAAGCTCATGCTGGAAGAAGTAGAAGAACTGGAAACTGGGAGACAAAAAAGATGAATCAAACGAGCGTGGGCGTGACGGAATGATCAATTGTGGCGTTCTGGATGAATCTTCAAGGACGAATCAACTTACTACACTGATGGTTGGGGTTTTCATTTTCGAGGAATCAGCTATGCTGATGGAGTTTTGCAGCAATCACGAATCTATTTGAGTTTTTAAGCGGCCAGGAGAGTTCTGCTAAAGTAGCCATGCAAATAACAATAAGTGGCAAACAACCCCGTTGCCGCACTAGGGCTAACCCGGCGAGCGTCAACAAAGAACCGGCACTGTTGAAATTGAAAGAGGAAATATCATGATACATGAAAAGGCGGAATATTGACAATAATGCTTGACCTTTGTATTTAGCTGTACCGCACGAAAGCATAATAGGGTACACGTAAAAAAAATGAGTAGAACAAGAGAACCACCAGCATCATCATGGAATAGTAGAGCATCATCTTCAGAGAACAGAATTGAGCGGGAAATAATGATTAACACATCCATGTCTTCTTTCCCATTGTTGAGAAATGATTGGCGTAAAAGTTGATTCATTCAATTTTAGGAGTAAAGGGGAAAAAAATGTGGCCGCGGAGTAGTGTTTCTCGCTATCTGAGTCGACCACGCCTCGCGAAGCAGTCGGCTCCTGATTTTTGGAACCTGAACAGGAACCTGAACAAGAGACAACTCCAGTGGTCAGCACCAAAACTACAGTCCAAACAGGAGTCGCCAAAACAGGACCTCTTGTCCTGCAAGAAACAGGAGCGCAATTATGCGTCCTCGCAGCGGCCCACGGTCGTGTCGAAGTCGAGAAAGACAGTCGCCATAGTAGGCTCTGGTCCCGCAGGCTTCTACACTGCAAAGTACCTCCTCAGTACGTCAGCAGCAGTGGACGTGCACATGTACGATGTATGCCCAAAATTTGCTTCGAAAACTCAAAATTATAAACGAGTTACTGACTGAAATAAGGGAGGCGGTAGCTTAGCATCAACATGAGTACGAGTGGCTGAGCGGCCTCGTCTATAACGTCGTTAGAAAAGACGTAGAACGAGGTATCATGATGGACCCCGGAGTCTATTGTGGGGTGATTCACTAAGTCTAGTGGTTGCACATGAGTACGGTTTAGTATGCATGCAAATGGTAATGCAGAAGCAGGAGTAGGCTCACTAATATTGCAAGGACTTCCTACTTCTTCCTAGCTCTCATATTGCACAGCACTTTCCATTTCTGCTCCGCTACTAGTGTATCTTCATCTAGATCTTGGCAGATGCAGCCTCATCTAGATCTTGGCATGCAAGTAGCATCCTATTTTTCTTTTACGTGAGGTACTTCTAGCGTCGATCATCAGCATGTGGTAGTCCACTGCTATCCTCATATCCTATTCTATCCTATTCTATCCTATTCTATCCTATTCTATCCTATTCTATCCTATTCTATCCTATTCTATCCTATTCTATCCTATTCTATCCTATTCTATCCTAACCCCTTTCATGCCCTCAATGGATCACACCGTTTGGTCTTGTGCGGTATGGCGTAGCCCCAGATCATCCAGAGGTAAAAAATGTCATTAACGATTTCGAGCAGGTCGTAGCGAAGAGCAGCAATGCCGGTGCTGGTGGCTCAGCACACGCAGGAGGTGGATCCGCAGCACCGCGTTTTCAGTACTTTGGAAATTAGGGCTCCTCACGACTAGACGATGACGAGTACGTAGTTCATCTCCAAAGCGTATTTTTCTCAGGTTCGTTTGTTGTTCTTAAATTCTCAGAGGTCGGATGAGTGGAAAGTATGAACTATCTAACTGCGAGGTAAGAAGTGAAGTTAAATAACCTACAATCTACTCGTCCAAGCACTACTGTGTATAACACTACAAAATGAGAACCCCCCTCTCCCCAATGCACAACAATTAAGTACTTGAACACCACCTCGTGCTAGGTAAATGTTTTTTGTTTGTTTTTATTCCAAACGCCACGACTATGTATTGTGAAGAGCTCTAAGGCAACGTCAGGATTGGCGATCTTTCTGCGGGAGGTCGCGGTGTACCGCTTGGGGGATTGCAAGAACGCTATGATGCGGTGGTGCTCGCAACGGGCGCAAGCTTTGGAAAGCGTATTAAGGGTACACCTTTAAGGTGCTTTTCGTACCGCTTTTTATGCCTCTCTCCCTTAGGATCAGAAAGGCATAAAAAGCGGGGGAACCCGCGAGCACCAAAAACCTACCTCTAAGCGTAGCATCCGCGGTCCCACGCACGATGCCTTTTCCTTTGTCCAATGGTACAACGGGTTCCCAACAACGGATCTTGGAGCAGATGAATCCGTACATACACACTACAAAGATCTTCCTGTTCGCGATCGTAATGAGTTTTTCTCTTCTCTGAAGATGGACTCTACTACTCTCTCGGAGGGCGGGGGCGCTCGCGTGTCGCTCTTTGGTCTCGGGAATGTGGCTCTGGATGCAGCACGTATGCTGCTATCTACAAGCGCGCTCTCGGTGCGCCACAGTGATATTTTATGGATTTCACTTTCATCTCCAGCGTAATTCTTTAAGAAGATACTTGAAGAAAGTTGATGTAGAAGATCTTGATGTAAGTAGGTCTACTAGATGTTTATTTGATAAGGATCTTCTACGTCCTCCTCTGCCCAAAATTATCAAAAAAAAGTTAGTATAAGTATTAGATGGTGGGGCATCGTGGAGGACTAAACAACAAGTTTTTGCAACATGCACAATTAAAATGCTCATCACGACGAGGACACACTAGAAATTAGAGATGCTACACCCCGCGAGGAGTGGGTACATCAGTCAATCAGTCACTTCTACTACCCAGAAACTGATCTATCGTCCCTCTCGACTACTTCTTCTGTTATCTCCTACTTGTGAAAAAATAGATCATCTCCTTGTAAAAATTTTACAAAGATAGAAACCCAAACCCTAATATCTGTACTAGGGGCGCAGCACCATCGACGTGTGATGAACATTCTTCTACCATCGTGTGACTTCTTCCAACAACGACCCCTTGCCAGGCACATCAATCAATCAATCAATTCTTCTAACTAGAGTGGAGACTGCGCGTTTGGCCATCGGAAAGTGGAACGTGCGCCACGTTGATCTTTTTGGGCGTCGCGGAGCAGTACAAAGCCAATTTGGTACTAAGGAGCTCCGCGAGCTTCTACATGCAACCGATTTTCGCACAGTAATAGACCCTTTGGATTTGGAGAGAAGCTTGAATTTTATGCAAAGCTTGAGGCAGGATTTAGTTCGCATGATGAGAAACCCTTCTAACAACATGAACACTTCGCTGAAGGCAGGACTCAGTTGGCATGATAAGAAACCTCCCTTCTTGCATGAATTTGAGTATTGTTCAGAATAGTAGAATAATTTTTAGAACGGAGGTAGGATGGACTTGGATGGATCGGATGGACCCCCCTAAATCTTCCGATCCTACTTGAAATGGTGGGAAGTCCATCCGGTCCATCGGATCCCTCCCATGATCCTGGACCTGACACCCCTAGCGATACGCTTTGGTCTTAGTGTGCCACCACAACCACTAGCTAGAGAACTTTTAGGAAGATTCTGATAAAGATGCATTCATATCCTCCGCATCACGGGAAGAGCTGGGATCTATCAAAATGAAGCAACGACAAATGAAAATTTTCGAACAAATGGCGCAGAACTTCGAAGCGATGGAAAAAGCGAAGGAAAGTACTGGAGAAGGACTCCCAGTGTTGCAGTTGCGCTTTCTCTTATGAAAATTGAAGATAGTCTTCTTGTACTTAATCTACTTCGTTCTGGTGTGATGCTCATGGTCAACAGTTGTAACTGCGATTATTGTCTTTAAAAAATTGAATACTTCTTCTACAGTACTACAACAACAACATTGATTTGACGTGAGCAATGGATCGTGACAAAAACAGGCTGAAGATTTTCTTGAGATCACATTAGAAATATATAGAACTAGACATCTTCTAATCCTTCATCAGCCTGTGAAATACTGTGGCGATTCACATACACTTTCCGTCCGGAAAACGCGACTAAGTGGTAAGCCGCACGAGCAACGAGCGGAGTTCGATCCTGATGCTCCTGCAATTTCGATTCGATCGAGCCTAGTGCTAGAAATTATGACTGTCACTATTCTCCATTATGGACTGTCATCAATGGACTATGACTGTCACTATTCTCCATTATGAAGCTAGCAACATGAATGGACTATTCTCCATTATGGGCTAGAAATTATGACTGTCATCAAGTACATCAGAACAACAAGTCCGTGGCTTTGAAGATTTGCCACTTATATAATAGATGATTAAAAAAATATAAACATCTTCATAGATCCAGCGGCGCTCAAGAAAGCACTAAAATAAAACAACCGGTTAGCTTTTACCTCTATCTCGTAGATGTCTCGTCCCTCCTTCAAATAATATATACTACATTTGTTCATCCGTTTTCCAAGAACATTTTCTTGTTGTTCGGAGATAATTTTCCATCTCTAAAAGAAGTGTGGGTTTCGGTTTTCGGCCATTGGATCGGCGATTGCTGCCCTATCATGAGAAAGCACAACAAGAAAGTTGTGAAGAACTACATGGCGAACAAGAAGACGTGGGGCCGCTGAATGTTAGCGGCAACGGCATGGGTCATGTTTTCGAAAATGTCTTTTGTGTCGGGTGGTTGAAGCGAGGGCCTCGTGGAACCATTGCTAGCAATGTCCCGGATGCCGCGGAGACGGCTGCCGGAGTCAAGCAGTTCTTGGGTCTACAACCTGCAGCAGCAGAACATGATGCGAGGACTTCATCCCTGTCAAAGAACCCTAAACTTGAACATGCGACTTCTTTCGACGATTGGCTGCGATTGAAAGCTGTTGAAGAAGAGGGAGGCAAGAAGGCGAATAAGCTTGCGCAAAAGGTGGTTGATGTCGCTGAACAGATGAAATGCATCCGACAAGCATGATAACGCTGTAGAAAACGCTAAAGACCAGTACTTTTTGAATGGACCACCCAACGGTGTTTGAGAAACATATGATGAAACCGGGGCAACAAGAAAAGCGAGTGTGAAACTTGATCGCGTATGCAACATCAATTAACACTGACTTACCTCGAGTCATGCACATAAGTCAATCGAAGATACCATGAAAACCATAGAGGTCTTCTAGGCCTATAAGATGATGGAGATCATGTTGTGTTTTCTTCCTGTTCGAATGATCCGCGACGTCTCCAAAGGTGTATATTATCAGGACGACTACTTAAAATGGGATTCCATTTTAAGATCAAGTGCAGCGTAGAAGAAGTGTACTAGAAACAATTCTCGTCATTGTTGTTGCTTAGAAATGCATCCTAATTAACTCCTGAGACAGCACCTCGCGCTAGGTAAATGAGTGAATCATGAATGACTGAGTGAATGTCTTCGCAAATCAAGAAGAGTAAACGTAATTTAATCTTCTTCATCGGTCAATATTAATAGACATTTGCATGTGTTATTAGTTGTACTGAAACTTTTTAGGAGTAATATTGTTCTCTCAGTACTATTTTGGTGATTTTTGAGATTGAGTAGTTTTCAACAAAAAATTATAGAAAGTCGTGAATGTTTCCATTTCTTCGTCTTCCACCTCTTTCCCTATCCTCCTGTCTCTTCTTGTCGACAACAGTGGTGCAAGGATTTACTTAAAGACACGAACAAGATGTCCTGGGAAATAAGAAGAGTGAGTGTCAAACTCGGCTACCTAAGTATGGAACCGTTAAATAACAACACTTACAAATACAATTGTTAACTAATAAAAGATAATATCATAGCTTGAGGCAGCAGGCACATGATTAATCAATAGCATGAAGAATGGGGACCACGATGCATAAAACTGAAAGGTGTGCTTGTCAAAAGTGTAAGTATGAGTTTCTGTAGAAGAGCGGTAGAACGATAAGGGTGAAGTAATAGAAGCTTCAGCATGGGCTAGCGGAATAGTGATGATATGAAGCTCTTACTTCTAGACCAATAACATGATACTACAGCTGCTCACATTGTTCAGATCGATGATGCAAAAAAAAAATCCGAAAAAAAATGAAGCAGATGAGACTGTTCTTGGCAGAGGTTGCTGCTCTATGAAAAATCTTCTATCTTGTACAACTGGTTCACACAAAAGGAAAAGGAATTAATTTAGAATTACTCTGGAGTGGTTGCAAGCATCTAGCTCTACTGTGTAAGCCACGTGCGTGGCCCACCAGAAGAAATGTAAGACTCACTTCTTTGCGGCCACGACCCCAGCTGGTGCGTTGGCCCTTTGGCCGAAGATTGTGAATAGAAAGGAACACACAACAAGACCCAAGAGGCCTCTTTATCAGCTTTCATATTCACGCTCAGCTGCAGGAATACCAATCTAAAAACCAGAAGCAGTGTTATCACGACTCACTGGTAAAAGCAAAATCATCAAAAGGGCTGACGCGAAACTACTTCATCAAGAGGACTACTGCTTCTACAGGTTATTTTTTGCTCAGCATACGAAAGCCAGGATTCGCTGAAGCGTGGTTGTGACCTCACGAGCTTGAACAGTTCTTGTCTATTTCATCTGGTAATTGGTGTGGCTGATTTTTGTGTAAGTAATTTTTTCTGATGAATGACAATGAAGTACTACTGTTGATGTGCCTTGACGTACACGTACTAGTCACCTTTACCTTTCCAGTTGTCCCCTTTCTATGGTAGAGGAGTCTGTTGTAGAAGCAAGATGATGTTACGGGTGCAGCTCTAATTAGTAGTCTCTTTTTGATGATACACAAACACAACATACAAGCTGTACAAGAGAAAAATTTCAGAACTACAAACCGCAATTACTATTTGTATGTCGACTAGTACTGAAAAAATACGTCATGATCTTAATTAATATCAGCAAGAAGAGCAATACGATAACAATAGCAAGCATCAGTGTCAAAAAGACGCAGAATTTCAATTTCTCTCTAAAGCATCTTATCGTCAATGACATGCCTAATTAATTAAGTACAAGCTCGATACCTCATACTTCAAGAAAAAAGATGACGCAATACTCAGACCTCGAATACAGCCAGGCTGCGTACATGTATAACCAAGCTCAGAACGGACAGGCTCCACCCAAAATGCCTCAAGCTTTGCAGGTAATATTACCATCAAGGCCAGTATCAGTTCTCATACTAGTCATAATTAATCGCGGTTTTCTCTGTTGCTGTTTGGTAGTTCTTGTACAGTCTCTTTATTTCGCTACGGAACCATGCAGCTCTGAGCTGCTACGTGGTTCGAATGAATAAATGAATGAGTTCTGAAGACGTAAGGTTAAGATCTCTATTTAATAGTTTTAGTCTGAGCAATTGCGATAACATAAAGATGAACATGATGTGTAGATATTTTCATGACACCAAACTTCAGAAAAAACGTCCACTATCTACTACACCTTCAGCCTGGCCGCGAGTATTACGGGGCGGCAGCCGGATACTACGGCGCAGCGGCAGGGGGAGGCGCTGGTGCGGTAATGGTATTATTATATTTTGATGAAGATTGTTGAAATCAATTTCAATTTGAGAACAAAATAAGCCCTGCTTCTAACTTGTCGACTCCTTCCTCATATCATAATTTCAGGGCGCACCACCAGCAGCTGCAATCGGCGGGCAACAGCATTTGTATGCGCAACAGCTAGGAGGACTGCCAGACGCGTATGCGCACCAGCTCCAGACTGCTCCTTATCAGCATCCAGCGTCAAGTAGCTTACATTATGATGAAGAGGTTAGTATTTTACTTATATAAAAGCCACAAAGAGAAGTGCATAAAAAAGGTTAGAAAATAAAAAAAGGCAACTGCAGCAATTAAGTCCTGCGAGCGACCTCTTGCTAGGTAAATGAATGAATGAATGAAGGTTAGTCCTCCCCTCTTCCCCTGTGCATCACAGGTTTAATTACCCCTCGACTGGGTAAACTACTACTACTACTTGAAGAGGTAGTTACGTATCACGAGTGATGGACGATTGTCATTCAAAATCTGTCTGCGCGTTTTGAAATCAAACTTCTTTGTGGTGACGAATGAAAAATGAGAACAACAACATGTTTTTAAGTAGGTGGTGGTCTACTGCTTATCAGAATCTTGAGATGACCCCTTTGGCGTTCATATCCGAGGCGCATATAATCCCTATGCCGCAGCGCCATTGCAGCATTTGCAGCATCACCTCGCGCCAGGAGTGCCACAGCAACATCAATTATTATGGTGTCCTATGTAGCTGTTGATCTTGATGTTGTTCTAGTCTCCACACATCAATCATTCTTCATCCACACAGGAATCTTCCCTGTAAAAATGAAATCCAGCAACATGTTGATCCCTTTAAGATCTTCCGCATTCTCTCCCACTTCCCCGATAAGTATGTAAAACAACATGTTGATCCCTTTAAGATCTTTTTCCGCATTCTCTCCCACTTCCCCAATTTAGAAATAATAAACTAGTACTTGCTTCTACTAGTTGTACCCCCCACCTCGTCCACCTGGAACGGCAGTTTTCCGGCTCTAACATCCGGCGCCCCCGCGGCTCCAGCACCTGCTACAGCGTCTTCCACCCTAGGTGCGCCAAATAAAGTGTGGCTTGGTGTCGTAAAAACCTACAACTTAGCGAGTGGGTTTGGCTTCATACGGCAAGAAGATCTATACGCAAAATATGAAAGAGACGTCTTCTTCAATCGAATGATTGATGGTACTTTGATGTTTTTTCCACTATTTAATATTGTTGCACATGGTAATTAACGCGGCTTTTATAATTAACTTGCCTCTCTTTCGCGCTGCACCTTGGGCGTCCTCGTCTTTCTGTGATACGAATCCTGAGAGAATGAGCGGTGAGTGACCTAGCTGTGGTCTCTCTTGGTCAACTTGCTCAATAAGGTCAAGATCAGGGGCTATATTTGGACACAACTCTTGAATGATACATACACTTTGGAGACTGACTTTGAGTAGTAATGGACGAGCCCTCGTCAGCACATAGTACTTATGAAGAAGAAGACGTTAAGAAGCAAGTGCAAAAACAAGCGCAACAACAACAACAACAATAATTGACCGCTTCTAGTGCTTGAACTCGTAAATACTAGGTGTATCTTCATCATGAAGGTGGAGACGTCTTTTTTGGTGTTCACATAGTACTCATGATTTCCTCTCCAAGTTATAGCTTCTGAGAATCTACTACTTGGTTAAATAGCAATGAATGAATGAATGAATCGAGACTGGGATGCAGGTTTATAGCACGCATGGAGTGCATGGAGTAGCATGGAGTGCATGGAGCGCAGAGCTTTAAGGGGAGCAAGAAACTCCCCTTTAGCTCCATGCTACTCCATGTGATCCATGCACTCCATGCGCCATGCGAGCTGTGCAACCTTATGAACTGCTCTATTATAGCTAAATAGAAATAGATATCCCAACCTTGCTTTGCTTAAAGTTAAATCATATGATCCCAACCCTTTGCTTACACCGTCAACCCATCTACGATTCTTCGCATGATTCTCGGCAATAACTCTAGACCTGCATCCCAGTCTCGATTTACTCTTACAACATCAACATCTAGGTGCCGAGAAAATCGAGACTGGGATGCAGGTCACTTTTCAAGTCCAGATTAACGAGAAAGGGCAGCCGCAAGCAGTAGAGCTTAAGATTGCGGGAAAGGCCAGAAAACCACCTGCGGACAAGGTCTTTCATGGTGTGATACGAACCTTCAATTAAGGCTAGCAACTATACCCCTGGAATGGGTTTACTACTACTACTACTACTTAGTATGCTTTTGCAAGAACTATGCTACAATTAAGTACTTGAACACCACCTCGTGCTAGGTAAATGAATGAATGAATGAATCCCTTTCCCATGTGTATGTGAACTCTATCGCTTTCGTTCCCAGGGGTACCTTTTGATCTAGGTCAAAAGATACCTCAAGACCAGGCAAATGGATGAATGAATGTACGTGATGAACTAAGTATGCTGAGTGAGTGGAGTGCCCTCCTTTGGCTTTGATAAGTGAACAGTTGGCAGAATCACTTAGGCGTTGCCTTGTTCGCTTATCAGACTCATGAGGAAAGGGGAAACTATCTGTAATTCTAAGGGGGACAGACACAGTGTGTGCATGATGATCCCAGCACTCAACCAGAACTACGGATAGTGCTGAAAAACTGCCTCTAATTTAATCAAAACTTAGGCTACGGCTTTATCAACTGCCCAACATTGAAAGAGGAGTACGACCGTGACGTTTTCGTCCACAAGCAGCAATTCGAAGGCCTAGAAGTTGGAGATCAGGTACTGCTGCAATTTTTCAGAAGGTTTATGTTTTTAATTTATGTCATCAATTATGTTTATTGCGCATTTGTAATGTATGAGATCATTCGTTACGCATTTCCGATTCCCTGTCCATCATGACATCAGCAAGAACCCTCATTACTCCTCCTCCTCTAAACGGCCTCTCAGTCCACCCTCCATCATTTTGATCCTCTCCACGACAGGTCCAGTTCAAAGTAACTGTGAACTCGAGAGGCCACCCACAGGCAAGAGACGTAGAAAAGGACACGGGTAGTAAGAGCAATGAAGCGAACGAAACCCCGGTGACACCCCCAGACGGCAAAGCAAATTTCGTCGGTACTGCTATCTAGGATCCTTGATCAAATTTGCCAGATACGTACTGGGGTGAATCTATAGTTGTTGTACTATCTATTTTTAGAGCTTATTCGAACATCTGATTCTGAACCATATTTACAAAGACAAACACAAGTATTGTTGCTGGTGTATGCTAGAACTATGGTCAGCTTTTTTCCATCATTCTCGGCATCTTGGTCCCCTTTTCCCTTGCATTCTCGTGAAAGGAAATACAAGGTAAAAGGGGTCACTCAAGATGAGGGGGACGAGATGCAATCTAGCAGACTCTAATACAAGCACAGCTGCCATTAGTACTCTCCATTTTACTCGTCTCCACCCAACACCAGGTCGTCTCCGTACGTTTCATAGCGAAGCGGATTACACCTTTATTGACTCGGACGAGGCAGCCAAAAAATTTGGCACGACCGACGTATTTTTAAGGCTACAAGATATCCATATTCCCCAGCATCTTACTTCGCCCCGTTTTCAAAGGGAAAACGGGCACCAAGATGAATCCGAAGGAAGTGATACAGGTACATCCGCAAATGAGGAAGCAGTAACCTAAGCGCTAGAGACACTGAAACGCACCGCAAATAAGTAAGTTGTGTTCCTCTGGAAAAAAGAAGATAAAAGGAGAGCTTAAACAAAAAGTAAGCACCAAAAGCTTGATCCGATCCTTAGTTCTAATATTTGTGCATCGATCTCACTGTCCCAAGGACGATTTATTAGAAGGCGATTTCGAGTTCGACATTGTCCTTGTGAAAAACCGACCACAAGCGAGGAATTTGCGACGCGTCGGAGCAACCTCCAGCACTAGAGCAGCAGCATCAATGTTAGTTATTATGGAACAGGACGATTGTGTTTCTTCTATCTAAAGAACGGAGTTCGCGAAATGGATCTTGGTTCTAGGTGTTATTATCAAGATCGTAACACTGGAATAGTAACATCAAAAGAAATTCTTGGAGCATCTTAAGTAATGACTTAGTATATGGATTGACCTTACATATTTATACATAGAGATGATGATGATTCAGTAGATAGATGATGATCGAGTATATAGAGAGACCTATGGGGCTGACAGGACTACGAAAGCGCCGGCGCTTAGTTAGTTTTTTTAGATCGGTAACCTTTGCTCTTTCATCCAAGTTTTCCTTTTTTTCCTAGTTAGGTCTGCTCCACCATATGGATAGACTGCCCCTACAAGTCTTCATCATGTTTTTCTTCTACTACGGCTAGTTCGTTGTGGTCTCTCTTGGTCAACATGCTGAACAAGGTCAAGATTAGGGGTTTTGGCAAGAACTACTAACAATACATACATTCTACTACGGCTAGTCTTCACCTCTTTCCTGTATGTCTCTCCCTTCGTGCAATACTTCTTCTAATCGAAACAGCAAGCTTTCCTCTGTGTCGAGTACATCTACCTCATCATCCGTGGTCACGGCTTCCATGGCATCCGGTGAGCCTCGTGCTTCGGCTGATCTGGCCACAGCGTCAAGATCTCCAAGAACGAAACTCCGAAATAAAGCCCTCGCTCCAGGAGCTGTCCCGGGAAGTTATGATTTTGACATTAATAATGATTCAGTTCTTTTTAGAAGTTGGGAAGTTCTACTTCACGACCTGTTTTTTTAGTCTAGGACAGTTACTTTAGTACTTCTTACGTTGGGTTTGTGTCATTACAAATGAAAAATACTAGTCAGCTGTGTCTCCACCGTAAATCGAACCACGAGGAATCACAACCGCGACTAAAGAATCAACAACTACGAGCAAAGAATCAGCCACAACTCTGAAGAGAAGTGGCCCAAGAGCAACTCTAATCAACCGGTGCGACGACGGCTCCGCGCAGTTTCGCAGAGGTGGCCAAGAGCACAAGCGAGCATGGAGCGACGAAAACTTCCACACTGAGCCCGATCAAAGTTGACCTCTAACGACCTGGAGCTCAACTTCTGTTACTTAGCATGATCAATGTCAATCAGAACATGATGTTTGGAGCATCAAGCAGATCATCAATCGTGCGACTACCACTTCAGGTCCGAGTGCACCATCTGGGACGACTAGGAAAACTCTCTTCTATACCCTATATTTATTATATTAGGTGTGTGTGTGGAAGATGTGTTGTCAACTGAAATTGAAAGAAAGCTTGTTGGCGAACCAGGAATCAACATAGGCACTTCCGTCATCCGGCTCAGTTCTTGCACCTACAGAAGTAGATCTAGTATGTTTCTTTGTATCTTTTCAATGGGTGGAAGGGTCTCCTGTCGTGAAGACGAGGAGATGAAGGGGACTTGGACTGTCACTATTCTCGAAGAAAAGATGAGTCTGTGGAAAAGATTGCCATGGTGTAAAAAGAGTAAGCCAGCTGTGGACGAAAAAACCTACTTCAACTTCTGGGAGAATGAATTCTGGAGAGCCTCTTGATGCAATAGTTTCTTGCGAGAGCCTCCATGATAAACTCCAAGACAGGCGACACATATGAAGTGTAAATGGTTACTTTTACTTAAAAATCGTATCCGACGTTTTTGGACCTATATACCTACTAGATATTAGGTTCATTATCTAGTTAAACTAGCTAGTTAAGCCAGAGAGGAAGCAATCGGAGGATCCGGAGGTTCTGGACGACTTGGGCCCCACCTGGGAACCATTTACACTTCATAACACACGTACAATAAACACTGTCGCGGCTGCTCTTTTAGAAACTGCTTTCACCGTTTCAAATTATCCTCTTCTATATCTTACATTTCAAATAAGAATGTTGTGGTCAACATGGCACGACTTACTTACACCGTCTACTCCAAAGCCGGCAAGCATTAAAATAGACGGCGGTAGCAAGAAGGAATTATAGGAGCAGGGTGTTGATGCCTGTCTTTGCCTCGTGTTCCACGGTCATTTATTCGTGTTGCACGGTCATTTGAACGTGTTGCACAATGGTATGTACAGCCATCTAATTGCATGACTGGAGGGCTAGCATGATCTACAACTGTGTTCATCTTTGTGTTATAATTTTTTTGCTACATCATTCATCTTGAATCTGAATCAATAATCTGCAGGTTCTGTTACGCTCCTGGTAGTTCGCTTTAATTTTCATGGACGATGCATTCATTTGATTGTATGAATGAGGAGAGGAGTGATAATTGTATGATCATGCCTTAGATTCGTCGTCATCTCCCTCTCGTACCTCATCTTTGATAATAAACCTATATTAAGTGAATTAGAAAAAGCAACAAAAAGTAGTAGTTCTATTTTTTTATCGAGCTGCTAGACGGAGTTTCTTTGAGATAGAAAAAACATGGACCTGGCACAAAGCACTGGTACTGCGTGGATGTCGAAGCCGTCCGGTGGGGCGTTTGGTATTTTTTGTCTTTTATTATTTTCATCATGTTAGCCCTGGACAACTAGGACAAGAACTCTAACTCAAACATTATCTTCTCCTAGCTTTTCTTCTAGGCTATAAAAATCTTGTTCTAGTATTCTCAAAAACAAAAATAAGAAGGAAGCCAATTCATGCCACAATCAGGTGGTCCTCTCTCCTAATGTTAAGTAAGTACCTGTTGACATGGACATCTACTAGGACATCTTTAATTTGACCTTTATTTCCTTCCCACCACGAGCACGACCACCAGGTCCTCCGGCAGGGTCCCCTATGGGTAATCCTATGGTAGCCAATCAGTTTGGTGGCAAACCATTTTTTAACGGAGCTCCTCAGAATATGGTCATGCAAGGCGGACCCGGTGTTAATATTATGATGAATCTTTTCATATTTTTTGTTTCCTAGATAGGCGTGCTCCACCGATATTATGATGAAGCTGGATTGTAAGTATTTGTAGTTTATAAGGAATGAGTCTACAACTACAACTAAAAATGTGCCTGTAGAAGTTTTCAAAATTGAATAAACTCATCATCACTACCAACTACTGTGATCTCCACGATTTTAACGCTAGTACCTTAAATCCTTTAGTAACCTCGTCGTTGCGACCAGGCATGAAAAATGGTATGGGTTTAAATCATCTAATCCTCTGGGTGGTCCTGGAGCAGGAGGCATGAATGGTATGGGCGGCGCGGCTCCAGGTACTGCGCCAGGCATGAACAACATGCAGTCGAACGGCTTTAATGGTGGATTTCATGGGGGTAAAGATTTCGGCTTTTCCGGTAAGGGAGATTTTAGTGGAGGAAAGTTATGCTGCGCTTTGTTGGTGGATCATTTGGATTTGTATCTATACCTATATCAAGGGTTTCCGAATTACATCCCTCACTACCATCCTTGGCTCCTTTTCAAGGGGAAAATAGGCCAAGGATGTTCTAAAGAATGCAACTCCGCAACCTCTAACTATACGCCTGACGTTGATTTTTGGAGATGTTGTACATGATGTAGCGCTTCTTGTTACTTATCCATTTCTTCAGTCATTATTTAAGCTAGTAATGGTGGTTGCTAGCACAAGAACTTAATCAAATAGCAATGTCTCCACATCCTTCTCGCTTGCCTTCTGGTCCTCAAGTTAGATTTTAGTGGAGGAAATTTATGCTCCTCTATTTGTAATCTACAAGTCAAAAATTCCTTCTTTCTTATTCATATTTTTTAATACAATATTTTATATATTCCAACCAATCAACAATATATTTTGTATCCCATGCAACAATATATTTTGTATATTCCATTCTTATTCCATCTCCTAGTACAGTGGCCATACACCCATCATCCTCGGATGCGAGCAGCGGGTACTTGTGGTGCTCGTTGTGAAGGATCCATAACCTACCCCAACCTAGCCCATTCTTATTCCATCTCCTAGTACAGTGGAGGTTATAGTGTTTTCTTCTAAGACGATATGTAAATATGAAATTCCCTTTATGGCAGGCTTCACAACCTAGGTGCCGGGGGGCTTTGATGTGCAGGATTCACAACCTAACCTAGCCACTTATTCCTATAGAAGCAGTTGTAGTTTGTTCTTCTAAGACGAGATGGAGGTCCTTTTGGTGGAGGAAAAGACTTTGGTGACTCAGGCGGATTTGGTGGCGGGTTTGGTGGTGGTAAAGGCAAATTTTCAGGAGGAAAGTTTGGAGGTGGTGGTTTTGCTGGCGGATTTGGCGGAGGAGCCGGAAAGAAGGGCGCCTTCGGAGGAGCCGGAAAGAAGGGCGGTATAAAGATACTAGAGGTTTTCAACTAGTAATTTTGGTGTAGTGTAGATGTAGAACAACTAGAAGTGTAAGTACTAGTTATGATCTTACAAACAACTTCAACTAGAGGTGTTGTAAGAACTAGTTATCTTACATATTTATTACAAGAATTTACCTCTTGTTTCCTTTTTCGTCTCTTGTTGGCTTCTTTCTTATGCATCCTAATTAAGTCTGTAACTCGTTGTACCTCATGCTAGGTAAATGAATGAATGAGTGGTGTAGTGTTGTAGATGACCTAGAAGATTCTAGTAAGTAGTACTAGTTATCTTAGTCTTACAACTTCTAGATGAAGATGTGCTAGTTATCTTACAAGAATTTACCTCTTGTTCTAATCCTCGAGCTCTAAGTAGTCATCTTTTAGGCAAACTGAACAAGAACCATACAAATGAATCGCAGGAGGAGGCTCCTTTGGTGGCGGTGGTAAGGGAGGCTTTGGCGGTGGTGGCAAGCGGGCGCCACGACCGATCGACTATAGTGTCGAACAACCTACCACTGAGGAGGACGTTCCTGAGTCCTTGAAGGCAGACTTAGCTGCGCTACATTATGAAGATGAGAGGTGTAAACTAAGTAGAAGTTCTGCATGTAGAAAATGAAGACAGGGACAGCAAAGCCAAGGGGAGAAAAAGAAATATACTGCAAATCTTGATTGGCTTCTTCCTTTCTATAGGGTTGAGGTTTAGGCCCAGCGGCGCTCAAAGCACTAAATAAAGAAGCCGGTTCGTTTTTACCTCTAGCGTGTAGCCCTTCCAACAATATATAGATGCAGCTAGCTCTTGATCTTTGATTAATCACCGTCGAGACATTTCTCACTCATATATACCTTTACTTCTCATGCATCTGAATAATCTGTGGCACCAGATTGCGTGATCTGCATCTTCGTCTTCTAATGAAAGGGTGACAATTGGGTATCGAATAGCGCGTCATGGCACGAAAGTAGTAATCGGATCGTTGTCCGAGGCCTCGAATGGACAGTTTATTCGAGACAACAGAATTATGGACCACAGGGCTTCTCTAGAGTGCTTAAGCACAACAATAGTAGTGGCTGCAAAAGTACATTTTAATTAATGTCTTCCTTCCTGCCGATGAGGAGTACAACAGTAGTACGTTTTAATATATAATTTCTTCCTTTCTGCCCCTTTTGTAGTTCCTCATCAAGTAGAAAAATCAGCTTAATATTAATGTCAAGGACAACTCAGGGAGTAGTGCAAACCAGTACAGAAGGTTATATCGATAGTAGTTGTAGAGACAGCAATCAAAAAGGGCTGACTTCCTCCGCTCTCATCTGGAAAAATGCAGAGGGAAAAGATTAGAGGAATGAACGGGAAGATGCACAACTAATTAAATCCTCTGTAATACCCCACGAATGGGTACACCACTACTACTACATAGTCTCACTTCTCTCATTCAGTTTGTTTTGCTCCGTGCCTTTCTAATCCTGACACGGCATGAGCTGGACGAAAAAGTTGTGTTTCAAGCAAGTCGACGACGCCGCCACCCTATGCGATTCGAACTTCGTTTCGCATTTTATTTTGGTAACACTTAAATTTTCTTCTTTGTTGTTCCTGCTAATCCTATTCCTACCTTCTACAAATTATGATAAATGATCTTCGAGGACTGTTGACTAACCACTGGATCTTCAACAAAGCGATGACTATCTATACACACAGTTAACTGCCATGTGCTTTCCATATCCCCATATGCCAACTTGTTCGGAAACGACCCGTAACCCTTAGGAGGAGAGCCATCCCCGCGATAGGTTTGCGCTCGTGGGTGTGCGTGTGTTTTCGTTTGGTAGACAACTAAGGTTCTTGCCTCTCGTATAATGAAAGTAAGTGACGCCTCGGCAGCAGCTCTTGCCATAATGAATGCTGGAGGCCGGCTCAGCAGCGGGCCGCTGGTGTAATTCGGCGCGTGCGCTTTGGCCTCGCGGCGGGGCGGGGTTTGGGCTGCTCCCTGCCCTGCCGCACCGTTCACACCCATCAGCATTACAGAGCGAGGCTAGGGCGCGGCCGCTAGTCACCCGCTGGAGGGTACGTATGGGCCAAAGATTTGGCACCTTGGGGCATTTCAAAGGCCATTTTTTTCGATTTCCAAATACCCCGAACGCCATGCCGTGCGGGGTATTCTGGGCACTGGTCGCTTTGCCCACCAGTGGTGGGCAATATTTCCTTTGCTGACAGAACCCCCAGCGGCATGGCGTAGGGGGTATTTGGAAAAACCAAAAATCGCTCTTCAAAATGCCCCAGGAAGCCTCGCCTTCCACGTCTTTCCGTGGGGAGCATTTGGAGCAGCATGGAATTTGCCCAGAAGCGCTTCCCACGGCTTGCCGTGGGGGGCATTTTTCCGATTTTCCGGCGATTTTGGGGCGAGTTCCTCACGTGTTGGCGTGGGGGGCATTTTGAGCAACGTGGAATTTGCCCAGAAGCGCTTTCCACGGCTTGCCGTGGGGAGCATTTTTCCGAGTTTTCGGCGATTTTGATGCGAGCTCCTCGCCTGCTTCTGTGGCAGGTGCGGCGAAATTCACTGGGCCGCTTTTCATTCGGATTCATGTGCAATTTCTTGGGTATTATAGCTCTCCCCAATGTCTTCAAATCGCAGTCGTTTTCGACTGCCCCACTTAAGTGAGCAAAGCACAGCCCAGTTAATATAATACCTAAGTACTTCAATAGTAAAGACGGCAATAATATAAAATCCGTCATCAATCAACAACACTTGAAAACTACAGCGCGAAGTGTCAAAAGAGAAAGGAGTGGCACTGTGGGAGAGCAGCTCTCGGCCTCAGCAGCAAATTAAGTGTTAAGGCTATAACGCTAATTCTAATCCAGCACCTTTCTAATCCAGCATCTTGGAACACGACCATAAGAGGAGAACACGACCAGCTTCATCAAGATGGATTCGGGTAGTTTCAAGATGGCTTATGGTAGTTTCAAGATGGCTTATGGTGTTTCAAGATGGCTTATGGTAGTTTCAAGATGCATTCGGATGTTGGCTCTCTTCTAAGAGTGGCATTGGCAACCAGATTTATCTCCAGCTGAGATTCCAACCAGAGGGTCCAGCGTAGGCTTCGCTAAAGGTGGAGGAGCACCCACTGGAGGCAAGAAGGGACCAAAAGGCGATGTCGGATTTAACAAGGGGAAAGGTACTTGCTTTACACTGATTGTGGTCTACAGTGATAATCTAGATGTTGTAGATCCTTACTACAGTGATTATCTACAGTGATTATCTACAGTGATTATCTACAGTGATTATCTACAGTGAAGATTTTTATCTACAGTGATGATCTACAGTGATTATCTATTCTACTTTGACATTCCGTTATTTCCGAGGTGCACGTGTAGTGAGGAAACAATTCGAAGCACGACCAGTTCCGAGGTCGTTGCAGTTCCTTTATCGCTTAATTAAGGCTCAGCTTTCAATGGTCATTGGGGTTGGTCACTGAGATCGAGGAAGCGACCCTTTTAGAGAACAGGGGAAAAGGAAGGGAAAGGGGAGAGCTTTGAAGGGAGTCTCTTCCGTTCAGCATCAGTGACCATTGAATGCTGAGCTTTAACTTAACATCACAAGAACATAATGAATCAATGTGATCAACACTCTCTCCACCTACTACAACAACACCAACAGGAATTCTCCCGGCTGCCTCTCGGATGAAGGGTGGAAAGAAAGGTGCTGATGAGGAGAAGGGAGATGACGAACTAACTGAGGAGGACAGAAAAAAGCAAGAGATGTGGGCAAAATCTATTGACAGTTATGATTTTGAGGAGGTCCTGCTCTAAGTAATTTCGATGAATTCTTGTTAACTATAGAAGGACCTCTTATAGACTCTATCTGAAATCTACAGCAGGAACACGACGTACTTCGACTGAGTCCGAAATCTACAGCAAGAACAGTGTAGCAAGAATCTGATAGAGTTCTACCAAATTTGTCCTCTGCAGGATCCACGACCTAGCCTCACCTAAAAGTTATCTACTTTTTTACTTCTTCGGGAAACATCTATGTACTAGCTTAGCTGTAGGCAGCACCCCTCTAAAGCAGCCAACTGCAGAGACTCAAATTAGGGACGGCAGCGGCAGTCGACGGCGAACAGGCTGAAAAAGCCGAAGAAGACGGGGTCACGAAGTCACCCGTTGTAGATGAGAAGACGGACAATGATTATGGAACTAGGTCACTTGCTAAGTATATGCAAAATCAGCTGTACTAGGTCAGCTCTACTAAGTATGCAAAACTAGGTCGCCTGCTAAGTAAGCAGCTTCTACTATTAGCCCTTTGTTCTTGTTCAAAATGTTCATAAAGTAGAACAATGAATATTTGAATATGAAAGAAGCCCTCGTCTCTTCGACTTAGTCACTAGCCTCCTCTTAGCTTTGACCTACCTACCTCTTCGACTAAGCTACCTAGGGACCGCAGTTTCATCACACTTTCAGCTACCTCTTCGTCTAACCACCTGCTGGTCCGACTCAAGCGGCCGCAGATGGAGAGCAGCCTGGCGAAGGTGGGAGAAATAACGCAACGGCTGAAAGTCTGCTGCTGCAACCGCCTATGAACGGTACGACGACCACCATCGTCCAAAACGATCTAGACAGTACTTCGACTACGATTGCGACCAATCACAACATCTTATGGATTCTTTTCGGTTTTTATAACGCTCAAAGATGTCTCTGTCTCAAAGATGACACAGGACAAGCAGTTGTACAGGACAACTAAGGAGTGGATCCTTATTAAAAAACTAAACTCTCTGGATGAATGTAAGTATCGGTTGTGCGGGGGATAACATGAACTTGTAGACGATCCCGATCTATGAAGTTATCAGAGTCGAATCCATCCTCTAGTCTCGATTGTGGCGACGAGGCGCGTGATATTCAAGACGACCTAGTGGCTACAGGTATAGTTATATTCTAATTAAAACCAACGCGGTTGCGAAGGTTGAGGTCGAAGCTGACGCATCGCTAGCTGGAGCTGCTGGAGGTGCGGCGGGACAAGAAGCCTCGAAAGATGAGCATGCTGACACTGGTGTGGTAGAAGATAGTGCGGTAGCTGGTGCATGATGATAGATCTAGGTTCATGATACTAGCTGGAGGTGCGGTACTAGCTCCTGGAGGTGCATAATAGTAGATTCTTGACGAGGTGGAGTCGAGCAGGTTTGTCTGCAATTGCAATTGAAGTAGTAGATGATAGATGATATATCATCATCTACATGATCTACATGATCTAGTTGTTCGACTTCGAGGACGAGATCTAATCAGATTTAAGGGGTTCAGTTTTTTTTTCTTTGCTTCCATATAGAATCCTTTGACCTGTTGATATCCTTTTCGAAGAAATGGATGATGAACCTGTAGTTGGCGTCTTCGTACTACGTAACTACACGTAAGTAGAATCTTCGAAGGGGCGTTCGACTTGAAGACGGTGTGGTCCTCATAGAAGTAGGGCTAAATCTGATTACTATAATGCGACTGCTGTTTTTTTTTGGATATAATTCATTCTCATACATCATGATACAACTAAAAAGCTGATATTACTAGACGAGAAGAACGAAACAGATTATCAGCTTGATGTTGCTTTCAAGGATTGTATCTTCAACTCTTATTTTTTTTATTTTTTGTTCGACCAAGATCGAAGTAAGGTATTGATGAGTCCTTTGTTTGATTTCATTTTACCAGAATAAGATGAACTGAAGATGACTACTTCTATATGCGACGAAGATCTTTTGACCTATTATTGAGTTATCATAAGAAGATGTGATATACCCCTCCCCGATACTAGTGCTGTACGTAAAAATCTGACAGCAAGCAGACGACGATCATCGAACATTATAAGTACTTAAGAATATATCCTTGAACATTGGTTCAACAATGAGAACTACTAACTGTAACTATTTTTTCATTTTCAACTTCAACAAGAACTTCAAATTCATCAACTTATCACAAACTTTGACATTCATGTTGCAGTTGCTGCACTAAAACTCGATGCTATTCAACTAAATTCTTTTCTTATTTTTAGCAATGGAAAAACCCATCTCAAGTCTTCACCTCACTGGAACCCCAATCAAGTCTTCATTTTACAACCAGTACTTACGAACTTACCCTTAGGTATACAACTAGGTCTCCTCGTGTGCACGAAGTGAAGAGGCACACGAATACACGACTGCGCTTGGAATGTGTTTGAAGTAGTAGACATGAAACAAGATGACATTCCTCGAGAGCAAAGAGACTGAACAAAGTAGCAAGAAACTGAGAGAGGAAACAACAGTAAAAGTCTGACTCGCTTGAATTAGTAGTACAGCACTTTTTTCCTAGTACATCCGTTCCAGTAGTTACTAACTTCTTACTTGGGTTCATATTCTTCATTCTCGAAATGAAAAAAGATCTTTTTCAGGTTTGAGATCCAAAGACGACCACAGAAGATGATAGAAATGAGAAATGCTCTCTCACATATGATCGGAGGCTGTACGTCAGGTCGTGATCAGGATCAACTCTAGTAGATCGTCAATCTTCAAGATAAAGAAACAAGATCTTTTCAATGCACAGATGAAGATGAAAGATCCCACTTTGTTTAGAGAGATATCGAGTCTGCGGTTCAAATACATTACTTGGATTTTTAGTACTGGCCGTGTAGCTGCGATCTTTACCACAGCGAGACTAAAGAACAGCGACGTTACATAAATTGATCACCAAAACTATATCTGCACAGGTTTTCCAAGGAGGAGAGAAGGATATATACCCTGAGAATTCTTTTGATGTTTGTAATTGTTCACTAAAATAAGACCTCATTTTAAATGCTGTTTGATGTTGTTGTTTTTCACATTATCACGATCAATCTATTTTTTTTACCATTTCACGCTTTCTTCAATCTCGTCTTACCATTTGTTGTTTTGATTCAACTATTTTGACCTATAATATCTGATTCACCTCCTTCGTTCAAATAGAATACAATTCGAGATCTACTATACTTTTTCTTTTACACCCACGACAAGAACATCAACTACCTCATCAACGTCACAAGTCTTGAAGTCTTGCTGAACAACACACACTGAACTGCGTACACTCTGAACAAAACCTCGCGAACACGTGCATGAGTGAATGAATGAAGCGACCTCCTCTCCCTTAAATACAACAACATCTAGAAAGAAGACTAGTAGACAAACACATTAGACCTAGTCTTTCTAATTGTAAGATAGCGTGATCTGTATACGTCTTCAGAAGACCAGCCCTAGTACAACAGGAGCACCACGACATTGTAGCACTTCTAGTACACCAGCTCCTGCAGATTAGAGGAACATACTAGTACTACCATGAAACCAGCTATAGTAGTTAGTTTCTGAAGAACTACTACTACTATCTATTTTCTAACTTCCATAGATGACTCGTCCGGCACCACGACGTATTACTTATAATATAGTATTGCAATTGCAAGAAGCGATGATATAAGATGAAGCGAAGCGAATCCATCGGAGGCTCTAGTTTTGAGGGGTGGTTCTCCCTTTTAGAGGACCGCGAAGATGAGGACGATTTTCTCCCCTCGGCCCCACCAGAAATACTGGACGAAGGTGAGGATCATCTGCAACGATTGCAACAATCTTCTGCGTGGGCGGGACTAGGAGTTGAGCGAGCTGAGGACCCACTTGCGGCAGTCTTCGGACTAGGAGTGGAGACGACGACGACGACTTCTGATACAGCAGGTGCAGGAGAACTACAACATGAGGATCAACATCTTCCTCATGTCTCTCTTCCACCACCTCTTCTTCCACCACCTTTTCCTCATGTCTCTCTTCCACCACCACCTACGAATCCAGCAGCAGCTAGAAGAGCCGCAGAAGGACAAGATGACTATCTGCTTCCCAATCCCAACGCGTACAACCACAACTCTTCTAAATCTAAAGTACAACATCAAGCTGATCAACAACATCAACTACATCATCAATCTCTTCCACCACTGATTCATCACCAACACTTCCAGCAGGACTACAACATCAATGTCGTGCAGGAAGATTCTCCAATTCATCACCAACACTTCCAGCAGCACTACGACAACATCCAGCAGCACTACGAAGATTCTCCACACCTCTCGGCTGGATCCCCTTTTGTTTGCAGCACCATTTCTGAAGAACGAACAACGGAGTTGGCGGAGTTAGCGGAGCGCGCTGCGAGCGAGGAAGCCAGGCTTGCCGCTTGTGAAAAGCACCAGCGCGAAGAAGCGAGAAAAAACCAATTTGCAAAAATCAGTGTTGCTGTTGTAGGAATAAATACTTATACTCCTCCTGGAAGTGGTGGAACCGGTACAAGTGCCTTAGCCTTTTCACAAGATCTACATTTAGATGATCGGGACCATCGTCAAGAAAGAGGAGAGCAGGATGGAGGAGAAAGTGATACTAGACAACAAGGAACTCGTGCTGGCCGCACACAACATGTTGATCAGAGTCGTGCCAGTGCGTCCTCGACGAAAGGACCTCCAGCAGCTCGGGGATCTTCACCACGACTCAACCGGCTAAGACGAACCGACTCAATCGTGAAAAATCGCGAGAATAGTTGTACTAATATCTTCATAGAACAAGAACAAGAAACTGCTCCTCTTAGTCGAGCTCCAACTCCATTTTCACTTTCTCGTTCATCGCTGATCAACAGAGCAGCTGTTCCAGCCTTGACGTGCTCTGGTGGCGGGAACGATGTTCTTGTTGACCATGAGGCAGGTCTAGAAGGTGCAGAAGTGCCACCTCTACTAGAGCATCGAACCCCTGTTCTTGTGCAAGAACCTGTAGAAGTTGCAGGTTTATCTTTTTCAGAAGAACAGCATGTTCTTGTCCAGCAGCGTGGTGGGCGTGGATTCCGAGGAGTCGCTGCGTCTCCACCGCGTGGGCCACCACCTGTTTCCCAAGCGCGCACTTTTAAACGGGTAGCCAACCGCGGATGGTTAGGGCGCACAGCGAGCAGTGTCCTCAAAAGGCTGCGCGGGAATGATGGTGCACAGGGACACGGAGGCAGAGGCTCATCCAGTACGTCTAGCAACCTTCACCAGGGAGGTTCAGGCTCATTTCGCAGCAGAACAACAAGTCTCGACTCCATTTTTTCTCTGTATCATGCTTATCACTCAGAAATGCTCCGAACGGATTGGAACGGTACTCCCGCTGCACCGGTAGTTAGCGATACAACCACGTCACATTCAAGTGGTACCCATACCTCAACATCTATGGGCTCTATGGGTACTACAACACCCGGTGGAGGTGGAGGAGAGACCACTACAACTTCTACTGTAAGAACTGCGCCATCCTTACTAGAGCGGATGCTTGGAGGAGGTGAGCAAGGAGCTACTTCTTCATCTAGTGGACGTGCTGGAGGGGAGCAGGAGGTTGTAGTAGGTGAATCAGCCTCAACACCTACACCTCCTAGTACTGCTGCAACAACTACAAGTACTAGAGTGGTTGAAACAAGCGCAGCAGATAAAACAAGTGCTCCTCCTGCAGGACCGACGAATATTACAGCCACTGGCGGTCCAGGGTTCTCGGTTGGCGCGCACATGCCGCTGATGGTGAAAGCGATATGCATTGTAGCGGCGGTAGCTTCTGGCGTGGGGGTGGGCCTCTACACCCGCATGCCGGCGTCGCCGACGGGGATCGTAGATCCGCCACTAGTTACACCAACGGGGCAAATCGTAGGGCCACCGCCAGTTGTACCAACGGGCATCGTAGATCCACCAGTAGTACCGATTGGACCGATAGAGCCACCAGTAGTACCGATTGGACCGATCGAGCCACCCGCAGTACCGATTGGACCGATAGAGCCACCAGTAGTACCGATTGGACCGATAGAGCCACCAGTAGTACCAACGGGCATCGTAGATCCGCCAGTAGTACCGATTGGACCGATAGAGCCACCAGTAGTACCGATTGGACCGATAGAGCCACCAGTCGTACCGATTGGAGACGTAGATCCGATACCCCTGCCAGTACCAAAGACGCTGCCGCCTATACAACCGAGTCGTGTGATAGAGCTACCTCAGCGTCTGCCTATTGTAGAGCCGTCTCCTGCTACTGCAGCACCCAAAAAGGGAGCATCAATAGGCGGTGTGCCTCTTCCAGATCCTTTCGGACTTGGAGGCACAGGCACCGCAGTCGCAGACGAGATTGACGTAGGAGATGTACCAAAACCAATCATGCCAGTTGTATTAGGAGCAGTAGAGCAGCGACCACACGAACAAGAACACGAGGCTCCTTCACATGAAGAGGTACTAGTAGTAGACGATGCTTCATCCCCACCAGCAGTCGAAGGACTGACGCCGCTTCCAGCACTACCACCTGCTCAGGGAGTGTCCCAGTGGTCCTTAAAGAATGGGGGCGTGCTCTATGACTCTGGTGCTGGTGGCGTGCCGCCTAGTGGAGTTGGAGGAACCGTTATTGCTGATCCGATCCACGTAAGTGAAATTCCACCAATATTACGAGAAGAGCAGATGGAATCTTCAGGAGAAGATACATTACCGCTCGTGCCAGACCTTTGCTGCTTTATAAGAGAACATCAGCAGCAGCTAGAGGAAGTGAAAGATGAAAGGCGGGTTACCGAGCTGCAACTGACACTGAAGGAAAATGTTGAGGCGGAAGCTGCACCCTCAATGAGGAAGGAAGATGTTGAGGCGGAAGCTGCACCCTCAATGAGGAAGGAAGATGTTGAGGCGGAAGCACCCTCAATGGGGAAGGGTGAGGCGGAAGCACCCTCAATGGGGAAGGAAGAGGCGGAAGCACCTTGTTCCCCCTCAATGGGGAAGGATGAGGCGGAAGCACCTTGTTCCCCCTCAATGGGGAAGGATGAGGCGGAAGCACCTTGTTCCCCCTCAATGGGGAAGGATGAGGCGGAAGCACCTTGTTCCCCCTCAATGGGGAAGGATGAGGCGGAAGCACCTTGTTCCCCCTCAATGGGGAAGGATGAGGCGGAAGCACCTTGTTCCCCCTCAATGGGGAAGGATGTTGAGGCGAAGCAGGAAGTCGAAGATGAGAAAGCGGCCGCAGCTTTGGTGTCGAGTAAGTTGATTTCGACCGCAGAGGAAGTTCAGGACCTGTTATATTTTGCAAGGAGCACGTTCGGTGTAGCCTTTAAAGAGGTTCTAAAGGAGGCAGACGAAATGTTCGTGCATGAAAAGAAGAGAGCTCTTGCACTTGTCTTGGAGAACAAAATCTTGAGGCGACGAGACCACCTCGAATCACTTCTATCTTCTGGAAAAAGAAATCCTCAACTTCAACACAAGCAGGCGGGAGGTGCA